ATTTGAACTTTCAATTGAAACTGAGTGCAGATGGTCCATTCAAGGTTGTCCATGCCAATCGACTCAAAGTATTTTATGGTACTTTGCCCACTTGGATGACCCAAGAACTTAACACACATGAACAATCACCAACATCTCCTGAGAAAACCCATGAAATCAAGAAAAAACAACAGTCATTTGAAAGTTTATTAATTCCAACTCCGGCAATTCAAATTGAAACTGAAAACGATGATCCTAAAGTGGATATTTCGGAATTTGACCCTTTCTCCGTGAGCCGGTTGAGTAAGCGAGTTCGGAAAAAACCAGCTTGGTTGCGTGACTATGATCTTGAATGAAAATGGTCTTTCTCTTACTTCTCCAACCTCAATTGTAACCATTCTTAGGTTAGCTTTCAATTTTCTTACAGCTTCCTTCCTTTAACTGTTTTCCAGATGTATTATGAGTGCAATATAGAAAGATGTGGAAAGCAGTTCTACTATGAGAAGGCACTCTCCATGCACCAGATGGAGTGTCATATGAGACAAACCAAAGGACCAGCGTATTGCTTAACCTGCAGGAAGACCTTCGTGGATGAACATGCATTACATCAGCATGCTAAGGCCATACATCAATCCAGAGTTGATGCAAGTACAACAGTGCCTAAATTGATGGATCTTAAAACGTCTGGAAGTAGAGGGCTCGTAAGAAGGCAATCAAGGAGTTCCCCTAGGAGTCCAATCAGGTCTACGCATCGCTCTAAGAGAAGGTCTCCTGATCACACTAGAGAGAGAGCATCTAGAAGGAATGGTCCTTTATTGAGCCAGAGTCGGATGGAACATCTAAGAAGAAGCCCAGACAAGTCAGTTTCTTGCGCTGGTGAGAGCCAAAGAAAGAGATCAACTCATCATCCTCATAGTAGAGCAGCAAGTTCTCCCACCCATAAAACTCCTCATAGGATTCCCTCCCGGAAAGCTCCTTATGTCCGAAACAAACTGGAGGAACGTCCAATAGTCAGACTAACCAAAGTAGATGACCCCCCAAAGGAGAGGGAATTCAATCTCAGTGAAGCCATCTTCAAGGAGTCCTTTAGACAGAGTGTGGAAAAAGTTAAGAAGATGAGGGAGAGGAGAAAGGAAGCTCAGAGAAAGGCAGAGGAAGAAAGACAGCGTGCCCTTAGAGAGGAATTGGAGTGCTCCGATTCCACTATTGAACTTGAAGAACCAGATCGATCGGACACTCCAATGCCTACTGAAGATTTTCCAGTACAGGTCAATCCACACACTGATGGAGAGGATTTGGACAAGGACAGAAGTCCGGAGAACGAAAATACCCCCGAACAAAACCACTCTGCTTCGGGAGAGAAAATTTCAACAACATCAGCTGTACCAACACCAGCAACAACAGAGAGCTTAAAGAGCCACATTTTGGAAAATTTTACGTTGGCCCATGAGAGAAGAAAGACAACAACCACACAAACTGGAGAACCGACTTCCCCTGTACCAAGGATGACCTTGTCAGAGTTTATCGGCAATGGTCAATTAATTCCAGTTGATTACAGTATAACAAAGAAGAAGAAACCAGAGGAGAAACAACAACCGTTATTTTGTTCTAAGTGCAAAGACTTATTGAGGAAATATACAATGTAATTCAACTTGTAGCAGAAAGAAACCTATCACCAATGATATTGACATTTTTGGACACTTTGAGAAATTGGATATAGCAGTAACATTTAAATAAAGAATGAGCACCAGTGAAACAATTTACAAAGAGACTTTTGTCGACAACAACAACAATTATGAATTGACAACAACAACAATTATGAGTAATGGACTGTAGTTTAGGATAAGTATAGAAACCTATGTATTTTAGTCACTATTTTTAACTATGTCCGAGGACGAACATTTTTTCTTTAAGGGGAGCATTGAAAGAAACTGGGGCTGAAGAGAAAATACGAAGTTTTTCAGTTCACGTTTCTTTCGATCTCTTTCCGTTTTTGGACATATAAGTCATTAGTTATTATATATTAAGTATTCACTTACCTCGGCAAATCGGTATTTGTCAGTATTTTATGTCTTTTATAGTTATTTTCATACTTTTATGTGGTGCTTTTGAACAAATGTTATTTTTAAAAGACTCATTTACGGCAGTCAGGTTGATGCCAGAGCAACATTTATTTTTGTGGAGTAGAGACTAAACGATCAACTTTTAACTTTCGATCAGTTTTTATATGCTTTGTGCTTCTATAATGACATTTTGTCATATGTACGATCTACAACAATTTGTATTTTAGGTATTCTGAGCGTCTTATGCAATATAATAAGGTGTAATTGTATTTCCAGTGTTGTTTTGGTAAGTGGTTTCAAAATTCGCGCCATTTAACTTGGTACAAAAAATGTTATTTTTTACATTCTTTCCAAGGACTAAGCTAACGCCCATTGATATCACGGAAAAGGAAACGCCATAGCCAAATTTACAACTCAGGACAAAACTCAGAAATTTCGCCTTTACTATTGATCAGCCATCAAAGTAAGTTTGATAATCTAAAAGACTGATATTTAGAGAAAGCAAAGGTACGCCCTGGCTACCCCAGCTCTAATATCAAGCCTTAAAATTAAGTTTGAAAGTTCTTGAGTAATTTTTCAGAGAGATTTCAAAACTTTCTCACATTCCAATATTCATTCCTATTAAAGATCATAATTTAGATGCCATTCAATATTACAAGTTAAATCACTTTGCTACATTTAATTATCAGAATCATTTTCAATTAATTTTGATACTTTTACATCAGTAAATGTTGGGAAAATAGAAATTCTTGTTTTCTCCACATTTAGCTTATTTTACTGAGATATCACACTGGACGCCATCTTGGGTCCACTCCCTAACCCAATTGTATCAAATTTCAAGGATACTGGTAAACAAGTGAAGTAGTAGTGACTTGGACTTTATAGAGGCATATTCAAGAGATTAACTCAACAAGTTGAGTGTAAAGTTAGTGCCAAATTTCAAACAGTATTATATACTAAATATTTTATTAGTCTAGTCTTCATTATTATCATCATATAACAGTATTACTTTACTTCGAAAGACCATTTTTATTCGCCAACTCTAATCAAAATTATCCATTTTACAAGCTTACCTTAATCAGTCGGTTTGTCTTCACAAATTAGTTTGGCTAAAATTACTTACTTTAATTAGTCGGTAGTTCTTGATTAGTGATTTTTCTTGCCTTAATTGTGCCGGAGAAACAACAATTTATCTACCTCTAAATTCGCGAGTCATTCCGTTCCGCGAAACCACTTGCCATATAAAATAAAGTATTTTTCTACTTTTATACAGAGTTTATATTTCTAAGGAACATTATACAAAAAATATATACAACTATTCATATATATAATATTATATTTTGTTGATCTTTCTGGAACGTTGTGGAGAGAGACAAGTTTCAGATATATAGTAACCATAGTCCATCTCTTAGACAAATTAAAACTATTCCTGAACAACAACAAAGAATAATTTCTAAGTCCAAAGTCAACACTCAACTAGAAAATTACTTAGACATTTTACGAGAAAATTCTTGAAAATATTTCCAAGTCCAAACCAATTTTAATCAGGGAAATTTACATGTTTATTTTTTTTTTTTTTTTTCTGCTCATAATGTAGAGTATTTTTTTTGATAAAAGAAAATTATAAAGAAATTTTCATGTTGAAGGATTTTTCTTGGACTTAGCCATTTTCTCAAGAAAATATTTTCTGAATTTTTCACAAGTCCAACTGGTTGTAGAATTAGTCATTGGAAGAAAATATTTTATGAATCTTTTACAAGTTTAAATATTATTTTTTTGGACTTAGAAATTTCTAGTGAAACATTATCATACAAAAAACTTTTCCCAAGTCCAGCTCACTTGGATCACTTGGACTTAGACAATCTCTCGAAAGAATATTCTTAAAAAACGTTTCCCAAGTCCAGCTCACTTGGACTTAGACAATTCCTTTCACAAGTTCAACTATTACTTGGACTAAGTTATTTTCTGGAGAAAAAGTATTTTCCTGAATTTTTCACGAGTCCCACCTTCTGGGAACTTAGTCATTTTATAAAAAATATTGTAGAAATATTTCAAAAGTTCAACTTTCTGTGGACTTAGTAATTTCTTGAGACAACACTTATATATATTTTACAAGACCAAATTCCTGTGGACTTAGACATTTTTCCAATAAAACATACTTTTCAAGATTCTTCATATTAAACACAACTTCAACTGATTACATTAACTGATACACACAATCTACACATTAATCCAGCCCCCGACAGCCGTGGGTGGCTACACATCTAAGCATTCTGATACACATCTTATTTTTAAAATTTTCAATAGCATTCTGATACTCATTGTTGCATCTTTCTGTTTCACTAGACACATACTCATGACATCACATTGCAGAGTAGAATACCAACAATATTTGGTAGGCAGCATTCAGCGTCTGTAACAAATGGCAAGTGGTGATATTTTGCATGTTAATGCCTTGTTAGTATCATACATAATGCTTTCAGAATATATTCTGCAATATAAATGATCATACATTATGTATATGCAATCTATATTCAAACACACAAAACTGACTCACGCAATGTTTGACAGACTAAAAACAAATACAAAACCAATTATAAACATTAAACCAACTTATAATACAAGTTTTCAACAATACATGTATATTACTTCATACCAAAATTATATTTAAAGTACCTTAAACATTTTGATCAATAGAGAAAGTCACAATACTTCAAGCCAGTAGTGTATTATCCCAAATACATGTCTATTTCAATGCACTATTTAATGGTTAATCAATGAATGCTATTTTTCGTGCATCATTGAATTGGACGAGCAGTCTAGAGCACTGAAGAAGCTAAACTAGGCTATTTTGCCGTAACCTTGAGATTGTGAGTTCGAGACATGTGAGCTCCCTGTGTTTATTATTCATTTACATTCACATTCAAATTCTTAATGTGGTTATTCTTATTTTTTCAGCCAGGGGTAACTTAACATTGAACAATGAAAGTCAGGCCTACCAGAACAAAGCATTTGATAAAGAGGATGAAGATACCACAAATGATAAGTTAGATGGAGACCCTGAACAAGGTATGATTAGTCACATAATTGTGTCAAATAGAATATTGCTGAATAATATATAACTGTTTGCCTTTCCTGGAATTGATTGTCAAATTGATAGAATGGAGAATGAGACTCTAACATTGCTCGAGAGGTGTACTGGCAAAATTGTATCCCCTTATTGTAAATCAAGGTTCAGTCAGGCCACTATGAAGACTGAGACGACATTGAAATCTTGATTTGTTGTAGAGGTATTGAGCTGGGTTAACAATTTAGCCAGTATACCTATGGAAGAGGCGCAATTGGTAGAAAAGAACTTCTCAATTATAGCTGCTTTAGGTCAATTTTGAAATTTAAAAAGTTCAAAATAATATGATTAAAGGCCCTGATGTAAGCGGAAACTATGTAACCCAGGGGCGGATCTGGGAACCAACAAGGGGGGGGGCCCAAAGTTCTTGTCTGAGAAAAAAACTTTGGGCCCCAAAAACCCAGAAGTGGGCCCAAATTTTGAAATTTTGAGGCCCATTTTCTTCAAATTTTGCCTAAAATAAAAAAACAAGGCCTTAGAAGGCCAATTTCGACCAAAAAGGCCTACTTTTTGGGGCCTTAGGGTCTTTTTTGGCTCAAATTTTTTTTTGGGCACAATTTTTTTTTTCTGGGCCCACCCAAGGGAGGGGGGGGGGGCGGGCCCCTGTTCATTATTAAATTAACACTGATGGTAAATAAAAGCCAGTATCCTCGTTTTCAATGTCAGATAATTTTACATGACTTAGATTTCCTGACTGAGACTTCAGATTTCAAATCATGTTATTATTTGAAATAAAGATACAACCATGTTGTCTTACCATATGGCTATCTACAGGAGAGATACATCTATTTTTTTTATTCATGTCATTTTTTATGCAAGTTTTATCATAGTATTTACTACAGGTAACTGTAGTTTAGTGCGCTCATAAAACTCATTCTTGAAATAGTTGCCTTTATACTTGTTACATCTAGTATAAAATCTGTGAGAAATTGAACGTGAGCTGTCATTTGACTGGTTTATTCTTTGCCTAGTTTATTCGTGGTTTTACGAACTTTTTTTATAGTTTAAAAGTCACAGAAGTCTGTGTTTTTTTTGTTTGTTTTTTTCCTGTTTTCGGGTGAATAAACTGTGAATCTGCATGTACTCTGTTATTTTTTCCTGTCTCATGGTTCACAAAAGCTTTAACCGGAAAGCACACAAGGCAATATTAGATCACAAACATTAAAGAGATAGTTCTTCACTAATGAAATACTACATCATAAAATATTACATTCAAAATATATAAAATTATAATAAAAGGTCAAAAACAAAATTGCAACCAGTATGTAAAATTAAAGCAGAATTTAATCTTCATAATTCCCTTTAATCTTAAGAGATTTATCAAATAAACATAGTATCATACCTAGTAAATATATTTGAATTGCTCAAAAACATCTGAAAAACTCAATATTTAAAGTTGACATGTAGATGCTCCATCTTGCAGTGGTTTCATGTTGGTCCCTGCATCACGGATATTAAAATAGTTTTTTTCAGTTTTCAATAAGTGCATATCTTATTGACCACATTCCTCTACTCTGCTGGACAGAGAAAACACCTTGCTTCACACATATCCTTGAAAGACAATGGTTTAATATCTCAAAAATGTGCGGTTTTCAAATTGAATTCAAAATTCCTTGAAGGAAAAGTAATAATTTTAACCATAAATTGCTTTGATCCAGAAGTTCCATTCATAAATGCTACTGAATTATGAATGGGCTCAAATACCTGATTTCATCATCATATTTAGGGTTACTACATAAAAATCATGTTTTAGCAAATGTACTGATATCTAATTTGTAGATCTCAATTCTATAACTGTTTTAAATTATAGATGAGACATTTACAGTATTTGAAAAATACAATTGTCATGAAGGGCCTTGTTATACATTCTTTGTTTGATAATTAATTTTGAAGCAGTTGCCTATTGGAATTCCTTTTTTTATTTATTTTATTGTATTTTGCATGAAAAAAATCTGAATGTCAGAATGTTGAAAAACCAAGGTATTCATAATTGTCATCTGGACATCATACAACATCATCAGTTCAAAGTCTCGAGACATCAGTCATTTGTGATAAAGATATTGAAAAGGAAAGGATTCAAACCAGGAGTTCAGGATTGCTGAACATCAAAAGCCAAAACCACAAGTATTTGTCAATGAATGTCATCAAAAGATTGGCAAAATATGGGAACATGTTTTATTATAATTGATGTATAGTGCAGATAAAATGGGTTTACCCATAGAAGGAAACCCATCAGTCAAATGAACAGACCATGAAAACTTGCCAAATTGGAACTTGTCGCTGGTTCATGAATGGAGAAATCCCATAATTTTTTGTAGCTCTCCATCAAACTGATACCGTAAAAACCCTGTTAAAATGAACTTGATATATGTGACCCTTCTTACATAGATGTATAGACCACCTCTAATGTGCCCATTCGTTTGGTAAAAAGGGTTTATTCTGGTTGATTTACCATTCAGTAACTGCAAGCCATGTTCATAATTCAACTATATAATCTCTTTGTTCTCAAAATCTCTGTTTTACCAACACAATTTTCAGCTTGATTGGATTAAGCGGTTTGTCCTTTACTCAAGAAATCTTGGAGTGTTCTGGCATATTACATAGTCCGAGAGAGGAACAATTATATTATGTGCACCAAGTTTTGGCGCTGAATCAGTATTTTCATTTCTTATATTACTTTTTGAATTGTGCAATAATTTGTGAGCTGATTATAACAGTAGCATTCACTCATTCAATTTGTCAATTTGCAATATTTCACTTTTGTGAGACTGAAATTTCCTATTGATTCTTCTGTTCTTTTTGAGGGACACCGTCTATTACAATAGTTCATCCACCTGAATCGCCATCAGCCAGTCACACTACAGCCTGACAAAATACATGAGATTTTACAGATTTTGATATTAATAAGATCTAGCAATCTCAATTTGATCTATAGCCTTTTATGTCATTCACCACAGTGGTGCATATCTTTATAGTCTCCAACTTTATTTGTGGATGGTGTTTGAGGGTTTGGCATCTGTAACAAATGGCAGGTTGTAATATTTTGCATTTTAATGCCTTGTGTTACCTCTTGGTTATGTGAAGGGTCAGTCTAAAGTTTATGTTCTGGAGTTGTCGCTCCAGCTGCATTTATAAGGCATATTTAATATTTCTTGGTATTACTGTTTCTCGTCATGTTCAAAATTGTACCCAAATGTCTTGTAGTTTGTTTTAAAGATTTGCAAGCCCCAATTATTTCCAATCGTTACGTTTAATTTATAACAAAATCTGAGTAAATCTTATTGACTATTTTCTTTGGTTTCTTTTGATGGACATCTCCAATGTTTGATTTATGTTTATTGAAATATCACATTTGTGTATTTTACAAATGAAACATAAATGAAAATATTCAGTGCGACATTCACTAGAATTCATGTTTTAGATTGGAGACTTAACCAAGCAGCAACTATGCTATACAAGGTTGTAAAGGGCCGCTACAGGTCCATTATTTGTTTAGCAGTATTCTTTTTGAAAACTTATCACAATAACATTTATCCATGCTTTTTTCTTTAACTCTAAAATAGTGAAAAAGCATGTGAAAATGAAAGAAAAATCATAAAATTCAAATTACTAAGATAAAAGGTTTGATCAGTGATGTTTGGCTACCACTAAACAAATTTTATTTTCTTGAGGCCCTTGGTACATTTGACAGAATATATGAGATATGTCCAAGGCCTTGTAGGATATTAGGCCGATAAATTAATATCTCAATGGATGAAGCATTAGAAAACATGAAGAAACCATGTAGTTGAAGTATGAATTTCTTCCAATGATGAATGTGTTTTAGGTTAAAAAGATATAAGTGAATAAAAGTATTTAATATATGTGTAATTGCCATATATGGGCATTTCTGGTGCAAAATCATACTTTTTGTTGGATGAATATCAAAATGGCGATGAGAATTATTAGGTGAATATTATCCTGAAAAATATGTCCCCAAATTCCTTAAAACACATTAATCTTATGACAAAAATGTTGTTTATCTATTTGATTTTGATTATACTATGTACATATACAGCATGGGGGAGGGGAGATGTATCTTTCCTTGGTTCCTACCCTAGCTCAAAAAGACATCATATTTCTTTCTGGATATAAATCCATTTTGTACCACAAAAAAGTGTTCTCCCAAGGAGTTGTTCCAGTAAAAGATGTTCATAAATTATCAAAATCAATGGGTCACAGAACTTAAAAATATTCTATTTATGGAGGTGTTCCCCTAACAGAGGTGTTTCACTTAACAGATTTTTGCTATATTCCAATCGACAGGGGATATTTAGCTCCAAGGAGATGCCTACCATGCTAATTACTATAAGTATATTTTTATTATTTCAGGTCTTTCTACTCTTGCTCCTAGGGATGCAGAAAAAACTAGGGTAAGTCTCAAAAACAGTCTAGCTTTATCTATATTTATATTATTCAAGTAATTTTTTTTTGTGTTTTATAGTGAACGCTATCATGTCTTGCATTAAGTTAATGATATAATGTGTGTTTGTGTCGTTTAAAAAAATAGTCAAAACAAATAAATTTAACGTGAATATCAAGCACATGTTTTTATTTTTAACATCGTTAACTCGTATCATAATTGAAATTGAATGTTGTATCATTGGTTTGAAATAAATCTGATGAAAAAGACAACACATTCTAATTTCCACTCATCTACTCATATTAGCCCATTGAACCTGTTTGATTGCAAATGTGAGAGTGTAAAACAGGGGTTTGAATTGGTAAAACGAATATCCTTATGAATGTCACGTAGCACAAACTATTTTTAAGTAATAATACTTCATCTTCTCAAGTTTGACCTGACATAATGTGTTTTAAGATCATGGTTTTCAAAAGAGCCATTTAACACAACATTTCAAGAAAGCTAACCCCAATCTATTGAAACGAGAAAACATAAACAAAAGTATAAATAAGTCCACATTTTTCAAATGTCCTAAAAATGTTTTTGTCAATGGAATTGCAACATATGTTATATTTGCTCAATAAGAGAGATTTTTTACATATAAATAGTAAGATTTTACACCAACAATTTAAGGCCATATAAACTAATATTTCATCGATCTTATAACTCCATATTATATTAGAAAAAATAGAAGGCTATTTATCAAAATTTCAAACATATTTTGTTCTCCATTTTTCATACTTTCCTTTTTGAGTTAAATAATTGATATTGAAACTAGAATTGGTATTGATGGTTTGAAATTCAATCTTTTCAACACATAAAAAAGTCATTAATTTTCTTTGACTGGGACTATGATGCACTTTCCACTAGTCGCATCTTTCATATTAGGTATACCTTTTATCAAATATATTATTTTTATTCATTTGTTTGCTTGTTCTTAAGCCGTCCATTCATAAAATTGGGCAGGTAATTGACCTTATATGGTCATAAATCATACCATGTACTTATAGGGACAAACTGTAGAAGCTTCACTCCTTATATGGGATCATTTTAACTTATTGATTTAAGAATTTTTCCATTTAGGTTAAATACTAACAGCATTATTGTAGCTGAGTTGTAATAATTCTCGATATATATGTGTTTTGAGACACAGTATTCTAATTTATCAGAGCCACTCTTTATGCTTGAGAGGTTTGTAATTCAATGGATAGTATAAGTTGTTGATTAAACAAGAGATAGATAACATGAAGGAATAACTAAACTGGTGTTGATATGCTTGTATCTTGGCCTAGTAATTAGGCAATATATGGACCCCTATTATCAACGTTTTTCTTTGGATATACATAATATGTAGTACAAATAAAGCTCTCAGGATTCATATGAGTGTGACAAACTGTAATGCGGTGAATCTGACAATTTTTTGAAAAAAAGTTTTTTCGAAAAAAATTGTCATCTATTCTCATTCACTTATTTGTTTATTCAGGACATTGTTTATTTACTCCTAACTGTAAACACAACTATAAAAGTAATAAACGGATAAAATAAACATATTGGTCTGAATTTCTAGTTTACCGCAATGAAGCGTGGGATTGCTTATTGGGTTGAATTCAGTTTATACATTGGTTTTTTTTACCTTGGGATGTATCTAGTTCACAGTTTCGGTCAATGTCACATGCCTTTGAGGAATGGGGCTATTCAAACAACTCGTTTTACACTTTTTTCTATTTTAAGTTTATAATGATAAAGCATTGACAACTAAGTATTGGCTGCACTTTCAAGTCACAATAGATCAACATATTCTTATTGCATTACAGTATTTTTAGAGTATGGAAATCAGTAGATTTAGTATCTTTGAAAAGTCCTTTATGAGCTCTTTGTAGTGTGGGCCTATCCTAAGTACCTGAGGAATTCTTGTTCTCATGAATTAAAGTTGAACTTACCCTTATGCCTTGTCGTAAAAATTTAATTCTCATAATTGTGTCATGTTTATTCAGCCCCATCCTCCGAACACAGGCCTCCAGAACTAGTATTTTGTTCTTTGGAAGAAGGAAGGAACATAATGATGGATGTCTGGAGCCCTGCATTTGTAGGATGATTCAGCCCTTATATATTTTATTATTGTCACCCCTTGACAGTCCCTGCCTAGGTTTCCAGACAAATCACCTAACCTAACCCTATATTATATCACCACCACAAATAGTGACATTTTGTGGATGGTGTTCGGAGTTCGGTGGGTGGCGTTCAGAGTTTTGTGTCTGTGACCAATGGCAGGTGGTGACATTTTGCATGTTAATACATTGTATTCTACTTACAGGCCCCCTTGACTGCTACAGCAAGCAATGCCTCAGAACAGAAAACATGGAAGTCTCTCCCAAATAGATCTGAAGGTCCACGATTGTGCCACCAGGGCTCCAGGAGCTCTTTAGACAACAACTTCTTTGGATTGGTATGTATCATTTATGAATTTTTATGTAAATCAAATCAGAATTTTGACATCATGATAAAGTATGAGTTCATCTTAATTCTCATCAATAGTGAAATGGAAAAATGTGATGATTATCAGAATTGGATTTTGAAATACTACTCAGATCACGACATAAAAAGATTAAGAAAAATGAGGAGAATTGTATTTTCACGGGACTAGTTGACATATCACGTGATCGGGGAATGTTGAATATTTATGTTCCAGTAACCTATAATTACCCATGAGTTAACACATCCCTTCATTTGTGCCAACCTGGGGAGGTCCATCCAATGATTTATACATAATGTATACTGTAAACTCTCACAAAAAATCTTCCATTTATATATAATCCAAAAATTCATCAGGAAAAAATAGCCCAGACATCAACAGTAATGCATTATGACCTGACTATTATGGTCATGATTAACTCTTTTTATTCAAAAATCATATAATCAAGATAAAGATACAATCAACTTGGCTAGACTCAGAAAGCATTATTTACTACATGTAAGATGAGTAGAAATAAACCCAAAATTATACATTAGAAAATGGTACAGGATTCATGAATGTACAAATTGTTCAGTTTATGTACTCATGGATCAGGTGTAAATATACACATCAAGTCCCACCATGTGTGATATCTTGCCTGGTAGTGTATTCATATATTTCCATATAATCTCATAGATCTAGCCATTTTTTATGAGACCAATTAGACTGTAATTACAGTCCTGGTGGTATAAGGACCTGCTTTGCTCTTTAGTGGGACATACTCTTTCTCATTTAGATTACATGTAGGGTCATTGTTAAGTCAGAAAATAATGGTTCTGTATAGGGTGTATACCTTTTGCCTTGGAAGAGCTTGGATTAATTTCAGACCATCAGTTACATTTGAGATTAATAAGATCTTATTTAAAATCCTCTGTAATACTAAGAGGATAGTGTGGTAAACTGAACAGGAATCAGGGTTTTAAGTCAACAGGTATACCAAAATCACAACATGAAACTCATTCAATTACATTACAATTACCTTGAAAATATGTTATCGTTTATGTAAAGAAAGAAATGTAACATATATCAGAACCCAAAATGACAGTTCAAGTTTGATGTATCATCTTAAATTTTTTATTACTAAAATGCACTTTTAGTAAATTGACCCCACCTTTCAGTCTCTCTTTCATGTTTGAACTAGAGGATGTACCCGCATATCATAAATTAATATGAAGTCAAGTTATTAAAGAATATGTCCGATTTAATTTCTAAAATATAAAATATAATATAGTGTTAAAGGGACCCCTTCCCTTTCTTAGAATTTAAAGGTAGTGTCAGATCTTGCGACCGACTTAAACAAAAAATTTTGACTCATAATATTGAAAATGCCATCTCTACAAATTTTAAAAATAAGAGGTTCTAAATATACATCTATTAAAACTTCTCTTCAAACATGCTTCAACTCAGTGCAAAATGATTTAACATTAATAAATCTCCTGTGACAATGGCACTTTATAACCCTGCATAGTTCAAGAAAATAAAAAATGCCTCAAATGAAAAATGTCATTTTTAGATTTATTTAGTTTCATCCATTCATATTATCTACATGGGTTCTTGAAATACCTCATAATACCTTAGAAAGGGCTATTAATGTAGTGGTAAGGACAGACTCGCATGTAAGTCTCACATATAAAATAGTTTGGCTCTGGGCATTTCCTTGTGTGGGCGAAATAGAGTTAAACTTATTTTAATGATTGTATTAGTATTCACTAGCATATCGTTTTCATAAATGTTTCTCTCATATGCTGTATGTGTGTTACTTATTACATTTTGATAAATCATAAACCATCCTAACTATATTTTTATCGCATATGAAATTGATGATTTGTTATAAAGATTTCGGGGTGAAATCTTCAAAAAGCTCTATTTTCACTAAGATTTCATCCTTTGTACCATCAGTGTCTCTACGACAATGTATATTGATTTTCCAATAAATTGTTAACGGAGTGTTAAGATGACAGTGTTACATAATCTGACATATAGATTGACATTGATGACAAACTATGTCATTCAGTCTTGAGTTCTCTAATCACTAGCACTAAAAACTGTTAAAATATACATGTATAAAGAGAAGTAAATCAGATTAATGGGTAGTATCCGTACCCCAGTTATACAATGAGCAGTTATAAGTCTATAACAGCTCATGGTTAACAGGGCATTGGTTCTACCTATGATAATCTGTGAGAATCATTTCTTGAGGAGGTGCCTTAAGGTAGATAGGGTAGGACAACTTTCTTACATTTCGTAGCACTGTATGTAAAGTTGAGGATTATTATTCCTTCAACCCTCACCTTCCTTAATTGGACACATTTGTGCTGGCTTCAACTTTGCAAATTGAAATTAAATCCATAAACATTTCTCTCAGAATTTCACATTTTATATGTTTCATAAAGAGATGCACAAGAGACTAGTAGAATAGAATATTACAGTTTGATCTGAATTTGTTCTCTTTAGCATAGCATAGTTGATTGGTAAGTCATCCCTGTTTCAGATCAAAGTAGAAATCTATGTTAATATTCTATTGAAAAATTGAGCCATTCTGCATTATTACTTCATCTATATTTCAATATCATAATATCTATCTGGCAATATAGAAAAAATATATAAATCTTATCTGTGTTATTGCAAATATATTCTCATTATTAGTTACTTGGATATAGATTCATGTACACTTTGCACATGTACACATTTTAAGTAAAGTGAATGTATTAAATTTTGAATGTTTTAAGAAAAAACCTTTAATTGTGATCACTTTTTGAATGAATACCTTAAATTCGGAACACTTTTTGAATGAATACTTTAAATTAGGAACACTTTTTGAATGAATTCTTTAAATTAGGAACACTTTTTGAATGAATACTTTAAATTGGGAACACTTTTTGAATGAATACTTTAAATTAGGAACACTTTTTGAATGAATACTTTAAATTGGGAACAAGCTTTGAATGAATACTTTAAATTGTGAATACTTTAGATGAACTCCCCAAATTGTGAACACTTTCAGAATACCTCAAATTGTGAAGATTTTTTGTGAAGAAATATTCCATTCTATTGAGGTGAATACATGTTCGTCTTTCCCTCAGTATATTTCCCAAAGCTTTATCCTCTTCATTATTATACAAAGGAAACTATTATAGAAAACAATAGGGAAATATGCTACCTAGTCATTTACATTCATGCAAAATTAAATTCTCAATTACTCCCTTATGTTTTTCTTTTTTGTTGATCTAGTTGCATTTATAGAGTAGCATATAATCATGAAAATATTAATTAATTGCATGAGTGGATCCTATCTAAAATCTAATTGACTATAAATCATAGCATTATCATAAAAAGCCAGTTATTTATTTTAATTCAAAGTCTGTAAGTAAAAATTACACTGTTTTGTATTGCATTTTATTCAGTTCAAAGGTTCATGCATCTATTCAATTAAAGGTTAAGATTTGTCTGACTGATATGAACTTGAAATTGTCTATAATGATTTTATAACAGAAAATAAAAACAAGAAATCCAATACGCCTCTTTCAAATGGTATAGAATTTCAAGGTGATTGTGATGTCACCTTGACCTTGATGAATAAAAAGACAGAGTGACTTGTAAACTAATATTTATAGGATTATGAGATAAATAAAAAGAAATAAGGCTTTTGAACATTTTGAATAATTTGACTTCCATGTATATACCTACTCTCATTGTGATACTCATTACATCTTTCTATTTCCCAAGCAACAACCTATCATCTAATAGGGGAGTTATAATCGTGATGGTTATTATGTCACCACCATTTTTTGGACTGTGTTCAGCAGTTAGTATTCGGCATTTGGCATTTGGTGTTTGGCATCTGTAACAAATGGCAGGTGGTGACATTTTGCATGTTGATACCTTTTGATGTTATTATATTGTCCTTAATGTTTCATATTACATTATAGGTGATATAGTCTCTTCATTCAATTGTCATTGTTATAAGATACATGCACTTAAGAATATGCACACATCAATCTTTGCTATTTCATTACCACCATGGTTAGTGTTTGGTGTTCAGCAGTTGGTGGTTGGTGTCTGTAACAAATGACAGGTTGTACCATTTTTCATGTTAATGCCTTGTTTACTTACCATTGCTGTCTATATTTCAGGATCCAGAGATAGTCAGTGTCCAGCTTCAGAGCCAAGATATCATAGGTTTGGGCTTCAATGTCTGTGGAAGCATGAGGGATGGGATATTTGTAAGTCAAGTCCACAACAGAGGGCCTGCCATTGAGAGTGGTGAAATAAAACCAGGTATGGGTTCTGTAGTGTAGTTCTATTGGAAGATCATAAGATTGAAAATGCATATTTATGGAAATATTTACAAAATGTACAGCCCGCATATATATTGCATATTTGGATACAAATAGCAGTGATCTCCCTTGGATTTTTTTTTCTCAGGTGGGTGCAAAATTCTCTTCTTCACAATTCAGTCCAAAATTGGTCAAAATATGCTCATATTTCATGATTTTTCTCCTTTTCAAGTGGGTGCAAATGGATTTTCAGGTGGGTGCAAGCCTATTTTCAAAATCTCAAGTGGGTGCTGCGCCCAATAGCTTTAATGCTGGGGAGATCACTGAATAGTGTTGTGTACTGAGTTGTGTTTTGATACTGGGTATATCCTGAAGGATTGCTACAAATAAAAGGGGCAGTTGTAAGAATGACACATGAAATGAAAATATATGCAGTTTAATCGTGATTTATATTACATCCCTGGAGTTGATCCAATGCAGGACAAAATACAATTAACATTAGATAAGTCTCCCATGTGCTCATTTAAAGTTTTTGGCATGCTTTTATTTCTATAATAAGGAAATATGGGTTTAAAAATTCTGGCAGTGTATTTACTTATACAACAGCTCATAGCGATTGTTCGATCTAAAGTACATTTATGATTATGATGTAACAAATAGAGCATATTATTTGGTTCACTTAGTCTCAGTTTCAATAAATGAAATTGGTTAAACATTTTGATGGGACTTGGGAAGGAATTTGGTAAATCATACCATCAATAAGTTGTCTGATTTTTAATTAGTTAAAACTAATTAATAAGTCGTTAATGTCATCCCAGATCTGGTTTATGATTTCAGTTTTGATTTGTGATTTAATGGGGAATATATTGATTTTGGATTGATGTTCAGTAATAAGTTGTATAAGATATAAAACATAAGCTGTGGCTATATTGACATAAGCCATCAATATGATTTTTTTGTGTTGCATTAATGGTCATTACTCATTTGTTTACTTCATAATTTCATGCTGTATAGCCTGTACAGTGGTGACATATTGTTATAGTCTCCTACTTTTTGTGGATGGTGTTTGGCAGTTGATGTTTGATGGTTGGTGTTCAGCAGTCAGCATTTGGTGGTTGGAATCTATCTGTAACAAATGGCAAGTGGTTACATTTTGCATGTTAATGCCTTGTTAAAATGTCTTCAGCATCAAAATATATCATATCTGTACTAGTCAGAGAATAGTGTTGCCAACTACGTTGGTGAGTCAGGGTAAAATGTTGCGGAATGTTAAGGTTCATGTTTTGTGAATGGATACTTAACTGCTTTATTGTCTATAATGTCAGCAGGTTATGTTAGACAATACAGTGTAATACTAATAGTGCATATTTAGTACATAGTTTGGCAAGTTTTAGTTGGTATGCCGCTGCTTGCTCGTGTACTTCTATCATTATTGAAGCTGCTCATAATTGCTCGAAGCAAGCTTTCTGCCAAGTAATGTACAAATTGTAAAAACAAGTTGTTTCATGTTCTCGGTGCTGATATTTTGCTGTCAACGTTCTTTTCAAATTCAATAATATTTATGCAGTGCTCTTTTTGTTGTGTTTATTGTAATTATGGTTTGATGTGCTTTTTGGTGATTATTTCTGTTTGGAATGTTTTGTGGGTTGAATATGAGTCATTTCTATATCAAAGTCAATCTTGCAATTAGATGATCAGTTAAATTTGGAAAAGATCAGGTAACATTTATTGTCTGTGTCGGTCAGAATAAATTAATTTCATTCAAGATGTTAACCATGCCATGTGAGCATATTTAGGTTTTTAAAATTTGGGTGGTTTGAGATCCATATTTCCAAATAAGATCCCATCTTTACAAAAATGAGGCCTAAGGTCCAAATCATAAGGCTGTTTTAAGCTTCCTAGATCTGCCTGTGTGATATGATATATCTCATAATGTGTGCTTATCAACATTTTAGTTGGCCATTAGCAGCACACTTTATGTATTGTTGAAAAGTAATATCTATTCAATATACTGGTATTTATATGGCTGTTTCATAATTAAATGATTGTTCTACAGGATATAGCCAGGCCCATAGCTAGGATTTGCCAAAGGGGGGGTCACTTTTTAAAAATTTCCCTGGGGGGTTCACTTTTGATAACTTGCCCAAAAATGGCCAAAATCAATTGAGAAGTACTCCGAATGCTGAAAAACTCCATGATTTTGAAAGAAATTTTGGTCAGGGGAGGGGGTTTGAATCCCCCTGGCTATGGGCTTGACAGTGGTTAATAAAATTTTGCCAAACCTACAACATTCCTTCACTTTTACTTGGCTTACTTGACTCCAAACATCCATCATTTTTGGCATGTTTGTTAAAATAAATGTATTCTATTGGCAGTTGGTCAAAGAGTACGCTTGACAAGCTCTACAGAATGTAGGCCAACCCTGACAAGTCAGTAAAATAATATTTAGAGGATGATTTCTATTGAGTTTGACACATAAGCTTAAATTATGAATGGTTTGTGTTAAGGGAATCCTTAAAACGGAATCAGAGCATATGGCTTTGTGGGCCCTCAAGTACATGGTTTGAAGCTTGAGCTTGAGTTTGAATTAAGTATTCATTCAAAATGTATATATCCACTTGGAATTTTGAAAGATATTAATTATTTCATAAATAATTGTTATTTTTATCATGTTGATCATTTGGGTCTACCCTAAGTTTGGTCTGTTTTGTTTCAAATTATTTTTCAGATGTCAAGTCCCTGATCTTCAAGTACTGTTACATCCATGTACAGGATGTGTTTGTGTGTATTGGAAATGTTATAATCTGTTTCAGCTTCTTCAAAATCTGTAATCCTAATGCTAATACAACATGACCATTTTGACCGTTTCAAGTGTAAGGAAGCACTGTTCATTTCTTTTGGATATTTAAAAAATTCAAAAACACATAAGCAGAAAATATTTTATATCTGGTCAAAATATATATTTTATGGACCATAAAATGACATGTTGTTCTTTTAACTTCAATGCTTGTTCTGGGTTTTCAACAAATCTTTGAGCAAGTATTAACATACCCAAAATTTTCCTTCACAAGGGGCTTGCTGTCTTCATTAACTCATTGTTGGTAGTCCACTTTCAACTAGTGACATCTATAAATACAATAAAATATAAAACAGAATGTTTTAACAAAACATAATCAGGCCTCATAGACTTCAACTAATGCGATGATCAGTTCCAACCTTGCTAACCACGGTTCTCACAAAGAGAATATTGATTCTTTAGTCATGAACCACCAATTCCTCTCTCCGAACAAATTTCTCCACTGCAAACCACAAACTTTGTGGTTTGGGATGTGGGATATCAGTGTTTGAGTGGAGAAATATGTTTGGAAAAGAGGAACTGGTGGTTTGCAACTAAAGAGACAATATCAGTGTTGTGTGAACCATGGTTCGGAACTGATAATTTCGTTAGTGGAACTCTAGGAGTCCTGATACTATCATTTTTGAAACTCAAATATTTGATCCTAAATATAGAAACATGATATAACAATGAGAATTAAAAGATTCTTATTTCTGTGTTGCAGGTGACAGGATCCTGAGTCTGACCATATCGTTCGAGAACATGGTGTATGAGGATGCATTGACGATACTCAGTTATGCTTCCCCTTACCCTGTCACGATCCAACTTCAGAAGACAGCGCCAGCCAGCCACAAACAAGCCACCAAACTAGACAGCTCAGACCTTCATCATCCTGTATACAGGAGTCAATCACTGGATGATCTTTCAAAGATTGGAAAGGAGCCCATACTAAAGCAAAGAAGGGCCTGGGCGAGTGAAATCCGATCACGGACGGATAAGCGTTCCATGTCTGAAAGGCTTCCTAAAAAACCAAGCACTCCACCACCTGCAGTCATCAATGAGATTATCAGTGATGTGCCTACAATTGCAAGTCTTCCAAACATCATTATATCAGACAATGCTAATAATGATGCAAATGTTGCTATGACTGCTCAACAGTTGGACTCTAACCCAGCCCTGGGAGATGGTCAGAATGAGATTGTACCAAATGTTACTACTGAAGCAATGCCCCGAACTGAAGCTCCTACAGATATTCCCAGTAGCTACGTGACAGTTGACTCAACTGGACAACCCCTCCGAGCTTCAGTAGCTCTAACTGATGTTGAATTAAATACGGAAAGTTCCACTGATGCTCCGGAATTTTCCACCCCAAATGTCACACGTGGTGTGGAAATTTCCACTGAAACTGAAACTCCTACTCCCCCACGAGATATCTCTATGACAATAAACCCAAAAGAATATGAGGACATCTTCAAAGGACTTGATGACAGGGATAAATTGGACATGTTCAAACTTAGTTTTGAAGATGGAGAAACTGGGTTTGGATCACCAGAGGTGAATGTAGAGGGGAGCAGCATGGCTACCCCTTACCAAGACTCAGATGATGATGATGGTGCTGCTCCTCCACAACTTCCCTCTTCAATTCCACCTGTGGCACAACTTTCAACTTCAACTCCAGCTGCTGGATATGTTGACATAGCAAATATTGATTCACCGCAAGTTACTACAGCAATCCCACAAGTTTCAGTTGAAGCATCGCAAGCTCCTAAATTGAGCATGGAAACACCAAATGTTACCTTGGAAACACCAAATGTTAATACAGAAACATCAAGCGTTACTATGGATACCCCTCAAATGAACATAGAAACACCAAATTTGGAACTTGAAACACAAACAATACAGACCCCAAATGTTGACCTTGGTGCACCAGGTGCTGGAGCTGGTTATGTTTCTGTAGAAAATATTGCAACACCTCAAGTGTCAGTGGAAACCCCAAATATTGATAAACCCGACACAAATATGCCTTCACTTTCAATGAACAAGCCCCAGTTGGAAATAGACTCCCCAACAACAGACCCAGGATATGTCCAAGTAGCTAGTATTTCCAGCCCTTTATTATCAGTTGGTTCACCAGACATTGATGTTCAAAAAGTAGATTCTAACATGAAATTTTCAATGGATACACCAAAATTGGACACAGGCACTTCAAATGTTGACATTGACCCACCAACAGTAGATATTGCAAATCAAGGAGTTGACATACAAACAGATGTTGAATCTCCTACTGTTGACATTCCAGAAGCTGAAAAGAAAATAGTTATAGATCCCATCACTGTTGCAGCTCAGTCCCCTAAAGTTGAGTGTAGCAATTTTGCTCTTGGAAATATCCCAGTTCCACAAATGTCAATGGAAACCCCTAAACTTGAGTATGAAAGCCATAAGGTTGAAGTTGAAACAAAAATACCTGAAATTGAAACTCCCAAAGTTGACTTTGAAACACCTAATATGACAGCTCCTGAAGTTATGACACAGGAACTAGATGTTAATATCCCTAAAGTAGATGTTCAGGCTCCTAAAGTAGATACTGAAGTGCCTCTTTTTAAAATTCCTATTCCAAGAACTGATGCCGAGATTGAAGCCGAGAACCTGAAAGATGAGAGCTTTAAAGATGTTGTTACAAACATTGTGACCTCAAATGTTAAAGTGGACGCTGATCTTGAAGCACCGATCAATGAGGAGGTTATCACACCAGTGAAACATGCAAAAAATATTGTATTGAATGGCTCCAGCACAGTGCCCCTAATTGAGAAAGATACAACAGCATTACAGAATAAACTTGACCTTGAGCTCAGCAAGCCTATGGTACAAGCACCCAAAATGGATATAAAGGAGCCTGAAGTAGAAGTTAATCTCGGTACACCTATAGTTGAAGACACCATAGAAGCTATATCAGTAAAGAAACCCCCACAGATAGATGCAGCGAGTAAGCTAAAGGATATTGTTGGGAATGTTCTGAGTATAGCAACTGAAAGAAAGTCCCCAGAGCTTGAAACATCTGGAGACTGGTCAATGATGGCAAACAAAGATGACACAAGTATTCGAACCGAAACTCCTGATTTGAGAATTGAAACTCCAGATCTTTCAAAAGTTTCAACTCCATTATTGAAAATGAATGAGGATGCTGATGTCACAGTTGAAGCCCCACCTATTGGAGAAAATATTGTTATTCAGCGTGGTGAAATAGACACTGACATTAAAGTAGGTACAGACCCTCAAGTACCAAGTGGCTATGTGGGTCTAGATGCACCATCCTTACACATGGACTCCCCTAGTTTAGCAGATGAGTTGAAAGCGGTTGAATCTACCTCAATGAAAATGGAAGATGATGCCAACCTGACCATAGAATCTCTAGAAGCTGACACCCCAGCAAACCCTCCAAATCTAGTTGTAGACACTGACAATGATAAATTTCATTTCTTGAAAAATGATTCTGCTGTCCAAAGTATCTTAGAAGGCTATTTCAAAGAAAAACCAAGTGAAGAGTCCAAAAAACCTGAAGCATCAACCAAACAGTTTGATATTAATGAATCCCCTTTGGTGCAACGCAAGTCAGGGGGAGGGATGGCATTTGACATTGATATGGACAAGTTTGAGTCCATGCCTGATGAGCCAGCCCCTGAGCCACCTAAAGGTTCTCCTAAAGGGGGTACCTCATTCTTTGTGGACATAGATAATAAGCAGGGTGGGGATATCCTTCATGCAGTCCCGGCTCAAGCTGTCTATAACACTGATACTTCACAAAGTCAGAAATCACATTCTGGGGGAACCGCATTTGTTGTTGATGTGAATGATCTTATCTCCCAAAAGCAGAACCAAAAAGGAGATTCAACAAGCCAGGAGAATACTGTGTCACCCACACAGCCTCAGTTAATAAGACGCGGCTCATATACCATTGAGAGTGATATCCCAGTCATAGATGAAACCGAACCATCTCCACTTATACGCAAAGGCTCCTACACATTGGATGAACCTACATTAATACGCAAGGGCTCATACACAATCAAGAAACATGACGACCTTGATACTACCTCAACTAGCAGAATCAAATCTGATATAAACAGTAATGATGCCCCAGTAGCTCCGCCTAGGAAGAAGCCATCACGCACCAACAGCTCTGATGTTCGGGTCGACATCATCAATGCTGAGAATGGCGCTAGTTCTCCACCAATCAGATTCAATGATGGTGTAGAAATAAAATTTAATGATGGATCTTCAGCAAAAACATCATCTGATTATGTGACTGTTGTATCTACAGAACCAACGTTATCATAGAAACAGTTATCATGACATCTCTATGGTTGTTAATGCAATACATTCAGTTGTCATAGTAAGTGTGTTGTTTTAGCAATAGAAACAGTTGTCATAGCAACATACCAGTTGTTTTAGCAATATGCATGTACATTACATGAGATTTCCGAAATAGGAATATCAATGTGTTCAATAATTCAACTATTTATATGTAGATACAACTAATATATTGTACAGGTGTAATTCTTTATATACTTAATGAAAACTATTGAATGCAATGTAGATTCAAATGCAAAAATTTACATCTACAAAAATATAACATTCCTATACTTCTAATATAGTTCAACTGGAGTAATGTGCCTTCTATAATATTATTTAATGTTATGAGAGACTAGTTCAAATATAAATTTAATGCAAAACTAATATAAAACAGTTTCAGTAGAAACTTTGATATTGAGAGATTTATAATCTAAAATATCAAACAGGGGTGGGCAGTGCATTGAGTCCTCTGTACATTAATTTTCAAAAACATTTATCTCCTGACCTGCCCCTTAAAATATTAAGCTACAGCAAAGGATTCTTGTAATCTGCCTAATGTTTTATAAATTCTTCAATTTTACTAAATGTGCCTTTAATAAGCATTATAATTAATTAATTCATATTATATAAATATATGCATGTATATACTGAACAGATTCATTTGTATAAATTAGAGTTTGTGATTCATTTCAACAAGAAAGATATTTCAATACAATGTTACATTCACCATTTACCAGTACATAAAAGATCATGTTTCTGTAAATTGGTTTAAATTAGCGAATTTGCTATTTTTTAATATTGATTTGATCAAAAGGAAAATGGGCAATTCTGAAATTCTTGATTTCTTATCTTATTTCAGTATGTACACTTCTAAAATAGGTTAATTAATATATAAAAATTGACAAATTTCTGCATTGCCAAAATTTTATGAATTAAGTGAAAAATATTTTCATAGTAACAGTTAACTCAGTGTGTATGCCACACGTATATATATAATATAGATATAAATTGATTTGATTTGTAATAGCAATATGGGGATGATTGATTGGAAAATACTTGACGAATTTCCAAAGTTGCTTAGATTTCAGTGGAAAAAAATAAAAAATAATTACTCAAGTTTTTTCAGTCAAGTTTTTCGAAAATATTTTGAATAATGTTTTGCGAGAAGGGCAATTTCAAAGTCAAGAATTGTCTTTGGCTATCCAATAAAATTGTTGAGTTTCTTTTTATATTACTCAGGTACTAATGAAATATCCCTGTATATTTGTACAGTAAATATAGAATTCGAAGCTTTATATGTAAATTGTAGCATATACAGTATTTATAACAGAAGTAAAGTGAGACGAACCCACAAGACAGTAGGTCAACTTATCTGTATAGTTTGTCATTAGTATATTACTTGACATTAGAAAACATCCTCCAAAGCAGGTGTCCAGAATCCATAACTCATTTGGATAAATTGCAAAGAGAAAGAATATATTCCGAATTTTGGAGCCCTGCGATCAGAGAATGGTAGAAAATGTCATTAGAATTCATCAATTTTTGAATTGAGTCTGAGAAATTGAATTCATGAATCGTAATCATATGAGACATTATTTGAGAAATATTTATCATGTTAAGCTATGTAAATGAATACATAATCACTTAGTGAATGAGGAGTATATTTATACTGTAGAATAGTATTATATAATTATACAGTAATATCATTAAATAGTGTATGCTCTGTAGATAGTAGTTTGTTCTGTAACATTAAAAAAATTAGTATGCAATCATTGTGCATGGTTCACCATTATTGTCAAAGAAAACAAGCAATTGTGCATAGTTTGCAATTATTGTACAAGTACATTGTACATTTCATAGAGTGTACAATACTGTTATTATTGCAATGCATGGTGTGCATTGTTACAATTATTATGCATATTTTGCAATCATTGTGCATATTTTGAAGCATAATGCATCATTTGCAATTTTAAAACATTGTACACAATGAATTGCTACAATTACTGTGCATATTTTGCAATCATTGTGCATATTTGGAATAATTTACATTGTGCACAATGCATCGTTAACAAGCAATGTGCATATCTTGCAATCATAATGCATAGTGGGCACTCATTACGCATAATATGCAGCCATCAATTTTGAGGTATAATGACAAACTTGCGTTGCCACAGAAATCAATTACTATCGAGTATCAGTTGCATAATTGTAAACTAATCAAAATATAATTTGCCCTATTCAATATATTTTCAAGTAAAACAACTAAGCCTACTGAGATTATACTTTTGCGAAAACTAGTTGCTCACAGACTCGTGGAAATTTCAGCCAAACTGTATTCTCTTCATGAGGTTATCATTAGACAGTTAAAAACTGTATTCACAATTTATTTTTTCTCGAGGGTATCTTATGTGAGCATAATAAGTTAATAATACAATATTAAACATTAGATTTAAATATATATTTTTTATCAACTTGCATGTAAATATTTTCGATTGAATATTTTTATGATCTGAATCATGCAAATTTAACCATGCATTAAAAATTAATTTGCAACTTTAACTCAGCCTTTTTTGAGTGATGAAAATCAACTCATTCTCTGGATGGATAATATTTATGCATTCTGGTTCCTTCTGTGTCATTTTGCCTTACTTTGCATATATTGACTTTGAATGAATACTAAGGTTGTGATGGATGTTGTACATGTAGATTTGTATTTTCTAGTTTTGATTAAATTAAACTGATTTTTAGCTATAAGAAAACAAAACAAAACAAAACCCCCTCTCTTAAAGGACAGTTCAAAATTAGGGGTTTTAAATTACATTTGTATGGTGTGCTACTCTTGTGTTAATAAAAGAATGCATTTCATGAAATAGCATGAAACAGTTGCTCAATATCCTTGTGTTGTGGACTAGATAGTAAATAAACTGAATGCATTCTGAATATTGTGGTAAGAACAATTTCATTCTGCTTTATATTCAGTTGGTGAGTTCCTTCTGTAATACATGCTTCAGTTGGTGGTGAACCATGCTTTTTTATGTTAATATGAGAAAGGTTTATTCCATCTAGAGTGTACACTAATAAGGCCAGTAAAATCTGTTTTAAAGTAAAAGTGCACTTTTAGGCATTAATTATGTCAATCAAATTCTGTACTTTATTGTCAGAAATAACTGTAAAGAGAGTATTTTTGAAGGTATCAGTTAACTGTACATATAACATTCCCTTATAATGTTAATATATCCGATTAGAATTATATTTTTTAGATATACCTGTCTTGTGTCAATACTTTTCTGTTAATATTGTCTAAATGCAAAGTAACTATAACCTAGTCTAGAGTAGTCTAGATCTCCAAGTACAGGGATCCATAGTTCACACCTGTGATTTCTGTGTCCTTGTAGTTTGGAGAATGAAACTTAGGGTTAAACATTTCAGGCCCGTAGCCAGGATTTGCCAAGGGGGTTCAGTTTTCAAAATTTCCAGGGGGGTTCACAAATATGGCTAAAATCACTTGAGAAGAGCTCAAAATGGTGAAAAACTGCGTGATTTTGAAAGAATTTTTGGCCAGGGGGGGGGGTTCACGCGAACCCCCCTGGCTACGGGCCTGCATTTAATATGACAGGGTGTCAATTGAGTATGGAAAATTGCAAGTTGACAGGTGTTCAAAAATGGAGGTACAATTTAGCATGACATGTGTCATTCAATCCTTTGCATCTGTGTGTCACCCTGTACCTATGTCATGCTGTATAAGTGTCACATTGTGTGGTTACCATGGTTGTCACATTGTATGTTTGTCACATTGTATGGTCATCACATTGTATGCCTGTCACACATCTAGTGCCTTTTGTTCATAAAAATCTATGCAGCAAAATATATATCATGTTGAGGTGTTACTGTGCCTTGAATACATACAACTAAAATGTATCAGTAATTCTTATATAAAATTGTAAACAGAATTCAACAAGTTCATCTTCATATGCTTGTTTATTATTTTAATATATTACAAGGTATACAATACAACAAGAATATTATAAATATATTATAAAACATTGTTTTGTGTTATTTATATACAAAATTGTTGGTATGATTTAGTATGCATTCATATTTTAAATAATTTCCCATGGGCAATTGGTTGAGGAATTACACGATTGGCTACAGCACTGCTATTGATAATCAGTTTGTAAAAGTAAATTCTGGGAATTAAAGTGTCATACTGCCAGTTAAAATATAATGAAATATTTGGAAAGCTTGTTTGTGTGTTGAATACTAATGTTTTAAAATTGAATCACTCATAAGGGTTCCTTTATGACATCAATTTTAGCAACTTGTTTATTTTATTGTTTCTCGTTCTTGTTGAACAATACTTCATCGTTGATGTTATTGAACATACAGTGAAACTTTAAATCATGGAAATATTAGAGTTAGCGTTATGTCACTTTAAACAACAGAAACGAGTTTGTCATCTTTATCATGACTCCCTCTCCGTAACCCAATCCTCCTCGATTTATCTCTGTCTTCCTGTCCTGGGGACTGAATCGCAACCTCAAATGTCTCCAGAAACACATGGGTATTATGTAACTCAATGATCTCTGCTGGCTCCAACTCTGTGCAATTACATAATTCATAGCAACGTGATGGCATTTTCATGAATTTCTTCTCCACCATTAGCACCATAGCTAAAGACTGTATTTTCCACATTGTGTCGATATATGCAGCAATATCTTGCGCTCTTTTCACTATTAACCCAATCAATGCATTCAACAGGAAAATGGACCATACAATCATTGTTGCTATATAGAGGAAATTCACAAACCCAATATTTGTGTTCTTAGAAACCATGAAATCAGAGCTTGGCTGCTGGAACGTCATAAGTAAAGTCTCGTAGATTCTATATGCGTAACTACCACCTTCGGTTAAATTGGATTGTCGTAAATCACCATTGGGCACAAAGTCTGCATTCGTAAAGTATAAACAAGCCGCCATTGGAATCAAAGATGAAATAAATACAATGAGGAAGATGAGCACATCACAGAGGAGTTTCTCAATTATAACTAAGAGATGTCCTATAGATGGCACTAGGTGTACAAAGAATAGAAGACAGAGGAATGCGAGTATAATGATCATGACAGTCAAGACATGGACAAAGTCTCCACCAATCAGAAAATATTGACAGATGAATACTAGGACAGCTGTGAGTGAGAATACAAAATGGAACAGCCTATAAGTGAAAAGATACGCAACTGGTTGGTCTTTAGGAGTGAAGCAGCGCACAATCAATCTAATTAGTTTGATTGTTCCAGTCCCAGGGCTGTCAACTTGGGACCACCTAATATGAGTGACTTCAAAATGTTGGACACCTCAGTCCAAATCTGAACACTTTTGTCCAAATTTTGAACACCTTTAGCCAACTTTTAAACACCTTTGGCCAAAGTTTGAGCACCTTTGCCAAACTTTGAACACCTCAAATTTTTCGCGCTCGCTACGCTCGCTACGCTCGCGATGTCGTCAAGGGGGGGGGGGGGGGGGGTAGGTACGAAAAATTTCCAATGAACATGCGTGACACATACGGGATTCGCGTGACAAATCCGAACAAATTGCGTTCGGTTTTTTCCGGCGTTCGTATTTTTACCGTATCGTAAACATATTTCGATAAAATTTCTACAGAAATATTTTTGCGTGACAATTACCAGGTAAAATGCGTATTTTGCGTGACATTTTCTGTCACGCAAAACAAACTGGCGTGACTTCAAATTCTTCAGCAAATGCGTGACAAATACGCAAATTGCGGGACAGTTGACAGGCCTGCAGTCCCATATACAAAACACAATCTCAGATATGATACTCATAGAGGCAAAAACAATCCCTAAAATGTGAAGAACCAAATAACTATCTCCTAAATCTGATTGCACCTTGAGCTCAAATATAACAACCAATGCAATCTCAATCCCACAAAACAAAATCCAAAACACAATCCAACCCAGCACAACCCAAAATGTATTATTGAATTTTGTTTCAATCCATGTCTTGATTGGTTCAGTGGTAAGCATTTCACTACCCTCAGCAATAGCAGTTTGTGCTTCACTTAATTCAGAAATGTATGCCATGGGAGAAGCCTTGTCGGAATCTTTCCTCTCATAGGCTGTGACATTATATTGAACATACTGATACATAGCACACTCCTTTAGAACATTCCTGTAGACCCCATCAGTACCTAGAAAGAGCTGAACCATATTAGGGATACCATTCTTCACAGCTATATCCAAGGGTGTTAACATCTCCTTGTTCTCTTGAAAGAGTAAGGCCTGCCTATGGAGCTCAGATTGTGTATGCTGTAGTAAATGGTTGAACATGTTTGCAGATTGGAAGGGAGATATTCCAGCCATGATTGCCAAGCAGTGTACAATGTTATTTCCATAGCTATCCACAGACAAGAGGTTAGCACCATTCATGATAACCTCCTCAAACATATCAGTATTCCCCGAGCTAGCAGCAAGAGCTAACGGTAATTCAAATGTAAATGCTCCAAAGGCTTTTGGAACTTGGTTTAACTTTTTACTTGTGAATCGTTCAATTCGCTCCTTACATAAAACATCCCTGTCCTTGCTGTCCAATTTGTCCCTTACTAGATCGGGAAAGTCATATTCAGATTTTCTGGTTTGACTTGAGTTTTTCTCAATAGGGGTATACCTGATTCGAGTATTTAGAAGGTAATGCTTCTCGTGGTTGTCCAAATACCCCAAGACTTTCTCGACGTAATAGAAATCATTGTGAACCAGTGCAGTATGGAATGACGTCACAAGAATCGAATCACATCCTACGTCATTCTTGGTAATGTTTTCCGCCTCATGTATTGTGACAACACTGTCATTAAATATCTTCATCTCGTTAAAATCGATCCTATCAGAATCATCAGAGCCAATATCTGAGTTTGACTTGCTTGATTTAGGGATGGGGCTAATTTGTATATTCAGTTGATTGTTTTCTTGTTGGGTGGTTGCTTGTTTTGTCTTGTTGATTGCATGTTTTTTGGCACAGTCTTTGATGTATATGACACAAGCCTGGAACAAGGCATCCGCCTCCTCATCTGACCACGTGGTGGATGCATCACCAGAGAATGCATCAACTTTCATATTCTGCAATAAATAATTGAGACAATCAATTCAAACTTTAACAGGTCTTGCTAATGTTAGATCCAATGAGGAGCCAGTGTTTCCCTTTGAAGGGGAGTGTGAGACCTTATCATTCTATCCAATGTGGGTTGAAGTTGCTAAAATTTTGGTGGGAAGTGTAAATTAACAGGCCTTATCATTATATCCAATGTGGGGTGGTTTTGCCAAACTTTTGGAGGGGAGTGTATATAAATAGGTCTAATCATTGTATCCAATGCGGGATGGTGTTGCCAAACTTTTGGAGGGGAGTGTATATAAACAGGTCTAATTATTGTATCCAATCTGGGCAGTCTTGCCAAACTTTTGGAGGTGAGTGTATATAAACAGGTCTAATTATTGTATCCAATCTGGGCAGTCTTGCCAAACTTTTGGAGGGGAGTGTATATAAACAGGTCTAATCATTGTATCCAATGCGGGATGGTGTTGCCAAACTTTTGGAGGGGAGTGTATATAAACAGGTCTTACCATTGTATCCAATGGGGGGTGGTGTTGCCAAATCTTTGAAGGGGAGAGTACTTTAACTACTTCTCTATTATGCACTGGGACGGTTTGCAACTTGACAAGGAAGTAATAGATTGCAACATTTTATTTTCTTGTGAAGAAAACGTATAGTGCAATATTTGTTGAGATGATGTTTCAGCCCAAAGTGAGAAATGTATTCATTCTGAGATATAGACCATGTAAAGTATAGAACATTAATAAGGTAAATGTCATGGAGAGAATTAGCTTAATTTTATAATTTTAGAATATACCTCTATCCGGAATGCAGCAAATCAAAAACCATTCCAAATCTTCTTTGATAAAACATTGTTTCGTATTTCAATACAACAAATAAAAAGTTTTTTTTCTCACCAGTGTCTACTGCAGCAACTTGTGTAGTCTTATTTGTTCCTAGCAGAATAACTTGAAGCCCTATATATGTTCTTCCAAAGTAAAGCACAGCAGCCTTGAGTTATTCCATACAATATATTCCCAACAATCATCGACTATAGTAAGAATACATGTTAACTGAACAATAGCTAAAGTTGGTATCCAAATATAATTCCAATGTCAAATAAACGCGAGTTAACAGTTGACTTTAACAAGTTCAATGGGAAAACGCTCCAATGTACATTTATTAAAAATCCCGCTTAAAAATTCAATAAAGACTGAGTGGCTTATCCAAATCCTTTATTATGTAAAGTGTAAATTTTATTTGATTCTAGTTTTGCTTTGGCCATAACAACTAAATTGTCAAGGTAGGTTCATGTATGAACATATTTTAGAAATATTTATTTTAGTGTTTAGTTTTGCTTCATCTTTGCAAATTTTCATGAACATTATTACAAGAGATTGTTTCTAAAAATACTCCAACACTGTCAAGGTTATAGGAATTAGGAGAGACAAAGAGGGTAATAGGATAAAAGCAATCTTTTCAGAAATTTTCATTTTATAGAAACCTATTTTTATTTTAAGAAAAAAATAATTGAGATCTGATCAAATATAGAAGAAAGTGAAAGTTTAGCTAAAATAAAAGAACTGTTGAACATTTTAGGAAATAGCGTGCCGTGGAATTAGTTTATCCAGTCAGCCAGTTCAGGGGCTATACTGTATGACAATTACACTGGGGATGAACTGGAAACGAGGGAGGTTTTGCCTCGTATCAAAATGGCGGCGCGTGAAAAAATTTCATTCGGTAAGATTTTTGTTTTTTACAATTTTCGTGCTTTTATCCTTCAAATTAAAACTTAATATTTGGCAAGTAAATAGTTCATAAGTCCCGGTTTTATAATATGATTACAAATTAGAAATCAATACCGGCATTGCTGAGATATTTACATATCAATTCTCTCACTTAGGAAACGAGGCATGTTTCTCAGGGAAACGAGGCAGCTATATAGCATTCTTAAGAATGAAACGAGGCAACCATATTTAATTAAAAATGTTTTGTTTTTATTACAGAACGGGGCCTACAAAAAGAAGTATCCCTGTTCAAATGCTATTTCTGTAACAGGAAACGACAACGTTGCTGATATTGTTATGTTGAAGCTTCCTAAAAAGCAAAAATGTTATGTTGAATAGGGAAGCAGATATAGACAGTTGTGAACAAAGCTTGCTTTTATTCTACCTTGAAACATCATTTATTTTAATTCACGGATAGCGACATCATAATATTTATGCCATCGACCATTAACATTTTTCATATGGCTAATAATCTAGAAAATTTATGAATATTTCATTTACAAATGCATTACCATTTCTAGCATTTAAGAAAATACAAGGCATTAACATATGACACGTGTTGTAACTTAGTAATAACAAATAAGTCCATTTATCTGCTACCATGGTAACATATGTTCTAAGAAATACTTGAAAGTCATAATAAGTTTATAATTGTTCACAGTAAAGTATGATGTCAGTCTAAGCGGTACGCATTTGTTCAGTTTTTGAAAGTTGCTAAAATTGCTAAAGAATTTGCTTTTGACGCAAAACGCCAGACGCCGAACTCCAGACGTCAGACGCCGAACATTTCCACATTTCGTTGGACTATATGCAGAATAACATAATTGATAGTGACATAATAAGGAACATACAGACATTAAAGAATACAAACAGTAAAATCGAATGTACACCAATGAGACAATGCCAGTGTGCTCCTTGACTCTGCTATTTTTGTAATATAGGCGAGTCATTTAATTATTACCATGGTCATTCTTTTTTTATCGTATCTGGAATTATATTCTATCAAATATAGCCATCTCGAGCAACAACAATGCCCCATTTGCGTACGATTAGTAGGGAGGTTTAACGACACATGTTTTAAAGAGAAGTGTACGTAAACGTGTAAAATTGCAATCTTCAGAGAACTAGTTCTTGTCTTCAACGTCTTTATTTGCATGAATGATTACAAAGGTCAGTTAAACTGTTTTAATTGGGTCTTTGTATAAGTCAATCCAGAACGGAACTATAGTTCCCAGGGGTCATTTCACGTTTACGTTCGCCATTTCTAAAATACGTGTAGCTTAAGCTCCCTATTAAAATAGCACTTCTTTGAACGAGATTTTTCTTATTTGAGAGAACATTTTGACGATATATGCGCTACCATTGATAGCTCGGATAGCTGGCTCGTTTATTGGAATTGACACTCAAAACAATGCTATTTAACGTTTTCGAAATATTTAGGTACGAAAAATTTCGAACGGAATTCGTGACATATACGTAATTCGCGTGAAAAGTCCGAACGAAATGCGTACGTTTTTTTCGGCGTTTTGGACAGTATAGCCTACATCACAAAGGAACTTATCGTGTCACTTGTCTATTGTGATGTCATAGAGACAATTAGAAAAATTGAAGAATTTGAAGAAAAATAGCCACCCAAAGACACTTACACCTGCTAATTGCCATTTTACAAAGAGTTTATTCAAGCAAGTAAACTGTTTGGAAAAACGTAATTTCGGGTTGAACATGGTACCCACCACTCTGGTTACCATAGCAACCATATCTCAAGAACCAATCAAAATTGAGGTCCCAAATTTTACCATATAATTTATAAATATATAACACATATGTGTACCAAGTTTCATTGCAATAATACTATTTTCCTTGAAGTTATGACATCAAACGCAAAACTTTTTGAACCACCTAAGTATATCGTGTAAAACGTAATCGGTCGTATGTGACCAGAACGGTGGAAATAAGATCATTAAATGTAGACACTATCACAGAAAGAATAGTTGCCTCGTTGCAAGTCAAACATTGCCTCGTTTCATTGTTACAAAATGTAGAGAGGTGCCTCGTTTCCTAAGTGAGAGAATTGAAATGTAAATATCTCAGCAATGTCTGTATTGATTTCTAATTTGCAATCATATTATAAAACCGGAACTTATAAACTATTTACTTGCCAAATATTAAGTTTTAATTTGAAGGATAAAAGCACGAAAATTGTAAAAAACAAAAATCTTACAGAATGAAATTTTTTCACGCGCCGCCATTTTGATACGAGGCAAAACCTCCCTCGTTTCCAGTTCATCCCCAGTGAATTAGAGAGTCTATTATAATGCACTATAATACTAGGATTATTTTAATACAAACAATTACCAAAACATATATATAATAATATATATTAACGAACTTAATGTTGGATCACATCACCTGACTCCATATGTCATTTTTTGTCACATACAGTAAAACCTGTGTATAGTGAACATTTTTGCCGAGAAAAAACGTTCACCGTTTTGTGTATTATAAGAGATCAGTTATTCAACAAAGCTAAAAGGAAGAGGGGGAATATTCAATTTAATTTGTGATATTTGGTCATATTAATCCGGTCTCTTCAGCTTCTGTATTCAGTTAACACAAGAGATAAAATAATTTTCAGTTATTGCATGTGAATACTAACATATACACATGCACTGTATATATCAGATGAATACTTTTCTAGTCAAGACGTGTTAATATACATATATTTAGATGCTTGAAAAAGTCTCAATGATGTTTGCCTCTTAAAATTAAAATAGTGCATCCTTGACACATTTGACTCAGTTGAGGGACTTCATTGAATTAGGACATGATGGAGACAATTAAGGGTGACTTTATAATTTAATCCAATCTGTTTTTTAATTGATGGAAATGAGAAAAAAATTAAGTTGAGACTTAGATAGAGGTAATAATAATTAACCAGATTATCTCCAGAGCAATCAATGCGAGACGCATATCATCTACTACAAAAAAAGCTTATTAAGAATTATAATTAGTCACCTGTTTCAATAGAAAGATCAACATCTCAAACTGACCTTTCAATTATTTTGGGCAGGTAACAAAAACATAAACTGATGAACTGATGAGGCAGTTGCAGAAAATCCGCGAGAAATAATGTAAATTATCTAATTCAATGCTCACTAGAGGCATAAATTTAATTGCCAAGATTAAGTGTTCACTTTTCACTATAGGATTGTACTTTAATATGGTAGTCTAGTCACACGTGGGTCTGTATGGAAGATCGGGCAGAGCTCTCATATAGCTTAGGTCCTGATAGGTGTCATCTTCGTTCACTCGGCTCCCGTCGGATGAACGCAGTGAAGACCGAGCGTGCGAAGATGGATAGGTGTTCACTAGAGATGTGTTCACTAACTCAGATTTTGGTGTATACCTCAGAAATAATTCTTTGGTTGAAGAACTTTGCACATTTTGGTTACATTATTTCATGCCTAAAAACTGCACTAATCTGAAGGTAAAACACATGAAATTAAATTGTTCATATTGTGAAATATCCAACTTAAGTTCAAAGATCATTATGATTTCCATAACAAAATAGGATACGGGGAACAAAATAATTATAAACATGAGTCAGTGGGAAAGTCGTAACATTCACATTGAATCATATAGGAATTTAAATTATTAAATTTGATTAAATAAAATTAAAGCATTTCACAAAGGTAATTGATTTACTTTTTACTGTAAAACTTGTATTTCATGGGCGTAGTGCTATTTTGCTAAGTAGGAGTACGCCGCCACCACAGGAACAAGAGCTGAGTGAATTAAAAAAATCATTGGGGGGGGTCTAGGGGTTCCCCCCAGGAAAATTTTGAAATTTGGTTGTATTTGGAGTGAATTTGCAACCATCTGGTACGCCTGTGCGTACCCAGCGTACCGGGCCCCGCCCATGTATTTGTATTCGTGAATCAAATTTAACATGCTATCAAGTAGGGTATCAGTAATCATTTTGGAAGGGGTGGAGTGTAAGTTGTATAAAGATCCCTATCACCTAGAAAAAGAGAATCATCTAAAATATGTCTTTTCAATTTCTGCACTAATCCCCTCCCTGTCTTTGTATTATAACAGCCTTTAGGATTTCATATTTAAAATTCGCGCCCCAAATAAACTTTGAATGTCGTAAATAGGAGTGAGTGCTTAGTCTATCAAATTACATTAATTATTGTATTGAGATAATTTTATATCAACAACATTATAAACACTTAGTGAATATGTACAAAATATTATTAGACCACGTGTATTAGACTATTATTGATTATATATCATAACAAAATGATATATGTAACAAAATGACATTATTTATCGTCAAGCAGTCTTCAAAAAGTTTTTTTTTAAAAGTTGGAGCACGCACTTTACTAGTCCAATACAACTAACAAGCCCGAAGTCTGAAGTTCACACGTGATTGACGAATACACCCAAGAACTACAACTAAGAAAACACACTGTGTGTCCTAAGATCTAAGAAGAAGCAGCAATGGCATGTCCCTACAGAGATATGTAAGTACAAAAATAAATGATCAGCATGCAGCATTTCCCACAATACCTGTTATAAGTAAAAGTTGTCATTCTACAGTACCGGGTCTACAGTACTGAGCTTAAGGTCAATGTGTACGCTCGGCCATTTTGAAGCAATCTTCAGTCACATATTACTTTTCAAACATGAACTCCTTCTTCCCCACATCGTCTACATCTTTCAAGTTTTGCTCAAAGATTGCAATAATGTACTTAGAAGAGAGTGTAGAGATTTTTTTTGATATGAAATGTGTGGAAAATGAGAAAATTCCATGACCTGCTTTTTAACTTTAAAAAAAATAAGATTCTTTCAATCTTTTGACTGCACTTTGCACCTTCCTTATGATAACATTGAGAAGGAGAATGGCCGTCGTGGCACATTTACAGCCATTTTGTTAAAAATTATACTCCAGTATTTAAAATGTTCGATATAGTTTTGAGATTTTCGCGATTGTTGTAAAATCATGAGAAATAATTGTCGCAAAATTGTCACTTAAATTCCTGGGGATTTGCTCAATTTGTTAGCTTACAAAGTTTGAGAGAATATTGAGAATAATGAAATTTAAACTTGTGAAATCCCGAAATTTAATTGTCGTGAAATTGTGTTTTCTAAGCAAAATTAAAACTCACTAAGAGTAGAGTATTTATAAGTATAAATAGAGAAGAGTATTTATAAAGAGAAATTAAATAATACTAATTAATAATTCATTTATTCTCTTCTTGAAATTGGCAATAATTGTAATACTCCTATTCGCGACTGAGTTCAGATGGTAATTTACATAAGTATCTCCCATGATGCATCGCTTTGGAAGGGACAAATTTTCATTGGCCCGCCGAACGAGTCGATTACTCTGAACGTTTCTCAGCTTCTGATCTTCCATCAGCCCTCGCATAGTTATATGATCCAATCTATGCAATAATCAGAAAGATAATCGGAGATTTAAAGTAAATTATTTATATTTTTTTGATCTGAGCAATTTCTGGGATATCAGTGACATCACTGGAATTGGACGGCATTTTCAACGACAGATTTCTTTGGATTTGGGGATTATAGTTCAAAAAGCTTTGTCGTATATCTTAATTACATACATACCTATTGTTGTGCAAATGAAACTCTACATAAATGTTTAATAGAGTCGCAATGCGGCATTGAAAATAGCACCACTGTGTAATCCAATGGGAAAGAACCCGGATGTAGACAAAGTTGTACCGTATATGAGAGCTCTTCAAACGGGAGGTAGCTAAACTGAACTAAATTAGACATTATCGCGTATATTAGATCAAAGTAAAAGGTATGAGGTTCCATATCCATCCGCCAAAAGGTATGACCCCAATATAGTCCATTTCAAAACTTGTGGTTTTGTTCTAAATAATGCCATAGTTGGCTTCTAGAGATGACGCGTGTGCCCGTCATCTTAGAATTGAGGAAATGGTAGCAAACGCGAGTTACAATAAATGGACGCTGATATCTCAAAAAGTAACCTGACTCCCTATGATTTGATGTAGGTAGATCAATCGAACCCCTATATGAACAGGTACATTTTGATATATAACACAATGGGGGGTAAGCGTTTTATAGCTGATCACGAAACGCCATATGTGCAAAGTATTGTTCTGAATTTTCGAATTTGGTGTTGGATTACGGTACTCATACCAAAAGGAAGAAAATTTTTAAACAGCCAATTTTTGAAAAAGTAGTCCTTATTTTCAAAAAGGGGCCTTAACATTTTAGAAGTTGCAGAAAATTAGTTTGTTTTTTAAAATGTAAAATGTATGGTTGTATGATCAACATCTGGTTTTGTTAAATCTACTGCTGTAGCGCCAAGAGTGTATTTTACAAGACTCAAAAAGTAAGAGACCTTACTAAGCGTTATAGTGGATTGTTGGTTTCAATCTGAGACCTTCCAAATTGGCTACACACATTTATCATAACATTTCTTTCAAATATTCTATCAAGTAGCACTTTACTTTATATTATGAAACTGTATATTGATAAGTGTTTATAATTAAAGTAATGATTTGTGTTGCCTTGGACTAAGGATGGGAATTAATATAACATCCTTTAAACACAAGTAATAAGTCACATGACTCTTTGGGCAATACTTACCCTTTGCATTCGTTTGACTTCACTTCTTAAAAGAGAGCTTCGTCTTCACTCTTTCAAACTAAAATAAACCTGTGAACTGACCGCGCCAATCAGTGTTCGTCGGCCAAATTTGACCGACGTTCTATATATGGTCATTCCTTCTGACGTCATCATTGAGCCCGGAATTGATCAGTGACATGCGCATATTTAATTAGAACGCATTTGGCGTATGTTTCTTCAAGCTCGCTGATTAGTGGAAGAAAGGTCAGCGCGTAGGTCAGAAGTGATTTATTACCCAAACTGTCACCGGTACCTGTCGTGGGGGCGGGGCTACTAAACTGTAATATGGTCTCTACTAGGCAGAGTGTAGTTTAACTAGACTCTGCACGCAGGGTAGGCAATACTTCATGTATTCTTAAAATTTCTAGAAAGGAAATGGTTATCGTTAAATAAAGTAAATATAGTTCCATTGTATTAAATAATCTAATAATGCAGGCTATATGTAAATCCAATATAACTATATTTAAGAGTTATTTCAAAATCATTATCTAACATTTCTTTGAGATTAAAGATTATGTAACTTGTTGTTAGAATATATCTGAGGCCCGGGAATGTAGAAGTAAAATGCTTTAAAATAGCGTTTTTATGTCAATCAATCATATGTCTTTTTCATCCTTATCTATGTGCAAATGTAAATAAATTCAATAAATTAAATAATTCATTACATTACACGCAGCACATATAAACAACTGAATACACTTGGGCACATTTTAAACAATTTATAACATATTCTTGGTCATCATTAATAGGCAATAATATTGTATTGTATTTTTATATATTATATATGGAATAAATGAGAAATGAAAAATCATTGTATGGCTTTGAACCAAATGTGGGAAATGAAGCAGATGTCATTCTGAATCAAATCTGTCCGTCTTTATCATTTTATCTCTTAATTAATCACCCACATGTACCTCTTTATCTGAAGCTCTTCAAGAGATAATAAACATTGGATCACATAATGGAATGGTTTTAATGGTCAACATTATAAAAATTAATTGTTGCTTGATTAAAACAAAAACTAAAGGCTGCATGGGGATTTAGGCTAGATGCAGTAAATGAGTTCAGATAAGTTCAGAAAAGTGGTTCAGAGAAAAACATTTTTAAGATATCTGTTCTCCCCGAACAAATAGTACAGAAATACCTAAAACATAAACACTTTCTTTTCCACTTGGATAGGCTTAACAGGCTTGCTTCATTTTGAACGTTCAGGAGCATATTTAGAAAAATTTATAATTGATAAGAGGATAAATTGATGGATTTAGGTGATTCAATTATTGACTTAACACATCAACTTTATTACATTGTTAATTGCATCTTTCAATGCATATGTTGTCCGTGATATGATGTCTTGTCGACAATTGCTCCTGTAATGATCTATAAGTAAACTGTTTAAATGGCCATGTTAAATTAAAAAACATTTTTTTGTAATTAATTGAAGTAATTTTTTAATCAAAAAAGAGGCAGAGGGAGGGGTTAAACCACAATAAAATTAATTTTGTTTTTATACAATTGCCACTATTTTTAAACCATCCTCATGAGCATAGCTACATGAACATAAAAACAGATACCATTCAAATCTAATAATGCTATTTATCAATGTCAATTTTAACACATTTTCAATGTAGCTCATCTAGTCTATGACCCTTGGCCTTTGCATACTATCAAAATAGATCCTTACTATGTACCTGATTCCTTAGTTCCATTACTTAATGCTTCACTTTGTATGACCCTAGACTTTGGGACTTAGTAGCATGCACAAAAGTATGAAAGGTCTGAAATTAAAGGTTTGAATAATTGAGCCCGAGTACTCGCTCTGCTGAGCTGTACCTAATTGCTAAATGCTGAAACATATTATGCAAGGAGAAAGTAGAAGATATCAGACTTGACCCTTGTAATATGTATGAACATGGGCTTTCAACTTTAATTGAAAGCCCATGGTATGAATTTGAGATTCACAGATATCAGTATCCATTTGAGATTGATGGATATCAGTATCCATTTGAGATTGATGGATATCAGTATCCATTTGAGATTGATGGATATAAGTATCCATTTGAGATTGAAAAATATCAGTATCCACTTGAGATTGATGAAAAACAAAGCATGGAATTCTGTGCTAAGGGCTTATGTGAAAAAATTAGTCAAACCTAATGGGGATCGAACCCATGACTCCTCATTTCCCCGGACAAATGCTCTACTCAATACAATTTGTCATCATAGCAGATTAATTGATGATGCATAGATGCACTTTGCTATCTCATATGCTCTTTGATATTTTTGCTTGTGTATTTTGCATCATTGGTTCCCATGCTTAACATGCACTATATTTGATGTATGAGGATATGTTGAAGAACCTTAATGAACCAAGATGTATTTTTGTCAATATTCAAGAACCCATCAACCATATTAATAAACATCACGAAATAAAGAAAATGTTTAATTGATTAAGTTAGAAGCATACAATTATGTGCATGCACCATCATGTGAGAACTAGAAACTTGAACTATAATTTCATACCTAAATGGATTAGTTCAAAAAGTGGGTATAACATTAAAAAAAGAAAGAAAAAAAGTGCTATCTTACATTTTGGACATACACATGCAACCCAACTGCATGATTTTGAAAGAAGTTTTGCCTGGATGGAATGAGTTCTATTGAAATCCCCTGAACCGCCTCCCCCATGGCTATGGGCCAGTGTACATGCATCTATAAGTACCTGTTTATATATATACATACAGTAAAACCTTTGTGAGTAGAACACTTGAAGGTGTTTCAATTGGGAGGTTTTCTGCTTGCAGAGTTTAGATTAACATTATAAAAGCAGGAAAGACTAGAGAGTGTAAGATGTTGGACGCAATCTATTTAATAAATAAAAAACATCCCAATGTTTCACATTATAGACTTTTCTGCTCTGACAAAGAATTTTGATATCTGGTCGATTTTTAATTTACAATTGAAAATTTAAGATGTAAATAATGCAAATGTTTAAATAAAGGAACCATAAAAACCAAAAAATGCAGAGAGCAAAAAATTTGTAAAATTGTGACAGTTGTTTGAAAGTAAATGAATCATTTGACAGCCATTTTGTCAGGTGTTCCACTGTATACAGACATTGTACTTGTGTATCATGTGTATGATTTTAGAAATGGTGAGGGTAGCAGTCAAGAAGGAGTGAACAATGTCATTAAGGGAAGTGTTGTATATGGGGAATATCTACAGGTGAGTTATGCATTATTTAATATAATTTTGTCAATATTATTTTGGGAATTTTTGGGTTATACTTATCCGTATTACATACCTAGCGAAGCATTTGTATGGAAGTCAATGGAGCCGAAGGTCGGCTATATCAAGGATGTCCTTGGCTATATATTCCTGTATAGCCGGCAAACTTTATTACCATGACAATTTTGTGACGTCTGCCGTCATAACATGTAAACAAAGTGATTTTGACTGGAATTGTGTAAAACTTTGGTCTTTTTTCACGCATTTCTACATATTATCTTTGAAATGTTATGTGAATGTACTTTAGGTATGTAATACAACAATTATGTCCTTATCATTGAATATATGCCTTCGGTCCACCGTCAATATAACCCTCCCTGACCTCAGGCATATATTCAATGATAGGGACATAACTGCTAAATATACATGTATATACCCATACATAAACAAAATTCTTATTTTTATAATTTAGATCAAAGGATGGGTATCGATATGGCAAACTTTTTGAACACACGTTTCTCTTGAACCAGTCATCAAAAAATTCTGAAAATTTTACACAGTGTCAATTTAATGGTCATCTTTTGAATGGTAACAATATAATTTGAAATTTATATATATACTTTCATCTATATTGCTTTAGAAAACACATCAAACACTTGTTTTGTTCTTGGTATCATGTATCCAGAATGAAATGAAACATCTTTCCAAACCTAATTGGAACAAAACGACATAAACACAACATGTTTAGGTCACTCAATATTGTAATTGTACAAAGGACATTTTGGTTGATTTTAAAAAAGTATCTTGTTAATGAAATAAAAGGTTTATCTTGGAATTTTGTTTTAATTTTTTGAATACTTTTTTAAAATCAACCAAAAATTCCTTTGTATAACTATAATATTGAGAGGTCTAAAAACATGTTGTATATGCTACTTTGTTCCAACAAGGTTCGGAAAGACATTTTATTTCATTCTCAAGAATTGGTAGAAAGGAGCAAAAACAATTGCACTAAAAATGTTAACAAAAACAGTTATATAAAATATTTCTAAATAATTTCCACTTTAAATTGTTGTCAATCAGTCAACATTACATAAAATACTGTGTTTTTTTACAGAATGTTTTCAATGATTGGTTTAAGAAAAAAACATTGTTGAATTCAGTTCTCCATATCGATACTAATCCTTTGGTCAAAATATGACTATTTTTAATGATTTTTCTCATTTTAAAGTGAGTGCAAATGGATTCTCAGGTGGGTGCGTGCCTATTATTAGAATCTCAAGTGGGTGCAGCGCCCACTTGCTTTAATGCTGGGGAGATCACTGATATATTTGACATAATTTTAGAATTAAATTACCAATTATTGAAAAATAACCCCAGAAATATCACGGACTTATTTTCAAGAATCATCATATGAGACCAGACAAGCACATACGCTGACATTGCTTTGGTTGAACTTACTAATATTTAAAGTTCATTATCCAAATATTGTGGCTATTCCTAATACCTTTACAAAAGTTCATTTTGACCACAAAGCTATTTGTTTAAACTTTTGTCTTGTTGAACTTATATTATTATTGATTTTTTGTAAGAACCTTGGCTCAAATATTTGCTAATGCGAAAACCTTTTAGTGTTTGACAATATCTTATAAATCCTTTCACACACCCCTCAGAAGTGAACCAATGGTGCCTTTTCTTTTTGACACTCCTCCTTATCCCACGGAATAAAGTTTGGTAGTGATATAGAGAATCTGCCCTGTCAACCCTCACGCATTAGGCGTGATTGTCACACATTTGCTGGAAAAATAGAAATCACGCATCAGTTTTACATGTATGCTAAAATCTCATGTAAATCATGCATTATATTGATATTTAAAAAATCTGCTTTTTACAAAAAGCCAATACGGTAAAAACTTTTGTACATTACTATACTCTAATACATGTACTTTCTATATTCAAAATGATGAATTGATAAAATGTTTTGTTTGGTGGGATTTTGCATCACAGTGAGTTGCTGTTTTCTCATTTATTGCAAATAGCACCATTCCCTCTTAAATGTCTTTGAAAGTCTTTAAAAATCGTTGAAAGTAAACAACTTGCTTATCCTGGCCTGACTGGTCTTAAGTTAGGTTAAATATCTGAATTTAGCTGAGAAATACATTGCTTTTCCAGTTGAACAAGCTACTAGATGCCCAGGAGTTGGCCAGTGGGAAAGCAGGGAAGCCTGTGCATGATGAGCACCTCTTTATTATCACACATCAAGGTGAGAAAGCGCTTGGATCTCTACTTGATGTAATTACAAGTAGTCTGGGTAATCTCGGCTTGCATCACACCCTTCTACGCCCCATTCACTGTGTTCTGGTCCTTCATTGGTCCTCCAGGGCATTTGAATCCTTTTTGTCATATACTTTTAAGAAAAGGGAAAGGGTACTTTTTTAAATGCCCTTCAATGGAATGATCTGGCCATAATTTAATGTTACCATTTATGTTTTTGTTTGCAGCATATGAACTATGGTTTAAGCAGATCATCCTGGAGGTGGATTCTGTCAGGGAAATGTTTTCATCTGTAAGTATGTCCCACAGGCTTACAGACAGCTCATCCCTTTACAACTCATCCCCTAGACAACTCATCCCCTGGACATATCATCCCCTGGACAACTCATCTCCTGGACATATCATCTCCTAGACAACTCATCCCCTCCAGGACAACTCATCACCTGGAAATATCATCCCCTAGACAACTCATCCCCTGGACAACTCATCCGCTAGACAACTCATCCCCTGGACAACTCATCCCCTAGACATATTATCCCCTAGACAACTCATCCCCTAGACAATTCATCCCCTGGTCATATCATACCCTAGACAACTTATCCCCTGGACATATCATCCCCTAGACAACTCATCCCCTGGACATATCGTCCCATAGACAACTCATCCCCTGGACAACTCTTCCCCACTACTACGCTGTTTTGCAAATTGTATAAATTTCTGACAAAAAAAGCCATAGATTAAATATGTAATGATTCAATACACTCGGGGAATGTGTAAGTTGTCACTTGCAATTTTTTATAACTGAAATTCCTACAAAATTTCTTTTTTTAATCATTTTATTTAACCTAGAAGGTAACTGTGAATAAGTGCCATTATAACCCTCTATGGTTCTCCAAAATATACATTAGAAATAGCATGTAAACTTAATAAATATGTCAGATATAGTATGTCAGATGAATCTCTGAGTGTTCTCGATGAACTTCTGGACGTGAGTGAAAATAGATAAATTATCACTGTAGGATATGACATCACTGCTATGTATAAGTAATTGGATTTTTGAATGTTTTGCTAAGTTCCGGTAGTTGCCAGTGTTCCCAATGTCACCCACTAGGGTGGCACATTGGGCAGCGTAAAAGGAAAAAAGAGAAAATGAGAGATATCTTATATCTAGCCACAAGGACAGTTTTGAAAGTCGATTAGATAAAAAGAAAATCGCTGAGCATTCAAAGCACTACATACAAATACAAAATTTCCCTGCTTATCATTCTAATTTATACCATGGGCTTTCAACTAGAAATTGAAAGCCCATGTTTATACCCTGCGTGCAGAGTCTAGTTAAACTACACTCTGCCTAGTAGAGACCATATTACAGTTTAGTAGCCCCGCCCCCACGACGGGTACCGGTGACAGTTTGGGTAAATCACTTTTGACCTAAGCGCTGACCTTCCACCAATCAGCGAGCTTGAAGAAACATACAACAAATGCGTTCTAATTAAATATGCGCATGTCATTGGTCAATTCCGGGCTCAACGATGACGTCAGAAGGAATAACCATATTAAGAACGTCGGTCAAATTTGGCCGACGAACACTGATTGGCGCGGTGAGTTCACAGGTTTATTTTAGTTTGAAAGAGTGAAGATGAAGCTCTCTTTTAAGAAGTGAAGTCAAACGAATGCAAAGGGTATCTAATTTACTGATTATGAGAGAAACGTTTTGAGAAACATTAAATGGTCACTGAGGCAAATTAGAAGCTGGTGTCAAATTACTATAGTGGGGCCCCTATAGTACTTGATTTTGAACTGTGAATCAAAAGCATCAAAATGTCGAGTGACTGCATTTTCTCAAAGCTTAGGCATATTCTAGTCCCCATTGAGCTAGCTGATTATATCCCACTCATTATACATTATACATGTATATAACATTGTCGGTCAAATAGAATGGTTTTACTGCCTTTAATTACAGACATTCACTCTCAGAAATAATTATATACATCTACAGTGATAATAATTTTTTGAATGAATAAGATTATAAGAGCAGTTAATATACATTGTTAAAAAGTCTATTAGAATGATTGGCAATGTTAGTTACTATGAACATAACTAAAACATGATTTTGCTATTTTCCTCAGTAACTACATCAACAAAAGTTCAACAAAGAGTCAATGTCAAATGTGAGGTTAACAACCCATAATAGGCACAAACTAAACAGTTTTAAGTGCATATTACAACCAGTCAAACAAGCAAATCATAAATGACCATGTTACTGAGTTCAAGGTGATGTCTAGTTTTTAAAGGCTTTTAATGCGACATGTATCTTATTGAAATAATAACATTTAAGTAAACATCTGAAACAATAACTGAAAAGGGCATACATCTCTCATGAACTAAATTAAAAATCATGATTTTTTTCAATATGTGTATGTGTTAAAGTGTGACAGTGTGATTTAATACCACATGCTTTTTTAAAATTTTATCAATACGTAGTTAGAGTCAGTGGCATAGCCAGAATTTGACAGGAGGGGGTTCAAATACTTTCGGCAAAAATTCTTTGGAGCCACCTTACAGTGAATTTGGTGAAAGCTTTTCCAAATTTGCTTCATCTCTGCCAAATTTGACTAAATAATTACAAAAGACCAGTCTCGGTTTGGAGAACAAAGTTCATCATTCTACTCCACATTACACCTGTTTTGGACAAGTTTGATATTTTTACAAATTGTAGATTTGAATATCCTCTTTTGAATATTCATAATTTGATTTAGGTGTTATTTCTATACTTTTCATTAAAAAATTATTCGCGCAGTAGACGGATGAACTTAGTTCTCCAAACTGAGATTTGTCTTTTATTGAATCGGTCTACTGCACATTACGCCTGCTTCGAACAATTTTGATATTTTTACATATTGTAGATTTAAATGTCCTCCTTTGAATATTCATGATTTAATTTGGGTGTTTTTTTCTATATTTTTTATGAAAATAATTATTAGCCTAGTAGACTGTTCTCCAAAGCGAGACTTGTCCTTTGCCTTTTGCTTAAATTTTGCCAAAGTTTGGTTCAAAATATTAATTTTGGCTTGAGTATGCTAAGATTTTATAGTTTTACCTTTGCCTTTTTTACCTTTTAACAATTGTAATGAAAGCAAAAATATACCTGAAATATCCCAATGTTGGACCAATTTCATTCATTTGGAACATTTAAGGGCAAAAATCTACAACTTTTTCAACAAAAGCCTATTGAATTTTACTTTTAAACCACTTTCTGGATAGGGCATAAAAATAAATCCAGGACATAACAGACCACAAACTTACAGAAATTATCAGACATAGAACTCCCCAAATTTATTTCAAGCATAGGTTGTGTAATTCAATTGTTTTGTATTTTCCATTACTTGCACAATGTGCTGGTGGATGCAATGTTTTTTATTTAATTAATTTTAACCATGAATTCAGAATAAATTTATTAAGGTAACTGATCACAAGACACATACATTATTTCTTAAAGGGATATGTTGTCAGTTATAATGGAACATGGTACCCTTGATAATTAATATGATATAAATGATACCCTTAGAAGTTATTATGAATTGTAACTTCAAATAAAAAATATTTAAATAATAGTTTGAATATTCAAGTTATTAAGTTATTACATTAATGAATTAATGATGTTGGTTTTGTTACTTATAATAACTTAGAAAACATTTACTTGTATACAGAACTTATTACATATTATCTTATTGTCTATTTTAGATCCTGGATGAGAAGCACACCTTGAGCATCATCAGCAGACTCAACAGAATTGTACTCATATTAAAGGTAAGACAATGGTAGACTCAACAGAATTGTATTCATATTAAAGGTAAGACAATGGTAGACTCAACAGAATTGTATTCATATTAAAGGTAAGACAATGGTAGACTCAACAGAATTGTATTCATATTGAAGGTAAGGGAATGGTAGACTCAACAGAATTGTATTCATATTGAAGGTAAGGGAATGGTAGACTCAATAGAATTGAATTCATATTGAAGGTAAGACAATGGTAGACTCAACAGAATTGTATTCATATCGAAGGTAAGGGAATGGTAGACTCAACAGAATTGAATTCATATTGAAGGTAAGACAATGGTAGACTCAACAGAAGTGTATTCATATTGAAGGTAAGGGAATGGTAGACTCAACAGAATTGTATTCATATTGAAGGTAAGGGAATGGTAGACTCAACAGAATTGAATTCATATTGAAGGTAAGACAATGGTAGACTCAACAGAATTGTATTCATATTGAAGGTAAGACAATGGTAGACTCAACAGAATTGTATTCATATTGAAGGTAAAGCAATGGTAGACGCAATAGAATTGTACTCGTATTGAAGGTAAAACAATTGTAGACTCAACAAAATTGTACTCATATTGAAGGTAAGGCAATGGTAGACTCAACAGAATTGTACTCACATTGAAGGTAAGCCAATGGTAGACTCAACAGAATTGTACTCATATTGAAGGTAAAACAATAGTAGACTCAACAGAATTGTACTCACATTGAAGGTAAGGCAATGGTAGACTCAACAGAATTGTACTCACATTGAAGGTAAGGCAATGGTAGACTTACTTATGGTTTGGGTTTGATCTGTGTGCTGCCATTATGGTCAGGTCATATCCAATATATTTGTGAATCTTTGAGGAGTGAAAGGGTATATGTGGTAGCTCGATGGATATGTCAGATTCATTCAGAACAATCAATCAAAAAAACATTTTTAAGATTCTCATAGATTTAGAAGTTTATACAATATTACTCATCTGTTTGCACCAGGTATATACCAGGTACTATGTACTGTCTATTGCAGGTCAACATTGATTGCTCTTTCATTTGCAGTTGCTGGTAGACCAGTTTCAAATCTTAGAGACTATGACCCCATTGGACTTCATGGAATTTAGGTATGTCTGGTTTGTGAACAAATTCCAGTAGAATGGAATAAAATGTGCAATATGGTTCTATAATGTCAACTATTACTATTAAAACAATGCTTAACAGTCTACTCTTGAGCAATATTGCCACAATGAAATCGCACACTGTCTTAACAGTTTGATCGAATTAAGCAAAACAGTCTGCAATGAAATGAATCCAGTTTTCATTTGTTTATATATTATAGTAAGTCGTTTGTTATTCTTATGTTATATATTTATATATTTGTTATATCTTTATAGAGGTCATCTCTCTCCCGCTAGTGGCTTTCAGAGTCTGCAGTTCAGGCTGCTTGAGAATAAACTTGGAATCAAACAGGTGGGTGGATTACTTTATCTTTTAAGTGGTATGGAAGAACATATTTTGCAATGTGTGAGAAGAAGTTAAGCCCAAGACTCGATGCAAAGATTCTCATGCAAATTTTGGAAAGTAACACCTTCAAGAAATGGTCATTCCACATTGCACTGAATCAAAGGATTTAATCCTTAAATAACCTTAATTTATTCAATTTGTGTGATGTCCTTGCTGATATAAAATGTGCATGTTTTGTATTTAGGAGAACAGAGTGAGGTACAACCAACAACACTACATGGAGGTGTTCCATGATAACCCATCTGTTCAAGCATTAGAGGAGTCTGTAAACAGCCCATCTTTACTTGAGCAGGTTGAGGTAAGGTACCTAGGATGTAGTACTAGTATATTCCCATCACTGAATTGCACTATAACTATGTCATTGGCATAGTGTCTGTCAACTTCTGTCTACAATAGTCTATACTGTTTTGGTTTTTTAAATGTATACAAAATCCAAATGTTGATCCACATGTACATGCCTGTAGCCAGGGGGTAAACCCCCTTCCCCTGGCCAAAATTTCTTTCAAAATCATGCAATTTTAACCATTCTTAGCACTTTTCAAGTAATTTTTGGCCAAAATTGTCAAATTCTGACCTTTTAAGATTATCTAAAAACTGAAACCCGACTTGGCAGTAGTTGGCTATGGGCCTGGTCCACACTCATGTACTGTGTTGTGCTTGGCTTTGAGAGGATTTGTGGATTGGTTATCAGAGTCGGTAATTATTGTTTTGGCCAACAAACTGAACAGAAGAACTTTTATTATGTTGCTTAATCGAGGTTCATCTCTAGACTCAGACTCACTATACGCCCCTCAGCACCTCGGTCATAATCTATATTCACTGATAAGTCTACAATATCTCGAGTTTATGGTTTTATTACCTTTTGTTCAATGGGAGCCTTATCAGCGAAGATATGTAGATCAAAGGAAGCAAATATGCCGTTTTATAACCTTAACTTATAAATGAAATGTAAAAATACGAATTGTTCTTTAATGACACAACAACTGTATTTCCATGTATATTAATTGTATTTTAGGGTTGGCTGTCAAGGACCCCGGGCCTGGAGACAGATGCGTTTAACTTCTGGGGCAAGTTCCAGCAAGCCGCTGAATCCTGGCTAGATGATGATTTTTCTAAACCTGCACAGGTGAATACTGTTTTTTAACTCTCAATCCCATTCAGGTGAAGGATGTAATTGGTTTCATTAAAATTAACAGTGAAGTTGATAACATTGATAAATGAGATAGGTAGGATTAGCACTACCCTGCGCGCAGAGTCTAGTTAAACTAAGACGAAGCTCTCTTTTAAGAAGTAAAGTCAAACGAATGCAAAGGGTAGATTAGAACATGATAATGTTATATTTGATTCAGTACTGATGGAATGAGAAGATAATTTTGATTACACTTAAGTGAGAATTCATTGTAATACAATAAATAATATGACATATAGATACATGTGTCAAAAATGTAGATTATAGTAAGATATTAATGTGAAAGATATCAATGTGACTTTAGATGGAGCCAGATCCAGATATAAAAAGAATGAAGATTGATGAATACAAGAAACATCAGGTTTGTTAAATAAATAAAATTAAAATTTGTTGAATAAATTATCTTAAGATGAAGTCTGTATTCTCTTTGCCAGTCGCATCCCCAAAATGTTTGTTTCTTTAGCACATTGCCAAATGAATGTCTAAAAAACTAAATCAGCTGGTTTTGCTTTCTTTATATTTTATTTTACAATGCAATTAGTGTAAATTCATTCCCCTATCAAAGAAAACTTGCACATGTTGTTGTTGTACTTGTACCTTGTACTGTCATTACTTTTTACTTTACAGGAATCATTTGAGTCTATTTTCAACGAGAGCCTTTATGAGAATGCTATAAAGCGTGGGGAGCGACGTCTTTCCCATAAGGCTTTTCAAGGTGCCATGATGATATCTCTCTATCGAGATGAGCCCCGCTTTCACCAGCCGTCACAACTTATCTCACTCCTGATGGACATTGACTCCCTTTTCACAAAATGGCGTTGTATGTATAGCACTTTTCTGACATCTATTTTCTAACCAAATAATTAAGTAAATTTATTCCCATGTTCTTTTTTTTTCTTGCTCTCTTGGTTCCCTACACTACTGAAGACTGAGCATCTCAAGATGTCAGGCCCGTAGCCAGGATTTTCCAAGGGGGGTTCACTTTTCCCAAAAAATTCTAGGGGAGGGGGGTTCACTTTGACAGCCAAAAATAACTCAAAAAATAGTCAGAATGGTGAAAAACTGCATGATTTTGAAAGAAATTTTGGCCAGGGGGGGGGGTTACTTGACCTAGCTGTTTGGTGGCTATTAATGTAACATTTCCTTCCATTTCTACAATTTTATATTAAAATGTATCTTAAAATGTATCGATTGTCTTTTGTGGCAATGACTGACGTTTGCAGTTTTTGTACAGGACAATTACATGTAACTCTTTATTTCCAGTTTTTGTAATTAACTCTCTATTTCCCAGATAACCATGTCATGATGGTACAGAGAATGCTTGGAAGTAAAGCAGGCACAGGAGGATCCTCGGGCTATCAATATCTACGCAGCACAGTCAGGTATAAGAATCATGGGATGTTCACGTCATGGAGTAGTTAAATACAGTATAGCCTAAAAAATAGTTTGGACTGTTTGGAAGTTGAAAATCTTTATATAATTAATTGTATGGATACATTTTTAATGAGTTTTCATCTTAACTCCTGCAGATCTTAATATTTGAAATGGTATGAGGAATATATGGGCAAACCATTACGAGATCATATTTTAATTGACTATGTTAGGTACATGTACATGCCCAAGTTTTTCTCTCCTCTACCTCCTTTTGACACATTTTACACCTATGTGTCCTGTGCCAACTCTCTTACAATATGAAAAATGAATGCAAATTAATTTACATGTGCTTCTGTTTGTTTCAGTGACCGCTACAAGATATTCCTAGATTTATTCAACATCTCCACATACCTCATCCCACGTCATTACATACCTTCACTCTGCCCTAGAATGAAACGCAGACTGTCCCTCAAAGAGAGTTCATCTAACAACAATATTGTCACAGATATGGGGAAATTAAAAAAGACGTCAATCTCAGAAGAGGAGAACTTACACGAGGAAGTTGAATTTCAGATATAATGTCATAATGTGTGATAATTGACCGAGAAGGGATTTTCTCAACCATTTTTTACCTCATCAAATGAGTTCATTAATGTGTTATTTATAGTCCTATACCCATTGGGTATAAAATTTTTGATGAAAGATTTCAAAATGGCTTTTTTAAATGGAACCCATTGTTTAAAGTTTTCATCTGACAAATAAGAGCCTTTTTTAAAGATTATATTTTACTAGTATGCCATTCACAAAAATCATAAAAATAAAATGTAAAAGTATAATTTTAATAATATAATGTACATACTTGTATAATTATTAATTATGCGCACAATTAAAAATGATTACAATGTAGCCCCCAAGGGGGCTTAATTTAAGTTACTATAAATAATAATAACATTGACAATTTTACACTTTTGATGGGTATGCTTATGCTTGTTGATGATTGTTTGTACATATACAATGTTTTTTTAGTATACATAAACAATATTCAATATAAGGCAGTACATCCACAAGACAGCATTGCAAGACTGAAAATTTGGTGGAAATAGTCATATTGATGTTTTTTGAAGATTAACAATAAGAGATGAAGTGAAAAATCATGACATCGGGAGAATAACATTCAAGTATCACGGTGCCCATGTCAAGCTGCGCGCCTACTAGGCACGCAGTTTGAAACTCTGACAAACTGTGCGCATATTTCAAAATGGAAAACAGGGACGACACGACTCCCAAAAAGAGCCAAAATACGAAAAATACAAGGTTAGTCTCGTTCTAAAGATAGTACCATTCTGTGAAGATGAACTTAATTTACTCATAGTACTCAATGTTGTTCCCGATGTAAACCTAGTTATCTCAATACAAGGGTCTTAAGTAACTTCTGTGTTCAAAATTTACGGTGTAAAGTTATATCTATGTCTTTTTATCGTCATTAGTCGTTTATTCAGCCATTGAGTCTGTGTATGATAGAATATATAGGATCACTCCATCTGATTAAAGCAGCATAGTTTGTGTTCAAAACGATAATACGCCATAAACGTGATTTAAACATTTTTCTTGTCAAACTGCGCGCCTATATTCACATGTATTTCCCAAACCGCGTGCCTAATATTTCCGAACTGCTTGCCTATCCAAGCTTGTTTTGTATTATTAGAAAACGTAAGTGCCATTTGTAAGCCACATATGTATCTAATAGTAGAACCCCATAATTGAAATACTATGTGAGTCCAATCAGTCCATCCACCAAGATGATGATCTGGAAATAAAAGTTTAATTGTTACTTCTATTATACATTTTGAATTTCAATATGAAAATCTCATAAAATCTGACGATAAAGGAAAATTTCCAAATCTATATGAAAAACACCAACACACCTGCCTCTGTAGAAATTCCAATGATAATACAGTAAAACTTGTGTATAGTGAACATTTTTTTGCCAAGAAAAAACGTTCACTGTAGGTAGGTGTTCACTAGAGAGAGGGTAATTTATACAGAAGTCAGTGGACTATGTGCGTAGGAAGGGTGTCCACTAGGGACAGGTGTTCACTAGAGAGAGGTGTTCATTAAGACAGGTTTTACTGTATGTAGTTTTGATAGTGTAAACGCGCAGTTTGTAATTTCCTGGCTAAAATAGCCGTGCAGTTTGTGCTTTATTTCCTTTTAATCTCCTGATTATCTGGTTTATCTCGAAATATTTTGAACTATACATGATAAATGCTTAAGGAATTAAATATAAAACAAATCTGAAGTATCTATCATTTATATTTAAAGTGCTAGATCAATTTATGTATAAATTCCCTTTAAATCTGTGACGAAAATGCCATTAATCTGCTTATGTTTTAAAACTTCGATCCATTTGTACATAGTTTTTGCTAGTATTTGCAACATTCGTTTATTCGCCACAGAATGAACGTATTAAACAAGAAAACAATGCAGGATAAATGTCTTAAAATTATGTTTCAAAATTCAGACTCAAACTTGAATGATGCAATGTTGTTAGGCACGCAGTTTGTGATCGAAACAAACTGCGTGCCTAAGTAGGCGCGCAGCTTGACATGGGCTCCGTGAGTATGACATGAGAGAAAAACTTGACGTTGTTTTCTTTTACTTTGATGAAACGATTATAATCATATTATAACATGAGTGTACTGATAATACTTGAAGAAATTGATTCATAAGAATAACAATGCTTTTATTTTGATGTTATTTTAAGGTTCAGATTCAGATTTTATATTCTGCTTATTCATGCTATTTTAGAAGCTATGGATATCAGAGCTGAACATTGTTCAAAAGCTGCTATAAGTCAGATAAAACTTGCTATCATTCATACACATAATTGTACATGTATATATTAAGTTATTAACCACTATATATTTATAGCCCAATATACAAGGTAACTAGTTCATTGCATTTTACATATGAGCCAGGCCACGGGAAAAGGGGTCTTATCACAGATTTTTTCAATATTCTGATTTTTTGTTTATCTTAGAAAGCACAAAGAGACCTTTCAAATGAGCCATGGCTTATGTCTTACCAATTTTTCCTTGCATATATGAACCAAATAGTCGGATTTGAATTTAGCACATTTTCCTCTTAATCGTGGGGACATTTTTGGCTCTGTAGCAAAATTTTCATTTTTGTGATAAGACCGGTTTTCTTGTGGACAGGCTCATATACTGTACTTTGTATGTTGGCTCTGACTTTTTTCAGAGTGCAACTAATTATATTGGCTTTTGTAGAAACATGAATTGGTGTCCATACACAATTTTTTAGATCAAAATGTTTTTGAGAATTTATCAAGGTCGTTTTGGTCTTGGAATAGTGATAATGATTTCCTAATGGTGTGGGGGGGGGCAGTATTAGACATCATTTCTTTACATGTTAGATCATGGTTTGGGATATTTGGGCTTTGTTTTCTATCACCAGTTGTCAGATATTTCAATTTTTTGCTCTTTTGCCTTTGGTTCTTGTACAGATATGTTGTCGATTTCTCATAAAACTGGTAGAAAGGCTTTATATCTCAATGCACCTTTAGCACCATTAATAGACTATCTAAGACTTGATTTATAATTACAAGTAATATCAAGTGTGAAGGAGGCAATGTAATCCCAGCTTGACCAGGTCATGACTGGGTCAGATACTTTATCCACAATGTAACATGTAAATACAATGACTGTTATTTAAGAAGCCAGTAGCCAGCCAGAGTAGGTCAGTGCTTATAAGGCAAATTTTAGTTATAGTTATTTGCCACATTTGGCTATTTTTAAATTTTAGTTATAGTTATTTGCCACATTTGGCTATTTTTGCTATATACTTTTATTTATATCCAATTTTTTAAATCAGTCTAAAGAGTGCCTTTTAACAATACAAACTAAACAAATAGGTTTTAAATGAAATTGAAATCTTTTATTTCTTTTATATTGAATATATAAGGATTTCATTTGAAATATATGTATACAAATTCAGTATATTCTTATTCTTATACAATGTACATGTTTGTAAATAAAAATAAGTATGATTTAAAACAGGTATTACCAAAATATGTGGTTTATCAATAAAACATTTCCATTTGTACTTAGCTAGTAATAATGGACAAAAATGGTTGTAAATTTAATATATTGTATAATTTTCTACAAATATTGTACAAACACAAAACTAGTGCATTCCTAGAAATATGAGTATTATTTAAGTACAATCGTTATGCGCAGATATAAGGCAAAATATAAAAAAAAAAACTGCTGTCAAATGTTGTACAAATAAAAAAATGTATTAAACAATACCCAATCTATAGAGAAAAAAAAGCAATATTGTTCTGTTGCGTTTATGTAAAAAAAAGTTCATTTTTTGCACAACTAGAGATGTAAGTAATAATTGTATATAGCAGAAGTCACAAAAAAATAACGAGACATTAACATGACAAAATGTCACCACCTTGTAAGTTATTGCAAATTTTTACAGACACTGACTGCCGGATGCCAAATAACAAACACCATCCACAAAAATCCACTGCTGGTATTGACATAACAAGGCCTGATTTAAAACTATTGGTCACATTATGCACAAAGAGAGATTGCAGCTTATTTGACAGACTGAACTTAAAGAGATTGCAACTGCTAAATAGTAGCAACAGTGATTCCTTCACCTTTAAGAAATCTTGCCATGGGCAAAGAATAACAACTGCTGAAAATCAGATTTAAACTAACTAAACTGGCTCTAAGTCTCTGAACAGAGGCCCATGACACACCATAGTGCTTGCTCACACAGAAGATATTTCCCCAACTTGGACAGATTTGCTACTAATGACACTGGGAGATCGACATTCCTCTAAATGTGAAAAACTACCCGATTTCTGAACTTGACTGCTCCGTTCATGATTTGTATGATGAAATGTAGTCCTATTGGCTTTGCCAGGATTTGAGGTGACACTGAGTCTCGGTTCAGGTTTCCGGTTGCCATTCTCACCGAACTCGCAACTGACGGCCCTTGAGGATATTGGGCTGACCTGCTGATTTACTTTGTACTTATTAATAAGCATCCCAGCTATAACTATGAGGGTAATAAGGAGTAATGCTCCAAGTATGATACCCACTATTTTCCCAGCATGTAAGGCCTTATTCTTTGGAGTAATGTCTGCAGCTTTCCTGGAAAGATAATCAGAAACATTATACAATGGAGAAATCCCAAGGAGCTTGAATTCATTAAATTTTTGTTCTTAATTATAGATAGACTTCTGAGGTAACAGCCATTTACGTAAATGATCAGAAGAGTTGAGAAAGATTTTATGAGTGAGAACGATTTTTTGATCAAAAACTTTAAAACTGAGATCAAACTAATGGCAAATTTGGGACAAATACCATTGATTAAATTCAACTGTATACTAGAGACTGATATTGCTTTAAAATGGTTGACTTAGGCAAACTGATTATTTTTCAAAACTTACTGAACAGAGGTAGCCATATATCTGAAATCCCCCACATCTACTATGAACTCCCCCATTTTGATTGCATCCTTGAGCAAAACATAAGCCTCTGAGGTAGTGGGGCCTAGAACACAAAATAAAACAATTGATAGAAATATTCCTCAAAAATGGTATAAATAGCAAATCAAACATTTAATTCTTTAAAAACTCTTGGTATAGCACACATCTACTTTCACATTAAAATATTGGACTTATATATACGATGATGTAATAATCAAATAATTAAAGCAACAGTTTATTCATGACACCAACAACAACATAACACAAATGATTTAGAAAAATAGCTTTGTTGAAATAAATTATGAAATTCGGTCATGTAACATTTAGGCTTACAATGATTGGAGTGACATTGTATTTCTTAAAATTATTTTTTGAAAAAATTAATCAACTTCATGTCTAAAAAATTTTTTTCTCTTAAGCGTTTTGGCCATTTCACTGCATTTTCTAAAATTAAGTTTATTAAAAACAAAAAAGATTTATTTACCAGATTCCCCACTCTCATCCTCTGGTAGCAGCTCAAATGAAAATATAATACTGCCAGACTTTAGATTAATATTCTTTATTCTGGTAACTGGGATACCACATAGATCTGTTACCATGGCAATGGATTTATTCCTAAACTCCTCATCTAGATTCCTCAGCTTCAGATCATTATAGTTCCCTATGTCATAGGTTATTACGACCTCTAGAGCATCATCTGCAACAATAAATGGCACCAATTTTTAATACAAATTGTTGAGATGAACCATCAGTCCATAAAATTTCTTTGACTTGACTAAAATGAATTTTCCTCATACACACAGTGAAATGATTTAATAAAGGACAGGTAGTTGTTTGCAAGTTTGTGTTTATGTTCTTTGTATACTTTGTGTCTTAAAAACCCAATCATTGAACATCTGAGGGTTTGTTAAAATATTTGTTTCTATAAGTTCTAGACTACACTGATCAAAAATCATATAAGTTGATGATGGAACAGTGTTTCAACTGCTAATATACAACTCTCATTGAGTACTACAATGCCTCAAAATTAAAGATAACCTCTGGATTATAAACCACACTTTGTAACATTTTGATTGCTCTATTATGTAATAGAATGAATTTTGATCGACCAGTATAATCTATAATCAAGCAAAACAGCATGTCAACTTTTTTTACCAAATCTTACAATACAATACAAGGCTTTTTAATGTATTATCAACCAACCTTCTTCATTGGCTTCTTTTGAGGTTGATAAGGCACTTTGCGTAGTTGTGGGTGTTGTAGAGGGGATTGAAGTGGTTGAGTCCATTACTGGGGTAGTACTGGTGGTGGTGGTGGTAGGGGTGGGTGGTGGGGTAACACATAATATCCCCTTTCTAGGGCACATCAATACACCAATATAACCAGGCACCTACAAATAAGGACTATCTGAGTGCAAGGAAAAGTCGGGATCGTCAAATGAGGTAAACACACAACAAAAAGGAACAATAAATCAGACAATCCGAGTTTTTTTTCTAAAAGACATCAAATCAAAGAATATGGCATGAATTTCAATGTGTGAATTAGCAAATACCAGGCCTTAATCTTGACGATTTCCATAATTCTTATTCGTGATATATAACTGATTCAGTAATCAATATGAAATGTTGTTGCCATGGTAAAAGCTTCACCACCACTGTGTATTATATATAGTTAACAAGGTGCACAGTTCAGCGTATGTGTACATATACAACTTCTGAGGGAATGACAAGGAGACAGATACCAAGACTGTGACTCACATTTATAGACTGGCCCCAGGGGCAGTTGACCCAGTCTGACTGCCCCACCTTCACCTGGAGATCATCATGGTTGACAGTTTTGACACACCTATGTTGGTAGCACCCACCTTCTATTGCAGAGCCAACTGTTTCCTGTTAAAGAAAATTGCAATGCCTTTCACAAGGAAAAATGATTCCAAGCGATCTGGACCAAATAAAATTGCAATGCATTTCACAACTGCACAAGGAAAAATTGTTCCAAGCGAGCTGGACTAAAGAAAATTCAATGGGCGGTTCTCAGAAAAAAAACTGGGTGCCAAGCAATATTTAAAATCAACATGACACACAGTGATAAATATCGCACTTTGAAGAGCAAACTGGCCACCATGCAGTTTACCCAGCATGGCCAAAACCTAATCAGACCTTGGCACTAGTCTGCTCTTGCATCTGTAAACATTTCAAGTTGACAAGGTTAGGGGTTTTCCTGCAATTTTGATGACAAGAATTTATTTGTAGTCTCAAACTTTGAGAAACTTGGATAACATCATTTGTGACCTAGTTTAATGACCTTGACCTTCGACCTTGAAAATTTCACTTTTTCGGACCTCAGTAGGTCTTTTGTAATAAAGCTGACCTAAATTTAAATCCAAAATATCAATTTAGAAAATCAACTTTTTTGACCTTTTCAAGGTCACTGAAGGTGAACGAAAGGTCAAATCTGTGACCTAGTTCAATGACCTTGACCTTCGACCTTGAAAATTTCACTTTTTCAGACCTCAGTAGGTGTTTTGTAATTAAGCTGACCTAAATTTAAATCCAAAATATCAATTTAGAAAATCAACTTTTTTGACCTTTTCAAGGTCACTGAAGGTGAATGAAAGGTCAAATCTGAAATCTAAGGTCAGATTTGAATTTCTGAGAACTTGTAGATGTTTTTAAAAAAAAATTTGGTCAATTTGGAGCAAGTTGAAAAATTCAAAATGGCCGCCAAATTGAAAAATTCAAAATGGCCAGCATGTAATTAAGCCAGCATACCCAAAACCTAATCAGATCTTGGCAATAGTCTGCTCTTACATCAGTAAAAATTTCAAGTTGAACGGATAAGCAGTTTTCCTGGAATTTTGATGACAAGATTTGTTGAAAAATTCAAAATGGCCGCCATGTAGTTTACCCAGCATGCCCTTAACCTAATCAGATCTTGGTACTAGTCTGCTTTTGTATCTGTAAAATTTCAAATTGAACAGGTAAGCAGTTATCCTGGAAATTTGATGACAAGATTTGGTTTATGTGCCGCCCGCCCGCACGCCTGCACGCCCAACAGCACAAGACGACGACAATATAGCACTTTTTCAAAGTGCGATAAAAATATGTGACATTTTTGCTTACACTGAGCTTTGTGCGTGTTAGGTTGCCGTAGAAACACCTGCTCTCTCTACTATATACTTCCCCTGTCTTCATGAGAACATCAGTGCTTGGTGCACTGTCACTGTCAATGCAATGGCCCTGGAATGGAACAAAAATAGTGACTTAAAAATATCAAAATAGATATTACTTTTGTGAATAGACCTATAAAAATGTTTTTGCTATTTCTAAATGCACTCTGATTGGTTAAAGCCTAAAATTGACAATCTGTGAACCAATTAAGTTAGGAATATTTAAAAACTTAAGTGTGAAAGATTACCCCTGTCTCAGCTTGGTATATTTTACATGTGTGAAGAAACTGGTCTGTCCCGCAGACTCCTTTATCTTCCAGGAGATAGTGACAGCCTCTTGGCCTGTAGAATACACAACATAATAGTTATTTAACAGTTGACAAAATTAAAAGTGAAAACTAACATATTAAAAATATTTTTTTTTTTAAAAACTTAAAAAGTAATAGGACATACAATTCATGTTAAAGCAATGAAGTTTTAATCAGGCTGTTTATACTCATAATTATAGTTTTTAGACTATTTATAGCTTCAATCAAACATAAAGATCTGAGTCTTGAGTGCAGCTTACCTATTTGTACAAAAATACTGAGAAGGCTTATGACATGTAGAGTTGAGACCAAATGTACAGCCTTCACCTGGAATAAACAGAACAAATTTACAAAACAGGACATTAACATGCAAAATGTGACCACCTGTCACTTGTTACAGATGCCAACAGCCTAACATCTACCACGGAATGTAATGAAGAATCCTGAACACCAACTTCTGAACACGTTCTAAGTGTTGAAGACTAAGACAATATTACTTGTGGTGGTGACATAATAATACTTAAAAATCTGTTAGAGCTTGAATCACAAAGGATGTCTAAATTCTTCCAAAGCAGGATGGTTCTAACTGACGCTCATATTTCATAGACATTCTTTTATAGAACATCTCTGTACCTTTCCCCCAGGTGTAAGGGTCTGCCATCCCGTAGTTGACCGTGTACCAGCCACTGTCTTCAAATACTGCCAGAGTGAGTGGGTCAATCTTTGTCAAGTGGGGCTGAAAATATGCAATTGTTTTACTAAATCAAATATAACGTAACATGGTCTCTCACGTTTTCATAACAATTTTCATTTTCTCACATTTTAATAATCGAGAATATGTTGCTGTAACTGTGTATGATGGTACCATGAAAATGAAATATTGAAAATGGAGAACTGTATGAAAAATGGTTTGTATGTGTTACACAAGAGCTTTTGTTTGAATATTGTTCCCTCTTGAAAAATGTTCCATCTTATACAGGGTGTTCCAAAAGTAACAGGACTGGTGCTGGCATTTTGTTAAATATGCACCAATCGTCTTCAAAATTTTATATAATGTACTTTTGTGTATCGTTACTTAGACTGCAAAGTTTCAACAAAATATATGAAACTCGGGTAGAGAAATGGTTGCTATAGTAACATGACATCGCAATACCCGGGGCAACATTCCACACAAAAAGTTACAGAGACATTAAGCATTTTGTACATCCCATATCATTTTGTACATGCCATATGAAAGTTGAAATGCAACAACTTGTGGGAATTACATTTATTTTAATAGGCTCCTCTTTGGTCAGTGCAAGAGTAGTACTCTGCATCCATGACCCAAACACATGAGTGAACCCATTTGAGGACATGTCACGCAGGGTCGATTGGACAATTTTCTTTAAAGGTCTTACAGGACTGATTAGCATTCCGTTCTCAATATATGTAAAAATTAGATATTGCATGATCAGAAGAGTATGGTGCATGGTTTTAGACCTCAAGACCTAGCTCCTCTATAGCTGCATGGTCTTAAATGGAGACCTGGGGGCAGGCGCGCTATCAAGGTGGATAACTGGCTTCAAATCGGGTCTTTTCAAAAACTCAACCGTGAATTGTTCAGATTGTTATACATAGTGATATTCCAGGAAATTGAATAAATATTATTATCATTATGAAATTATACTTGAATCTGAGTTGTATAACATCATCTTTACAACAAAGCAACTAATAAAATAAACAAGAAATGTTGGATCATAATAGGTGAATTAGATACTTTCTTCAGTAATACAAAAATGTTAGATATCACATTTTCAGGAAAAAAGTTGCCCCAGGTATTGGGATGTCATGTTACTATAGTAACCATAACTTTAACCACACTTTATCATTTTTTCTGAAACTTTACAATTTTAGTTGCAATACTTCAAAGTACAATTTGTGAAAATTTGAAGACACTCCATGTAAAATTGACAAAATGCCAGCACCAGTCCTGTTACTTTTGGAACACCCTGTATACTATTCCATCTTAAATTTCCATTTTGAATAGAATTCCCTTCTCTTGATTACAACTCTTTCAAACATAATCGATTTAATTTGTACTCACGATGCCGAAGTTTGGAGTCATTATAGATCCCTGTAGGAAGGCTGCATCCCAATGAGAGCTCATGGTACCACTCTGGAATATGACAGTAACAGATGAAAAACTATAAACACATTATGAATCTATACTAGATTTTTTACGTATCAACAGTATAATTTATGCCACTATTTGTATAGGATGTATAGACGCTGTTTCATCATGCACGGATCTTGAGATAGTGAGTGTTGTGTATTACAATGAATGTGCAAGGGAGCAGAGCTTCGCAAATTGATGAAACAACGTACTCTCATTAATAGAAACTCAAACTAAAGCTAAAAAGCAGTAACAATTTCTTCAGGTCATGTCACTTAAACCTCTAATGTTCTGCTATTGAAGCCAACCATGAGTAAGATGAAAAAGAACAAACTCTGGTCATTTCTATGGCATTTTTGAAATATAATTATTTTACTTCGTCATCAAATATAGATCACTAATCATTCTTGAAATACACTTACAGTGACATCTAGGGGCACTCCAAAATCAACCGTTGAATCATTGCACTTAAAATGTTGCGACGTTCGTTCCACTAAGATAGGTGTCGCTAGTCTCTCAACCCCATATATTGTGCGTATAGCATTATGCTGTAGTGGACAGTTTGTACCAGTATCTAAAGTGAAGAAGAAATGTATTCATTTATAATTTTCTATGATTTATGAGGGATATCATTATCATTCAAGAGTGCATTTCAGCAAAAGAAAGTGTTCAGATGATTCATTGCATAGGACTAAATTTTTAAAGTGATACATTTTATCAACTGATATAAACTTAATGAATGGACTGGATTATATTGACTTTTTGAAATACATATACGTTTGAAAGAAATATCTTCCTGAATGAATTTTGGATTTTTAGTTAACAGTCTGCATTGAACACTTATTGTATCATCACTATGGGTGTGATTACACGAAATAAATTGACACTAAATGAAACTGCCTATAACCAATTGCATTAAACAGCAACAACTTATTATGCATAGAATTTAGTGTAGAGAGAACCTATCATTAATTCTACTTACCAGACTGCCTGCAGTCTCTGTACTTTTCAAACAGACTTTTAGTGAAGCCCAGTGTATGGAACATCTCATGTATACCAATCTATAACATAACACAAACTCTATTACCACCCACAATGAATGATATCACCATTTTGGAATAGTAAGGATATTATGCATACACATGTTAAATGTAATAGAATGTTCCATAATAATGATACAATATACATACAAAGATGTCATTTTTTGAATTCTAGAGTAAAACAACAAAGCCGCAGTCTTAAGAGGAATATCAACAAGGCAATTAGGCAATGATTTGAAATAATCAGAGGTGATCTGGGAACTGAAATGTCACCTGGTACATACACTTCTCTTATCGCTTACAGGCCCGTAGCCAGGGGGGTTCGATATTTTCTTAGCAAACCCCCCCCTTGCCAAAAAGTCTTTCAAAATCATGCAGTTTTTCACCATTTTGAGCACTTTTTAAGTGATTTGGGCCATTATTGGACCGAAATTGTCACAAGTGAACCCCCCTGGAATTTTTCAAAAAGTGAACCCCCCATGGCAAATCCTGGCTACAGGCCTGGCTTACCAATGTCAGACGTGAATGCTCATACAGTGGAGGTCTCAGATGCAAGGGGCAAATGTTAATGTACCCAGCGATGGGTCTAGAATTGCCATCAGTCTGACAGTAGCCACCATATGCAATAACATTCCTGCTCTGAAAATACACATTGTCACATGATCTAACATAATGCTGAATTGTGATTGGATAAAAGTCATCATGTGACTTCCGTTGAATATTGCGCGCTTCTTATTTTTTAGTCACTTGTAGGACATGGACCAATCAAAGAGTGAGGAATACGACAGTGATATAATAATATTACATATTTGAAGTTTAGATAAACATGTACAAGGAGATACAAATGTCAGATGATCATAGAGGAAGGAGAATTGAAGGAGTGTTACCATGGTAGCACACTTGACAGTATCTGTGCGAGAATTAACATAGAGCACAAAATCTGTGTTGACCAGTCCCTCCCCCGCTGCATACACCACATTAGGGTCACGGTCTTTTGAATTATATGTCACAAACTGCCCAAGGTGCTCATCAGGGATCTAAATAAATAAATACAAGAATATATTGTTATATATATTTTCTATATTTTTATAAATTACCTTTTTTTGTAAATGAATTTGGATTGTACACTTGAATGTAGTACTACAAATGTAATTCAAGGTTTTTTTTCTGATGATACAGCTTAAAAATCTTACTTAGCTAATGATGATCATGCAAACTGAATGAATGGGGTCTTGTAGCCTCTTATATATCAAGGTGCAATGTACAAAGAAAATTTTACTGTAGTAGAACTGTATATTGTAATTTACTGTATATTTTGCAAAACAATTGTTTTTATTTTATGGCTTGTCAAATGTATGAATATTTCATATTGAGGAATATACTCACATAAAACTCATTTAAACACTTCTCCCCTCTGTAGCCCCTTTCCATAGCACCACATCTGCAAGAAATAAGATCAAACATACATGACCTGACATGTTCTTCCTCACAACATACATGTACAATGTACCTATAATTTGGTGAATGACTGGTTTTCAGTATCTGGGGCGTTAATCGAATTGGTATACCATTGTTTTCTTTTGAAAAATGGTTTAAAACATGATTATCAATGTTATTCAATAAATTCTAATAGAACACAGATCAGGCCTGTAGGCAGGGGAAATCGGGGATACAAATTGTCTTTCAAAATCAAGTTTTCACCATTCTGAGCACCTTTCAAGTAATGTTGGGCCAAAGTCTGCCAAAGAGAACCCCCTTGAAATCTTTTGAAAAGTGAATACCCATTGGCAAAAGCTAGATATGAACCTAAGGATGCATTTCTCAGAAAGAATATTTTTTAATTCAACGAATCACTTAATAACTTTAATATAATTTTTGATGCACCAAGCAGAACACAACACAAGTTTTATAATAACTATCCTACGTTTAAAGTTCCAGATTTAACCTAGAAATGAATGAATGAATGATTATCCCCATAACCTTGTGTTCTTTTGATTTTCAAACAAAACCATTACTAACTAAACAGAAGATTCGTTGTAAGATCGACTATTGATTTCCTTTACCGTTATTTACCTGGTGTATATATAGATAGACTTAACACAAAAGACATTGGCAGAGAATCACTATTAGGGATATCAATATAGAATTGCCTGTGAGTCTTGCTTCAAGACTGTCTATGTTAAGCTTACCTTCCCTTGTTGGGGCCCCTTGAATGTACCCCTGCACAGGCATCTCTAGAGAGTAAAAGTTTTCTAACAGGAAGCACTGAAAATGAATAACGTATAATTTATACACATGAACGGCAGTTACATGCAGAGTAGGAGCTGTTGTTCTGGGACAGAAGTGTCTTCTTGGACTCTTTTAAAAGAGCTCTTTAAAATGCTTTTTATTTGAAATTTCTAGCTCAATTTTGAAGGAATTTACATAAGTTTGTAAAATTCAAAACAAATCTTAAAAACATTTTTTTGGCTCGCTTGTGCCACAATCGCACCTCCATGACTAAAAACCAAAAATCTTTTTTGGTGATGGCCCCCCATGACTGAAAGCTGGCTACGCCTATGTCATATATACTGGTTTTACTGTAAATAATCACTATGACCATCTTTTGGTACTGTTTAAAGTGTTTTAGAGAGGTGCTTGTATACATGTTTTACTCACACAATAAAACCTGTATATCTGAATACCTCTCAAATTTGAAGTTCTCTCAATGTAAACACATTTTTTGGTCCCAAACATTTAATCTCCCATCGACTATCATATATAGAAAAAATTGTAAACCTCTGCTAAACCAAACACTTTTGGCCGGCCCCAATGGCGTCATTCTGATACTCATAGCATCTCTCTCTATTGCAATCGAAATGCTCCAGAAGGATAGAGATGGAGAAGGACGTGGTTTACCACGATGGCGTTGGGATTAGACAGGTTTTACCATGCAAACATTGTGAATTAATAGAAATCTTTATCATTTAGTTGTTAGTTGAGAGAATAACATTCTGCCCATTCACTATATATTTTCCAAATCAATAATAACGATAGCTTTAAGGTTACTGTGACTGGAACCAGTTTTCCCAGTTGAACTCTCAAAAGACAAGTAAATAAGTATAGATATAAGTAATTGGTATAAATGGAATACCATGTATACAGGAACAAGAAACAAATCATTTAAATATTATGTTTATTCAATGATATTTGGAAAAGCCATTGCAGAATTTTTGATTGGGAATACAGATTCTTCATTAATCTAATTTTCCATTTGAGTTTGTTTTCTGTTGCCAAGCAATATCAAAACAGTTGTACATGTTGCTTGGTAACAGAACTAAGGTAAATTTTGCTCTATTCAATGTCAGTTTTAACATGAATTATTCAGAAAGAGAACATTGCAATAATATAAACTTATACCTTATATAATATGTAACAGTATTAGTATCATCAAATAGCTGATGATATGAAATGTGAATCCTTGGATGCCTTTAAAGGATATGCATAAATCTGGATGATATGCATATTAATATTCTTATGAAATTTTGGCGATTATTCCCGATGATTACTGGCATTTTGACTCATTCTAATGCAGTAGACTAGATGCGAGTAGAAATAATCTTCATTTACATCATTAAATACTCAAAATTGTGAATGTATCGGAGTTATTTTTAAGGTCTGACTAACCAAAATAAGAAACAAGAACAGAATTTATATTCTTAATACAGGTTCGGTGCTCGATTAACTACCTCAACACAATTTCATTGATTGAAGTTTATCTAAAAATGGGACAAACATGTTTGCAATTTACTCTGCAGTTATGTTACAGTAGAATTGGGATGTTATGTACTCTGCATTTATTTGACTTCACTTTTTAGGAGAGCTTCGTTTTAGTTTATAACTAGCCTTTGCGCTCAGGGTGTCTTTGATGTGATGGCCTTTTAGCATTTTATACAGGTACATTATGCTTCAAACATTTCAATGAAGTAGATTCATTCTATTGATATCATTACACAGTATTGAATTACAATGTGCATTACAATCAAAACACTACTCATTGTTACTAAGCAATTAAAATAAACACAATTGAATTCCCTATAGACTTTTGATAGCCTTGGCCGTCGCTTATTGATTAGGATATGTGAATGAACTACTACACATTTATTGATAGAAAAAACTATAGACTAAGCAAATACATTTTTATTTATCTAAAAGGTGATTTTCTATTTGTGTTTCAAAGCGATTTTATTCTACATTGACTAAAAATCAATGTAGAAGAGCATTGTGATTTCGCCACCATTAAAGCTACTTGACTGCATCATAAAGGGAGTGAACATTAGTTTGCACCCTGGTTTGAACCATGTCGAAATTCTATTTGCATCTAGTCCCAGTAGAGAATTTGAAAAATCATGGACTACTTTTGATTTAGTCATCAGCTGAGTCAGACGATTTAAAACAAGAATAAAAAACAATAATTCATATACTGTATTTGTCATTATTTTGGTGCTATTAAAAATAGGAAGCAGTGATCTCCCCATGTCACTTTTACCGGGGGCTCCCCCTACTTGAAACCAAAGGCCCCCCAGTTGGCACCCAGTTGGCACCCAGTTGGAATCTGCACTTCAACCTCTGATGATGCAGATTCGGGGTGTGCCTTTCTTCAATAAAGGAATACACAGTAACATCTGTAAAGTGGAACACTTCTGTAAGTGGAACACCTCCATAAGTTGAATACTTCAGTCACGCAACCTATTGACTTATTGTTAAATGAACCTCTATAAGTGGAACACCTCCCAAGTGGAACACTTTTTAGTGGTACCAAGTGTTCCACTTACGGTTTTATTGTAATCATCAAGATAAACTGAGTCATCTCAGTTTCTTCTATGTGGTGCTTAAGTAACAGAGAATGTGATGGTAGTATTTTAATGAGATGAATATAAATGGAAGGACATACCTGATAATATTTTCGTTATTTTTCTTACACCCTCCTGGATGATTGTCTTCAGTCTCTCTTGTTCTATATCATTCAGCTCAACACCAATATCTCCATAGTAAGTATGAATCCTGATTGGGCTATACAGTTCAGCTGGTGCACGTTTTACCCGAGGACTTCCTGAGTCAGTCTCTTTGTGTGAGTAATCCAGGTGACTGATGGGTACATTAGCTGGCTGAACGTCATCAGATACGCAACCTCCATATGCACATGTAGTATAGGTGAGAATCAGGAGTAATGTGAAAATGTGCGATAATAATGGTGGGGTAATCTTTAGTTTTGTTGCACAGTTTTCCCCATGTGGTTTTCTCAGACGTTGTTGTATAGGTTTATGGTTTGTGCTTGGCAAGGGTATTGAAGATCCATGGTTTGGCAAAGGCCTATGGTTTGAACGCCTCTGTATGAATGTCATACTGCTTGAATTACATCACCTCTACAGGTTGAAGTAAAATCCTATTTCCATTAATGGATGAGCAGCCATCTTCATTGCTCTCTATGCATCTAAAATTAAATGTATGACATCACAATTAACCCCTCTTTTTGGACAAGCCTAGAATAAATAATTCTGGATAGCCTACTTTGAATATTAAATAGTTTTTTACAGTTCAATCATACCGTCGTCAACCTTGGACATTTGACAAGTACCTCTAGCTTACTATGGCTTTTTGGGAACATTTTGAAAAATCATAATGTCTTTTTTTTTAGAAAACAAACTCTAATTACATCATTCAATGCATCATTTCATACTCTGCAATAAACAAACCCGCCTGGCCCAGTTATCTACTCCCAACGTCGTAGATCGTAGATAACTGGGCCAGACGAGTTTGGTTAACTCTGTATTTTGCTTTCTCATGGTGTATTGCTTGCATGGCAACTCTTTTAAAGACCATCAATCATATGTCACTGATATTCTCCTGTAAAGTAAGCTAACAGTTAAAACTTTTGCAACATGACCTGAAACTAATCTTTATCAGCTGGAATTGATATACCAGATGAAAATATGTATGGCAGTTATTTGTAGAAGCCGGTAAACTACTGTAGCTAGTCTGACAGCACTGACATTTAATCTCAATTCAATATCGCCCATGTAGTAGATGATTACATTTTATCAATCATATAATCTTAAAGTGGGAGTATCGATTGCCGAGTCGTATCCAATGATCCTGGGCCTATCGTAAAATGAAAGCTTTGAATATGTTGTTGCCTTTAAAAATGTATCTATTTTCCATGTATGCTACTAGAATTTGTGCACATACCTTATAACGATCGATAATGGCAAAGGAAAATCCTCTAATTCTTCGTCATAATTTCTCCTTCGACGTCCGCCATTTTTTATTAAACCGGAAGTTTTTCTCTGACGTCCGCGCAATGTTTTTTCACTTTTATTTCAGATTACGCTTCGGATTCAACATTTAATGCTTTCTAATATTAATTAAGTGTTTTCTATCAGAAAGATTTCATAAAAAGACTCACACTATCAGAGATTTTATCGATTCGAGCAGCCAGAAAAATTAGTTTCAATTTCACCCGCTAGGTGTTTCGACGTCGACTTGGAAAGAATTTGAAAAATCTATGAGTGGGACTCCTTGTATGGAATTGTAGATTCTAAACGATTTGCCAGTTCTACTGGTTGGTGAATATTGCCATATGCATACATTTTTATAAAATAGGAATAAGGAAGAAGATGTTGGACCAAACTTCACCCCGATAGCTCAGAAAAGGTAAAATTTCTCCATTTTTCTCTCCACAGACCTTAGAGCCGCTTTAAGGTACAGCTGGAAAGTAACATTTTGGTAAAAAATTGCTATACCTGCACATGTTATTTTCTGGTACAAAATAAAGTATGAAGGCATGTATCAATTTCCTTGCTTTTTTCAGGAAAGTATCATTACATTGTCTTCTTTTAGAATATCTGGTATAGTCTAGTAGGCGTTCAAAGGGAACTCCAGGGAATTCTGATATTTCACACTTCCTGTTTTTCCAAATTTTCTTTCAAAGTTTCCAGACAACACAGGAGCTACCATTGACCTGTTTCCAGGTTTACTAAAAGTAGACAGTGTAATGATACTTTCCTGAAAAAGCAAGGAAATACACACATGCCTTCATACTTAATTATGTACCAGAAAATAACATGTGCAGGTATAGCAATTTATTACCAAAATGTTACTTTCCAGCTGAACCTTAAATGAACAGTATCAATGTATTTACTACGGTTTATATCACTGTCTTATTTTTTGGCAAAGAAAACAAGCAAGGGATGTTGTCTTGATTCCAAAACGCAAAAGTTGAACCTCTGGCCTTCAAATTGTACAATACAGTTGGGGACAAAAATAAATGACAGGTCGATTTTCGATCACCATTTCCTAATTATGGTGGTCTGAAAGCCCATAATTTCCAATATTGTCTAGATACATATCCCTTAAAATTTGTATATTTTACATTTTGTATAATCTCATCCACTGATTTATGGCCTCTTGTAAATTCTCTTATTTTTAACATGGGAAATCCTCACTTCAGCAAATCCACCTGTCATTTATTTATGTCCCCAACTGTACTTGTCGGACTAAAATGTACAAAAAGATCTGTAGGTAATTAGTCGCTCTTGCTAGATAATAGACATAATACAGTTGGGGACATAAATAAATGACAGGTGCTTTTGCTGAAGTGAGGATTTCCCATGTTAAAAATAAGAGAATTTACAAGAGGCCATACATCAGTGGATGAGATTATACAAAATGTAAAATATACAAATTTTAAGGGATATGTATCTAGACAATATTGGAAATTATGGGCTTTCAGACCACCATAATTAGGAAATGGTGATCGAAAATCGACCTGTCATTTATTTTTGTCCCCAACTGTATCTATACCAAAGATTTTTCTACAGTCCCAATACAGTTTAGATTGTTTAGAGATGTAAACACTTTTGACATTTTGTTCAGAATCAACAATTTGAACATGCAACATCTCTTGCATTGGCCAATAAGGAGTCAATAGAAAACACCATAACTTTACATAACAGAAGGATTTGTCACCAAGATATTTAGCCTATACAACATATAATATATTCATGTACAACAATGTATATATATCAAAGACTTTAAGTGTGAGAAAATGAGTAAATTTGACAATAAATGAAGAGAATTCTTACCAAACCGCAGGCACTTCCTTGTTGTTTACTTTAATCAATGTGAGGTTAAATGCGGAGTTAATCAAGTTGCAGCTTACGATAAAATTAACTATTTCAACACAATAATTATAAATAGAGATAAAATTCAGTATTTTAATGATGCATTTTGGCAAAACACAACTCCTGATACCTTACAAAATACCATTTTGTGATATGATCGTCGCCAAAATGTATGACCTTGACCTCTAAAATGGCGGATGAATTGAAAAACAAAATTTACAATTTTTTTCGGTAATTATCATCTTACTTGATAGCTGTTGCCATACTGGTCTAAAAACATATATTATCTAAAGTCGGACCTCTATACCTTCAAATAAATATCACATTGAGGAATGGAGTCTTCTTATTTTTGTACTGCGGGAGGGGGCACTGAAATTTTCTTAGCAGACGAATTGAAATTTATTTCTGCGAGACATTCTGGTGATTTACAAAGTGAAAGATGTTCCAGTTCACAATTACAGGTAAGGTTATGATGTGTCTTATTGACAACTTTTGAAAATGTACTGATGAACTCACCGGCCTACTGTCAACCGAACGACTATAGTCTTACCTTCTTCAAGTATATTATCTCGTTCCAAGACTATCTCTACGTTCTAGTCCACAATCTAAAGGGGTTGTAGGATGTGATAGCAAGTATAGACTCTGCGAAAGATAAAACATACATGGAGTATAGCCCAAGAATATCTCAAGCATTTGGCTAGCCCTTTCAGAGGTGTTATCATATATTACACAACCATAAGAAAAAGGAGCGGTCCAAGAACGGAGCCTTGTGGTACTCCTGCTCTAACTGGCAAAAAGTCTGAGTGCTTTCCATTGACAACTACTCTTTGCAAACGATTTGTTAAATAATAAAATCTGCATTTTTAACAACTAAAGACTAACATTTTCTTCTATTTGATGGCATATTTGAATTTTTTGTGTTTACCTTTATTCAGATTCTAGAGATTTTCAAGTTTTCTAAAAATGGTCAGGCTAAATCCCCATTGACACAATGTTGAAAAACCTTTAAAAGTTCATTTACTCTTTTAAGGATTACAATATTAATGTGAAATCACAATCCACATGTCAATTATATCATATAGTCACATTCCAATGGTGTTTTAAGTTGATCCAAATGGAATAATTTGTTAAATCAAGAAATTAAGTGACTCCTGTTATTCAGCTGCCATGTTATTAAGCCCTACCAATACCCACGATGCCATCTATTTTTCCATTTATATAGAAAAGGGTCAATTGTGAGTGTATAGATATAAATATAGGGATATTTTGGTACATTGATTTTCAGTGTATGGAGAATAAAGCAATTTGGCAATTGTTATTACACTGTATAGTTTAAGGTTTTTCGAATATTTTCAGGTCGAGGGTAAAGTCCTATTCACATTTTCTGGCCACCCAGCAGAACTGTTAAATTTGAAGACTGCAGAGAGAGTTTTTGTTCAGCTCTGCTATAAACCACATTGGATAAAACAAAATGGAAAAGGTAGGCTATTTTTAGTGTTCTTATTCATTCTAAAATTCATCAATTTGACATGACAAAAATAGAGAAGAGGGGATAGTGAGACCAGCACTTATTTAGAACACTCATTGAAAATTCTGTGTACTAGTATTCACAATGTACTCATTGAAAATGTGGATTTTAATATTTCAAATTGCAAACAATTATTTGGTGGTACCTTTGATTTGATTTGAATTGAGATGGTTTACCCACTTTTGAGATGCAAAGTCAAACTTATGCAATGGGTAAACTTACTTACATATCTATCCTTTCATTTTTACATTTTCCAGACAGTAGCATTATGACAGCATTACAAAACACACTAGAAGCTATCACTCCCCAGGACTGGGACAATGCTAAACACACTTGGAATTTTGTTAATCCACCAAAGAAACGAAGTGCAAGGTTTCAGAATAATCAAAAGAGCTCGGAAAAACTGTGCAATAAACGACAGAAGACAGAAAATGATGATGTAACATTCAGAGTGTCACTCAAGTGTCCAAGAGAGTACAATAATCGGGTGGGTACATGTAGCTGTGTCAGAATTTTGCTTCTTCTTTGGGAGCCAATGGAAGTCAAGGGTCAGTGTTGCTATTTTAGTTTTTATCCAAGAAATAAATTCAAGATCCTGAATTCATAACAATGAATAAATAATGAATCCTAACATTAATTGCTTAAATCAATTGCCATTTATCTTGCATTCAGTTTATGCCATTATATATCTTTTAGAGAAAGGGTGGAGATGGACAACTATAGTAAAACCCAATTTTCTTCCCAGGTTTTTTCAGGTGTGCAAAACTCATTTTCACAATATTGAAAAAATGTCCATGTTTTTTCTCATTTTCAAAAGAGCTCATTCACTTCAATACTGGAAAGATCATTGATCATAGCTCTCTTCAAATCTCTTGAAGTAATACATCTATATGTTCAACATGTTCTATTGAAGAGAGTGTCTTCCATGGTTGGTGGGTGCATTACAAGGCAAACTGGTTGGAAAGTGGACCTCAGGAAACCACTATTTGAGGTGCTTATTTTTTTTTTCTTTAATTTGATTTGATTAGGCTTTATATTGTTCATTGGCGTTAAATGACTATACATGTAGGCTAAAAATTTTGATAAAAATGATAATCAAAAGTCCAGAACTTATGAATAAAAACATGGACCATTTTGTGTAATTACTTTTATGTAGAACCAAAATTGTAGGGTTGCAATTTGTGGGGTTACCCTGTATGTTCAGGTTAACTTATTGTATGTTTTGTATTTTTAAGGTGTACATTCAACTAAACAACAATCACTTGATAATAGGGATACCATTAACAAAGTAAGTCAGAGAAACAGATAACCTTTCAGATGTCTATCTGTCCAAAAATACATCACACACTCCATTTCTGCATAGGAATGACAGAATTATTTATTTACAAGACCTTGATTTTTAAGCAGTTTCCATCAAATTGACAAATGTTTTGAAAGTATGATGAATAATCAGCCTTACTTTGTGTTTTATGGTGTCAGAACTTTTTTCTGGTAGTAATTTGTCCCAAACAGATATTTTAGTTCAATACTTGACTGAACAAAAACTTCTAAAACTCCAAAGAAATCCTGTAGAATTCAAATCGAATTGGCCTTTTTCACTTGTGATTTTGACACCAGGAAAGAAAATCTGACATTTTCCAGTCTTTAGTGTGGAGTGTGGGTTACAGTAGTCATTGTTGTTTGCAGGATTCCCTTGAGTGACAGGCCCTACATAGAAACCATAGGCCTAAGATCAACTGTTGCTTGGATCATGGCTCATAAAGCACAAATACAGGTATGCATTTAGGGCCGCTTTTAGGGTTTTAGCATTAGGGCATGTATAATTCACTGAAGGAACTAGAACTCTGAGGGCATGTTTTTAGTGGAAGGCACCGTTTTCTGAAATGATTTCACCCCTTCCCTGATGTACAAAATGTATGAAATGCATCAATTACCCAATTACAGGTAACAGAGTCTGAATCAAACTTTTACAACTTCCAATAAATGATGTTGACATTTTGTCATGTTAATGCCTTGAATAATTGTGCAGTAAGCATAATGCACAATGCTGTAATGAGATATAGACTATATTCACTGGTACATGTAGCACCCATGCAATGATTATTTGAAGTTGAGCAGCTTGCTGTTAAACCAGGGCGCTACCCCCTGGGGGTTTCACTCCCAATATACCTCTTAATACCTATGTGCCGCACCAAAGACCCTCTTTTTGAACATTTTTTCCATGTCAGTTTCCTCTCAGATATATATTAGTCAATTGTATTATGTCCATGTCGAATTCCTCTGGAGTTTGCTTGGACTAAGGTTTCCTAAATATTGTTAAATTGACTAAAAAAATCACTTTTCCAGTGATTTGTCCCTGGCCTTGGCAACTGATATGACCAATTTAACACCATTTTTGAAGAAAAATTGAATTTTGACCTAAAACAGATACAATTTTCCATGTTTTTTTCGTCTCGGATTTGCCAGTTTCCATAGTTTATGCCCAAAGCCAAAATTGGGCCTGCTGCACATACCTACCCAAATTATTTAGAGTTAACCCCCTGAATACATGACTGTTACATGAATTCCTCAAATAAGAAATCCTTGATATGTTTGTATACTGTACACACACCTAATAACGCAGATGCGAGTAGGTAGTTACCAGATTCACCACCAGGTGGCTCGTTCGGGTCAGATAGCATGGCGGGTATAGGAGAAAGTTCCCTTAAACTTAAATCACATCTGTTTTAATGATTCAATTTTCATATAACCCGTATGTATCTAATAGTTATGCAAACTGAAATATGTCCAGTAAAAGAAAATGTTATCTATCCAATACAAGAAAAGATATTTCACTTTTTGTGATTTTGTATCATGGGGTCTATGGGGAATCAACCCCTAGAACAAGAAGTCACATTTTCAAAAAAAATTAAATTTTCAAAGTTGATAAACAATTTTCGAAACCATATTTTTAGATGTACTTTTACATGCAGATTTCAAATATGACATCACTTTAACTGAATTATGAATTTTTAATGATGTAAATCAAGATTATTTCTACTCGCATCTGGGTTATTGTTCTAGGCAGGAGACACTGTGTTAGACCCAATGTGTGGAGTAGGGACAATTCTGATAGAAGCTGCTAACAGCTGGAAGGTAAATAATTCTCAATTTATAAACAATAATTTTATAATTTTTTTTTTCTGTATAACATGTATGCAGTAGTACATGAATGTATACATTATAGAGGTCCAATGTTTTCCTCACACCTTCATACTCAATCGGTCAAAAAAGAGGCCATAAGGTGAATTCCATAGGGGACAGCTACTTTCATATTTTATCAAATATCTCATTTTACAAGTCTACTTTTTTATTTTTGCTGCAGTCTGCAAAATTCAGTCCTCAGAATTGATCTTTGCAAATTTTTTCGAGCTTTTGTAAAACATGTTTTTCACTTTTGTCAATATCCATTTGAGATTACAATATTATTTTATGATGCAGTTGATGAAATTTAATTTCCATGTTTTGTTTAATTTATCATAAAGTATTCATTTAAAGTAGAATGTATGCTTGCAATTGACCTGCTTATTTACAAAGCTTGTTTTATTTAGAATACAAAAATATACTGGTATATCATTAAAAAGGTAATAACTGAAATGTTAATGTTGATTTTGTTTAATATTGTTGGTTTCCACCTTTTACTGAATTGTTAATTATTTAAGTTCATTGTGATCAATTTAATCATCGACATTCAGGTGTATCTGCAGAATTATTGCTAATATCTCATTTGTATACACATATCATCCTGTATTAAAATTAATGAGTATGTCATTAAATACAATACTCAAACAAATAGATATCTCAATACAACTGTAAAGCAGTTTTTCTAATGTCACAATATTTACTCTTTTCTTGGATAATTACTCCAAACACCTTTCATTTAAGAATGTAATATTCTGTACATTTAAGCACTTTCATTGAAGCACTCAATCATCTTGATTAAGTCTTTTAGCTATTTTGCACTAGCATGTTACAGTAAAACGACTTTAGAATGTTATTGGCAATGTGTAACATAAACTTCTTTATGTCTCAATCATTGTACAGTCCACATTTTCTGGCCAGTCGCACAACTTCAGCTCATCGTTCCAGTAAAGCCTTAACAGTGTTCCATTCTCCCTTATTGGGCATGGTTTTGACCACGCCCACCCTTCTGTATTACAATGGTAGAAATGGTTGCATTTTTGAGGATCGGGCAGCAATCGTTCCCATTCTGACACATCAGGTCCTATTGGGCATGCATCCCCTAGAAAAATGCAGTTTACTTAATTCTACATGTATTCAATTTCTTAACTTAGAGATTAGTCTTGCGTCAAGACACCCCCCCCCCTCCCTAGGGTCTTGAAGACTACAAGACTACTTGGAGATTGTTGTACCATGGTTGAAAAGATATAGTTCATCACATAGAGATATATGTATCAGGCCTTTAGCCAGGATTTCCCAAGTGGGGTTCCACTTTTTAAAACCAATGACCACCACACCCACTCCCCGTTTAAATTACTTTCACTTGAAATTCCAATTCCAATATGACAGTGCTTTTCAATGCATAGAGTTCATTCAAAACATTGAAAAGCTCTCAGAACATGTAATGGACATGTACCCATTTAAAAAAGCTAATAATCTTTATCAAAACCCGATGATGCAATCAAAAGCCTGGCTGGAATTTCTTGAAAAGTGGCAAAAGCTGGCTATTGCCCTGATGTTTGTTATTAAGCGTTTGGAGTTTGACCCTTTAACACTTATGAACGCTGAGACTTGATACAAACCTTATGTTGGCAATAAACAGACAGTATTAGTAGACAGTATTACCTAAGTTTTGCAACAATTGTCACACCCGATTGCTTAATACCTAGTTTTTAAACTTAGCTAAATATGATTTTATGTAAACAATTTTATCAAATGGTGCACGAAATAGCATAACATTAAAATTGAGTCCCTGGGGAATTTTTTGGGAATTTTGGCACGAACCCTTTGAACCTCCAGTAGCTAGGGGCATGTGTATTTGATATGCAAAAAAGATACATTTTATTAATCAATCGCCAAACTATCAAATATCCCTTCATAAGAAAGGTTTTATAAGTATCATTTATATCAACTTATGGATATTTATATTTTCACCCCTTCATTTACCTCACTCTTAAAATATTTCTTCAAGCTGTAGGATTTTCTTTTGGTATTTTAGTTACAGTGCCTATATTGCTTCTTTTTAACTTCCATCACTTATATACATGTAAACACTTGCATATAATGTTTTAATTGTATACAATGTATAGGCTCCAATACTTACATTCTATGCCATCTTCTGTTTGGTTTCCATCCTGGCCTTTCTTATCATCCGGTTTATCAGGGGTTTGCTCCTCAGTTTCTGTTTCATTCTTCTCTGCCCTTTCTTTTTCTTTCTCTTCTTTGTCTTTCTTTTCTTGTTCTTTATTTTCTTTCTTATTGCATTCTTCTACCCGTTTTACAAAATCATCAACAGTTCCTGCTCCATCTTCTGTATTATAATGTTTCTTCCAGTATTCTCCCTGTTTCCTGATGTCATCTTCTGGGGGTAGTGCATCAGCCTTGTTTTGCAGAAGCAACCTCGCTGCCAAGGCAGAATAAAATGGTTTTCTCAAGTCTTTCCATTCAACCTTCTCCCAGTCTATTCCATAAAGCTCTTTGATCTTTTTGAAGCGCTCTTTTAGTTTAGGATGTGATTTAGTATCTTGGGTGTCTTTAAATCCCACCTCATCAACCTATAGATACACGTATTATGCTTACTCACAAGAGTCAATAATGAACGAAAGATGAGTTCAAAAGCATACAGTTTTTTTATTAATGTGAAATTAAGAGAACAATTGATTCAAAAAATATTGAGAAACCAAGAAGCATTTGTTTCTACAGCAAAACCTAAAAATTCCTACAGTAACTGCCTCTTGTAAAACAACTTGAAATTAATTAATTATAATATAAAATATCTCAATTGATAAGATTTCAGTGATATGTCTTCAGATTATATCACCTGCCATATTCCTCCATGGTAGTTTTTCCTGTATGTATTTTTGTCTGTACCATACTTGGATTCAACACAGGCAATGTTTCTTAAGAATTTTTGACCCGTCTCGGAATATTTCTTCAGCTTTTCTAATGCTGCATCTACGACCTCGGTGCCAGATTCTTTCTTCTTCTTTTTATCTTTTTTACCTTTATCCCCCTTTCCAGTATGTGTCTCTAAATTATAAAAAATGCTGCTAATCAGCCTGTGCTATAGAGTTTATTAGAGTTCACTAACACTGTCCATTCATTAGTTAGGACAATAACATGAATATAAGCAGAACAATTGTGATTAGGAAAGAGCTGTTTTGGTAAATGATTTTATGCAATTTAAACAATATTCCTTTCATTTACAGAGTCTAGATGTGATTAGTTTTTGGACTTGCTGAGTCTTTAATGCCAATAAATGCAAAGTTTGAACTTTACATTTTTTCAGTTTTGATTAAAACAGCATTAACACATAACAGTGTTAAAAACAATGTTTGATGAAATATTATTAAAAACTGCTGAAAATCATCTTACCTTGAATTAAAAAGAGGACAAGTATTGCAACACATATCCGCATTATCTCACTGATAGATACAGAGCGCTTCTATTTTCCTTCTAGATGTAAAGCATATACTTTCTGATAAACAAGTTATAATATGAAAGGCATAAATTGCAGTTGTATATATTAAATGTTTTTATGACTATACTATTCAGTTTATTTGTTCACTCGACTGTGGCGCTCCATATACTTTATTGACAAATAAAATAGAATTCCTATGATTCATATGAATTGTATCAAAACATTAACTATTGCTTCATAATAGACTAGATGAGAATAGAAATGATCTTGATTTACGTCATTAAATATTCAAAATCTAAATGTAAAAGTACTTCTAGAAAAATGGTTTCGAAAATTGTTTATAAATTTTGAAAAGTTAATTTTTTGAAAATGTGAACTCTAGTTCTGGTTGATTCCCCATAGACCCCATGTTACAAAATCACAAAAAGTGAAATATTTTTTCTTGTATTGGACAGTTAATATTTCCTTTTACTGGACATATTTTAATTTGCATAACATAAGGGTTATATGAAAATTGAACCACTAAAACAGAATGTAATTTAAGTTAAAGGGAACTTTCTACTATACCCGCCATGCTATCTGACCCTAACGAGCCACCTGGTGGTGAAACTGGAAACTACCTACTCACATCTGTGTTATTGAACCATATTGAATTATTTAAGAAATTATTGTGAAAATCATGTTGTACTCTAGACTGAAGACGCCAAGGTAAGGAATATGATGGATAAAACTGTAAATAACTGACTGTAAATAACTGAATAAATGACTGTAAATATTAAGAAATAACACTTCTCTTCCAGTTTGCACTTTATCTGTTTCAAGGCTGACAATGAACCCTGGATTAATGTTGAGAGATGCATCTCCAAAGCTTGTAGAGACATCTCTTATTAGGCTTCTTCATAATGAATTAAACTTTTCTTTGTACTTGCTGGAATATATTATGTTGTACATGTACTTTTAAATCATAGCTACATAGATTGTTGCCAGGGCTATGTGCCTACATTGTAAAACTGAAGAGTAATATAACATGGATTTCATTAGTATGAGCTAAAATTGATTGTATAATTCATATATTTCCCATATTTTTATGTTTGTATTTGTACTTGTAGAACGCATCATATCTTGGTTGTGACACAAGTGAAGCTCAACTGGCTCTAGCAGAGCGGAACATACAATGTGCCGGACTGGCAGAAAGGCTACAGGTCATCCAGGCTGATGCTACAAGTGAGGGTTTAGTTTTTGTAAGAATGGAAAAATAGAATTTGCACTATTGGTGGGACAAGGGTTTTGAAATTATTATGTCACCACCACCACAAGGGGTGACATATTTTTAAAGTCTCCAACATTTTTGTGGTTGGCGTTCGGCATCTGTAACAAATGGCAAGTGATGATATTGTGCATGATAATGCCTTGTATAGCCTTTTTTCGCCGTGTACTAGTATTAGAGATAGCTAGAAGACTTAACACTGATGGCTTTTAAATATTTTTCTCTTTGAAAAATGTTTTCACCAGTTTAAAATTTACCGAATAATTGAAAAAGCTGTACACGACAGTTGGCAAAGTCAGGCTTCCTTCACAGATAATCCAGACCTTAGTTCAATAACTTGCAACTTTTATCAGATATCTCAATATTTTATGAATAACTTTGGGAGTGTAATGGAAAGATATGTTCCTACTAAAACATTTAACATACTATCCTTTATTGCCACATTATTTGACAGTACAAGGGTCGTTCGAAAAGTTTTGCATGAATGCTTCTCAAATATTAATATTAATATTTTCCTGTATTTGTGTTTCTAGATCTACCTCTGAAAGTCTGTAGTGTGAATGCAGTGGTTTGTGACTTGCCATTTGGGCAGCAATATGGGACAGCTGAATCTGTGAAAAAGCTTTATCCAGCTGCCTTACGCCAAATACACAGGTTAGTATTAAAAGAAGTGGCACAACAGGATGAAAATACCGAGTGTATTTATAACTTGGCAAAGTGATTTGGAAATGGACATAATTTTGAAAAGGTTGCTTCCTGTCTCAAATACATTTTCTGGGGTTTAGATTTTAAAATTTCTAGGGTTCACATTTGACAATTTTGGCCCAGGAAAGTGCTCAAAATGATTTGAAAGAATGTTTGGCCAGGGGGCTTGCTTAAACCCACTGACCCCCCCCCCTGCTATGAGCCTTTGCATTAACATGATTTGAAGTAAATGGTTTTTAATAATTACCTTTCAGGGTGTTGAAGAACAATGGCCACCTGGTTCTCCTCACTAGCAAGGCACTGAAGCCATTCCTCCTAGCCTGTATTCAACAACTCAATAAATCTGTCAACAGTCAGACTATTGATATCAAGCCCTCTGAGGTTATCAAGCCCTCTAAATCAATTATAAACAATCAGACAGACAATCGACAAACATTCAAGACCTCACAATCAACCCTTAGTCAAACAAGCAATGAAGAAACATTTAAGATCTGTAATCATGTCAGATCTAATGCCAATATGCTACACGGTGAAGTGGATGTATCAACAAATAAAGACACTCAGACCAAAGAATCATTAGACAAGGATTACCAAACAGAAAGGAATCTTGTTCCACACAGTGATATCAGTAGAACAGTCAAGAGTGAACAACACTTTGCATTGGCATTGGTTGATGCTCATGATTTAAAACTAGGAGACACCCATGCATGTATATGCACATTCAGGAAAACTAATGAAAGAGGTGAATCTGACACTGAAACTGTTATTAGGCCTAGTTTTATAAAGGGTATTGATCAAAGTGAGAATTCATCTTGATGATGAACTGGATTTATTAGAACGGTGCAGCTTCCAATGCTTTGTATACATGTAGAACTACAAGGGGGGAAAACCTCAGGGTTCAGAGAAGACATAATCTATAATTTAAATGTGTATTGAGAATAAATATCGTCTCTTAACAATATCATAGCTTGTTATTTCACTTCAAGATTAAGAAAGATATAAGGAATATGCTAACATAGGTTAAAACATCACAACGATGTGAGTTATTATGAAATTAGCGGGTGAAAATTCAGACAAACCAAGGTGGTTAAAGCAGATATGAAATGGTATTTTTAACCCAATGGAATCAATATAATTTTTTGATAAATGTATTTGGACGTGTTTTCTCATCAGTTGCATGAAAATTATTTCACTCTAACGATCGTTATAGCTGCTTAATAAGCAATATTCGAATTGGTTGTGACGTTATTGGCCCCCTCGTGATCTCTCACTGGTCCCCACGTGGCCTGTTTTGGTCCATTAGATCATGACGTCATAATGCCAAAATGTTTTGTTATTTGTTTACACAACAATCCTATGGTTGCCGTGACGTTGTGATTACTAAGGAACCAATTAACCAAAGCTATATTTTGTATATGACGTTACTAATCACGTGGGGGCCAATTTGATTGATCAGTTAGTTTTACTTCGTTATCTATGACCGTTAGCAGTTATCTAATATTTATTTTATAATGGCTATCGCAAGAACTCTATGTTGGGCTTACAATGGAGAAAACCGCATTTTTGTAGCTGCAAGTTGAGAAAAGCTATTTCAGTTGTCCTTTAAGCAAGAGACGTAATTATGTCTGTTGTGACAATTTTGGTCCAAAAATGGCCAAAATCACTTAAAAAGTGCTCAGAATGGTGAAAAACTGCATGATTTTGAGAGATTTTTTGGCCAGGGGGGGTTTGCCCGAACCCACCCTGGCTATGGGCCTGGTTATATGAGGTTGATTGTCTGAAAACAAAATTAAGTTTGCCAGCTTTAACATCTTGTAATTGTTTTCGTCTATAATGGTGCTTTAGTCTAAAATTATTATAGTGCAAGCTCCAACTGTATGACGTTTAGTTCAGATAATGATGTTTGACAGATCTTTAAAGTTTAAGCCTTGGACTAAGTGCAGTTTTTGCTGCATCATTCCTTTGAAGGTGCTGTTTCCAAATCTTTGCATAACCGTGCAGCGGGAATGCAAAAGGAAACAATGCCTGAGTGGGATGAAGCAGCCACAATGCATTGAAGTCTTGGGCTTAAATTCTTTTCACACGTTGCAAGATATTTTCTACAAAATCACCTAAAGGATACAAACTCACTAAAAAAAATGTTCAATGAAACTGTTTGCAAGGGTCGAGTTGGCAAAGTATCAATTTCAGTCTGGACAACTGTCTAGAAAGTGATGTTGAATGCGGTGATTGGTGATATAATGCATTGCAGTTATGTGAAATACTGTTTTCAGATTGGCTGGAATCCGGTCGACACACTTTTCCTAGCTATGTGTGAATTTATTGATATTTGTGTTCTGCATGAGAACAAATTATCAAATTGACTGCATATTTTAGTGAGGAATAACATTTTGTCAAATATTTAACCTAAAAGACACATTTTTACATATAAATGTGTTAATTTAAGTCTGGATTGTTTCCATGCTCTACACATTACACACATATCATTCATATCAGAAGAAAACAATATTTAAAAATTATTTTCTTGAATGACAGTATTGATGTGCATTTTTGGTTGTATTTTCATCAGTTGTAAAGAATGTCCAGAAACAATGGTGCAATGTTGGTAAACTATAGCTGTCTAAAGCCAACTTTTGTGGATTGTGTTCGGCAGCTGGTGTTTTGTGTTCAGCAGTTGGCATCTGTTACAAGTGGCAGATGGTAACATTTTGCATGTTAATGCCTTGTTTCTGCTTGATATCCTAACCAACTTTATAGCATTGCTATATTAATACTGTATTTAAAACAAAATACTATTTTGTCTAAAGTATGAAATATATTTCATCTCAGAAAAGAATAACATATTAAATAGCAATTGTCATGTTAACATTATTACAGTATTAGCAGGGGTCAGGTCAAATTATCAATTTTTCGCAAAATTTATTTGACAACACAGACCCCCTCCCCTGTTCACTTAACCTTATTGAACATTTAAGTTATATTTTTACCCAGTCAATTTTTATTGCAACCTCTCTTTTAATACAATCCAGTGAATCCACCATATAATTAATCCTGTGAAAATGACACATCAATATCAATCCCAGCCCCTTAGAGACTAGGTATACATGTATCTAACATTAAGAATTTGTTAACAGTTGAATATAGAATTGTGCAGAGGAATTCAGAAATTCATCTACTGGGTTTCTTCAATTCACTTGGCAGAACTTCCATTCAAGACAATATACACTTCACTTCTTAGTTGGTTCAAGTAATTGATTTCATTTGGCAAATTATCATTTTGACAAGACTTGAAAATAATGTATAACCTGTTGTATAACTAGCATCTAAATAGCACTCCTGTCTGTTTGGAAATAAACAATTTTATATTTATATTTAGTTATTGTACTCAGAGGCGTAGCCAGCAAATGCCAAAGGGATGCGAATCTTTGGGTTTGCATCACTGCGAGTAAAGGAAGCCCCAAGAAGGGGGTACAGGGGTTCACCCCTGGAAATTATTAAAAATTTACATTGCATATGGAACATTCTAAGCATTTCAAACTATAATTTGTTCATGTTTTTTAACAAAATTCCTTTTTCTTTTTTGCTGAGGTGGGGGTCACACTCCCCTGGTTACACCCAATTAGTGATGTTAGAACATTTGAAAATGTATGTATTGAACTATACATGTTATATACACTAGTATTAATTGCATGGAATATGAATTAAACCAAATGGAATAAATACAAACTATAAATTGCAAACATTATATGAAATATCTTATAATATAGGGTTGAAACCCCATGATTATATGGGGTTGAAAGCCCATGATTATATTAATTGCTGTAGATTAAAGGCACAATCTCAGTGCATAAGGACATAGTAGTAAAACCTGTATACCTGAACACCTTTCTAATCTAAAAATCTATTAATGTAAATACTTTTTTGTCCCTTTTTTAAACTGCAGTAGACTTCTTTGTTAAAAAGCTTGAAGAAATGTGAAGACTTGTACATCTGATCACTTTTGTGACGGTGTTCAGACAAGACAGGTTTTCTGTATAATACAACCTACAGTAAATGCTGTATAATACAACCTACAGTAAATGCTGTATAAGCATATTGTTTTTGGTGGTCTGTGCATGCACCATTCCTATTTTTCTCAAGACAATCCACATGTCAATAATATCATACAGTTACAGTTGATCCAAATGGAATTACTTCTTAAATCAAGAAATTAAGTGACTCTGGCAATACATTTACATGTATTCTAGCCCTAGCCTGGCCCTACCAATACCCATGATGCCATCAATTTTCCATTTATATGGAAAAAGGTCAATTGAAATGAGGGCACCAGTTCAGCTTTATAATTTCCCCTACAAAAAAGGCCCAGGAGTCTCATTTAAATACATGTACTTCAAGAGTACATGTACTTTCAATAAAAGGCTCGACAGCATTCATTTATATCTATATCTTTATCAGCCATATGACTGGGAGACATTACAAGAAAATTTGAGATAAAAATCTTATAAACATGTCTTATACTTCAGAACAAAACTGCAAAAGAGATTATTTAGAATACTGTTTGCGGCATTTGACTTTATAGTTCTAAGGTGTGAGAATGAAATATATACAGTTCACACATGTTGATTATATAAATACAATTTTTTTGAAAAAATAGTCTTTAGCTGCATTTTATTTGGTGAATGCTGTATTGCATTGTTGAATATCAAGTTCAAAATCACCTGTCATAGAGGATTTAATAAACTCATGGACGCTTACTTTGAAAAACCTCGGCTCCTGATTTTTTCCTGATTGAAAGGAAAATAAAATGTCATCTGAACCTTCATTCAATTTTAACTTAGGTCAGAAATCCTTACTATACGCGTGGAGCTCTTGAAACACCACTCACTGTCAGCTTGCCTTGAAAATGCTCTTTTACTTCCAGAAACCATTAGGGTTTGCCATGTATTTATTAAGGCACTTTTTTGAACACAGGAATGATTGAACTGCTGCTGAGGTTCTGCCATTAGTGTTGAGGCTAATGACTGTTTTAGCCACAGAGTGGAGGTCAAGGTTGGAAAGGAACTGTACACGTGACTGGAAACATGGACTGCCACACATACAGTAGCAAACAGTACTGAGATAGGCCATTAGGTGATGTGGCAGGTCTTCCTCCGTGTATGCAATTCTGAAACAAAAATGACATTTTTACGGTATTGCACACTTAATTCTAAACATCTAAGATATGTGCTTTGGATTTTGGTTCAAGTCAACTCTGATGTAAAGAGCTACCTGTATATCTTAGCATTTCAGGCTCAGTTGATTTAGGAAAGGTCTGGTCTAATAATCAAGATGGACTGTCACTTGAAGTGGACCCTTCGGGTTGCTGAATCACTGTATACATTTAACATGTGTTTTGCAGTATTAAAAATAATATTAACACGACCAAAAAATAGTTAGGTTAGTTTCTTTTGGTTGTTCACATTATTATTTGTCAGAAATCTTGCTAACTGAATTCTCTAGTGCTCTTTTTAAATGAATTTCAGGTTATCATTTACATAATACTAAGGGGAAGTGTCGACGTTTTAGTCCCAAAATAATTGAACTACCAATACCTGTCTTGTATAATTCTCTTGGCTGCTATTTCCATTAAGGTAGGATCTTCCAATCTGTTTACAATGGTTGAGGGTCCTCCCTCAAGGAATGGGTTATTGAACAAGTCCAGCTGATCTAGGTGAAGTCTTGAAAAGCCAGGTGGGAGAGTCTTAATGTGGTTCTTGGTCCCTGACAGTGTACGAAGGTTAATCAGCTTCTCAATACCTTCAGGTAGACATGTTAAATAGTTCTCATCAAGCTTTAGCTGTATCAGGGAGGTCAATGAGCAAAAACTAGGCTTCAGATTCTTTAGTTTATTTTTCGAGATGTCTAGAACACATAATGTATTACGTAGGTTCCCTTGGCAGAAACCTAAGGGTACCTCAGAGATCTGGTTATTGCGTAGTCTCAACTCTGCTAAGCATGTCATTGAGTTCATATTACTAGGTAACATAACAATGTTATTGTCACTGAGATCCAACACAACCAACTGCTTCAAGTTTAAAATTCTTGAATCAAATTTTTTCAGAGTACATTGCTGTATTGCTAGGTATGTTAAACTGCTGGGAAAGTTGCTGGTTAGGGGGTAGTCCTTCTTGGAGAGGATCGTCATACGACTTTTTGGTTTTTCCACAGATTTCAGAGAAGCTGGGGCTAGGCTTGATAGTGTGATGTTGTCCAAGTTTTTATCCTGAGAACCAAGTTTGATTAGATTCAGGAAACTTTTGAGTTGTATAGAGTCTGCCTGAAACCAGAAAATAACAAGATTTATTTTTTGCAACTACTTTGAATGAATTGATTAGCGTTCACGTTTTGAGGTGATCACATACCCATGTTTTGCTGCATATTTTCAATCCTGGTAAAGGAAGCATGAATCAGAGATAGATCCAAAATATCGAAAACTGATTAACTGTATTATTAAAGGACTCCTATAGATTTGTGTTCTTCGGATGATTTTCCTTAAGTGGGTGCAAAAATTTTATTTTCAAATAAATTACAAAAAGTTGGTCCTTACATGCCAATTTTTCGAGATTTTCCCCATTTCACATTACAGCAAGTAAGTGCTTGCTTTTCTGGGTAGTTGATTTGATCTGATTTGATTTGAAAACAATATTTATTCTGGGTAGCTCTATCAGTACAAAACTGGTCTTCCTAGAGGCCCAGTAATAATTTACAATTAGTTATCTTCAGTAAAGCAGCCACTTGTTTCAATGATGGAGAGATCACTGCAGTTAGTCTAGAGAATAAAATTTTGCACATTTACCACATACATAGTATACTCTATTTTACCTTTTTGAGTATAATGTCATGTGCTGGCTCCTTTATCCTGATTGTTGCTTTCCCCTCAGCCACAAATCTGCCAAATATCTGTTCTACATTGTCTCTCAGCTGGAAGTAATAAGCAATATTGAATTAATTTGATCTGATTTAACACTGGTAGCAGATTTCATTTTAGTGAAGTTATGTTTCAAAGAAGTAACCTAAAATCATCAAAAATGTTTCAAAACCATGATATTGAATGATCTCTTATAGTAATTAGAACTAATTTCTGTAACATTAGAGCCTGGGCCACCGATCTAGTATCAGTTGAGAGATCCACTGCCTGGACTATTTATAGTTAAACTTGTGGTTGAAATAGCCATATACCTGGTGGAAGTCAACTAACCTTGTATTTAGTGCCACTCAAGTCTTTGGTTGTACAGATGAGCAAGAATACTTTGCCTTCTTTGGCATCAGCCCCTGGTTTACGTCCAATAGATAGCTGTGCATGGATGAACTTCCCCTTCTTTGACATATTGAATGTAGGCAAAATGCGGTTCCCAATTTCTACATCACAAGACAGCCGCATCCTGGAAACAGTTGAACAGAATTTGTATTTATCATTATAGCCTGACTAGGTTTCAACAGTAGATAAATGGCTGTGTGCACAAAGTCAAGTGGGAAATACTAAATAATATTGCATGTAAATAATATTCTGAAGTCCAATCACATTTAGCAATAGCTCAGCATGTGCAGTAATCTCCCCAGCATAAGGTTATGCTCCCAGCTGAATATTCAAAGATGGCACCCCACCCTAATATCTGTTTGCACCACGTCGAAAGGATGAAATATGGACTTATATTACCGAAATGGTGATACTTTCCTGAAATAAAGGACCCACGGTCCTGTGCTCACACAGTGTGGAACCTTCAGAGGAATGTATATCCTGACTTTCAAACAAAAATATTGATTTGGATTTGTAGTCTCAAACTTTAAGAAACTTGTGTGACCTAGTTTGATGACCTTTTTACCTTGAAAATTTTACTTATTCAGAGCTCAGTAAGGTCTTTTGTGATTAAGCTGACCAAAATTTAGATCCAATTTAGATCAATTTGAAAAATCAACTTTTTTGACTTTTCACTGAAGGTCAAGTAAAGGTCAAATCCTAAAACTAATGTCAGATTTGAACTTCTGGCAACTTGTAGATGATTTTCAAAAAAAATTTGGTGATTAAGCTGACCAAATTTTAGATCCAAAAATCTATTTGAAAAATCAACTTTTTTGACCTTTCGAAGGTCACTGAAGGTCAAGTAAAGGTTAAATCCTAAAACGAATGTCAGATCTGAACTCCTGGCAACTTGTAGATGATTTTCAAAAGGAATTTGGTCAAATTGAAGCAAGTTGAAAAATTACTTATTTTTACTGTTTTTTTTTACGTCAAATATCTCAAAAACAGTAAAAATTTGATGCTGACATATATTGAGCAATATGTAGGGAATGCTTTAATCTAGTAATGATGTAATTCATTGCAAGAAATAATCAAGTATAAGGCAAACTTTGAGAAGCTTGTCAATCACAAAACCTGCCATTGACTTTGTACATGAGAAAGTTTCCTGAAAATGATATGTCCTACTTTTTGTCAAATTTTATTGAGTAAACACCAAAAACTGTAATTCCAAGAGCTTTGAAATCTTCAGAGGACATAAGTTGCATATACAGCAACTACTACAAGTAATTTGAAAGTTCTGCTTCAACAAAGAGTCTAGTATTTATAGAAAATTTGACTTTTTGACGTCAAAATCAGCAATCGGAAACCGAGCTAATTTGGGAAATGGCGATGATAGGTCAAATAGGCATTATGGATATGCATAAAATGAATGTGGATATGACTCAATCCGAAAAGCAGTTTTAATTTGTGCAGCTAATGTTGACAGGCGGATGGATGGACCAACGGACGGACCAATGGACGGACCAACGGACAGACGCCTGGTCGATCCCATAGGCTCACTGTGTGAGCCAAAAAGCAAGGAAATTGACACATGCCCTTCATACTTTATTTTGTACCAGAAAATAACATGTTCAGGTATAGCAATTTTTTACCGAAATGCTATTTTCCAGCTGTACATTAAGGATTGTCAATAACGCATTGCATACGCTAAAATCAGACCTGGGAATTGGACCTATGCTCTGAAATTGGTCGGAATGCACCAAATGATCAACTTTCACAATTTTCTGGGGGAGCCTTATTCACGCTCTGAAATTGGTCAGATTTCAACCCTCCTATTCCCGCACTTGATCCCTGCGCTGACTCACACGGTTCACTTCGCCATAAGTTATTATCAAACGAATCCCCCCGCCCTAACACAAAATCCCGGATCTGCCCCTGAGGACAGGTAGTAGCAATTAGTAATTAAACTGAACTGAGTGAAAGTCAAAGGCAAGCAGTTGAACCTGAAAAATAAGATATCTATAGATCATTGTGCCATTTGCATATTTCAGATTATTCAGCGTTTAGTGCAATAAGCCTGTCCCCTCTTGTAATTTGAGGTCTGTCCGCCATGTTATTTTTTGAGAATAACATGGTAGAGAAGCATCAAAATATAAGAGGTTACAGACTTTATGAGCCAATTTACGAGCAATCCAACATATACAAATGTCATTCGTGTGCAATATGAATATATATTTTTCTATATATTATTGTACAATATTATTTAGATTTCTTATATTTCAGGTTTAACTGCTTGCATTTGAAGCAGTGTAACAGACTGTAAAAGCCAGGGAAGGAAGTCTAAAATTTTGATTTCACTCATCACAGGTTTTGGCAAAGAATGCGACTATCAAAATCCTTAATATATATACACTTTATGGACCTGATATTAAAAAAAATATCGGGATGAAACGATTAATGATTCTTACCTGATTTCAAAAGATACAGTGCTTTTAATAAGGATTCAGTTGACAAATTATCTAACCGGAAGAAGATTTCTGAGACAGACGCGCATGCGCATTGAGAAAGGCGGATTATTCAAACGTCCGCCATATTTGTGTTTTGATGAAAATATTTCCAAAGAGTGGTGTTTTCTGTCCAAAGACGGAAGAATTCCACCAAAGAAGTAGTTTAGGGCTGAACTGTATATTCCAGTCAACGTGCTGGACAAGATGGGTCGGAGAAGAAGGGGTGGAAAACTGCAAAATGCCTCGAAAGATGACGGTGAATTTTTCTTTTATTTAAATTTTTTCCACACTGAGCCATAGGCCTATTCAGATAAATGTGGGGTCGAATTGGCGTTTTTCCTATTTGTTATTATTTGAGGTTTGTCTTATCAAATGTCAGAAGAAAAAAAAACGCAAACCGAGCACACATTTATGTAGTCATATAAATCCGACCATCGTATGCTTTATTTGTCATTATTTTTTGATTTATTTGGATATTTATTTTTTGTTATTTTCTTGCATACTAGGGTCGTACACACTTCCCGGTTGTAAATTGAGGGAAATGCTTTCCTGGCCTGTTTAGGCAACCAAAATCACACAAATTATGTATTAGAATATGCTCTTCATCGATAATGTATTTAATCCTACCTTACACACGTCAAACGCTTGATAATTGAAGAAGTATAAGAATTTTTCTGGAAACAATTTTTTTCCCCATGTGTAGATGCATTCTGGGTAATGATTGTGTAAAAATAAAACTCTAGGTGAAGCGAAAAACGAAATTACAATAAATAACAGCAGCCATATTGAGATCGAGATTTCAACTCGAAAGTTTATCATCGTCTTATGACAATTGAATCGCCTTCTCAGACACCAAGGAGGGTGAAGAAACCGAAAACAGATATGTTGGTAATAAATAATTACGATTTCGTTTTGGTTGCATGGTTTCACATTTAGACAGTATTCAGTGACCTTGAGTGACCTTGAGAACCATATTGGAAATTGGTTCAAACATATACGAAAATGATTACATTTCTTCAATTATCAAGTATTTCCTGTGTTTAAGGTAAGAGTTAATACATTCTAGTTGAAGCATTGGATCCATTATCTTATCTGTGTAACTTTTGTTGAGCATAGAGGGCAGAAAAGCATTTACCGCAATATACAGGGCTTAATATCCTCGACGCAAATGTTGAAAACAAAAATAAAAAACAAATATCCAAATCGTCAAAAAGAAACGTGAAACAACAACATTAAGTCGAGTTCACTTGACTAACATTTATGGGGGTACTGAGCCGGGCCACAATTCATTTGAGCTCGCGCATATCAAATTGCAATTGACTGCATAGATCCAGATTCTTTTGTAGTAGGATCAGTAGTAAGTTATAGCTCAATAAATATTCCTCCAGATGAGACACCAAAAACATTTCGGAATTCTAAAATGACAATTGTGCAGCCATTTCCGAAAAATATGAGACAAATCATACCTCATCCGAAGCATCTTGTTATTCTTTAACTTTTTTATCACTAATGAACGTTATTCAAGCAATACTGCGTTGATAAGAGGCCAAAACAGTGATATTTTATCTCTGGGCTCTTGTCTGTCCCAATCTGAATGGTGCTCCTGTGATTCCAGAAATGTGACGTCAGAATTACAATGATATTTGGATTATCGCATCCTACGACCCCTTTAGATTGTGGTCGTACGCGCATATAATTCGTCAGTCAATGTTTTTACAAAGTTGGAGAAAATACTATGCATTGCACACCTGAATGACCTACCTCGATACATTCCTTAGTATTTTAGAATTCTTTTTATGTTGTTAGATCGCCAATTGTATGGGTTTATCGGCAGAATGAAGAGATTTTAGTTTTTACATCGGAAATATATCAGCAATTTTCAAAATGTCGGAAGGGGAATTCCCAGGGATTTCCCTTATCACTGGTGCATGCCGGGAACTGAATGGAGGAATTTGACGGTTGAAATAAGTTAAATATTACACGCAAATATTGCTATCAAAAACGAAAACCTCTTCGTTCTGCCGATAAACCCACACAATTTTGGATTCAACTACACAAAAAGAATGGTAAAATACCAAGGAATCTATTGAAATAGGTATCTTAAGTGTAAGAAGCGTAGAAAATTCTCCCATGTTGTAATCGTACAGACAAAAGAATAAGACGTTCGCAAGACTAGAACGTAGAGATAGTCTTGGAACGAGATAAATATTTGGACACACAAGAGCCCGGATCAAGTGAAAAATATTTGCTGTATTAAAAGTCAAATTACTGTGTCCATAGATTATTTAATCAAACCAAACAAGTAGAAATAGAAAGATGAAGATCTCGGCTATAAATTAAGTGCAAAATCTGTCACGGGGAAGCAGGTACCATTTTGTATAAGGAACGTTTTGAAAGGTGGTCACTTTTTTGAAATTTTCCAATTTGGTGTCTCATCTTCTGAATTATTCTTTGAGCCTATGCAATCCTACTGCAAAACGATCTGGCCAACATCTATGATGACTGTGAAATTTTGCAGTGAGTCATCCTGTGCATAGATGTTGGGCAGATCATTTTGTAGTAGGATCTCATAGGCTCAAGGAATAATTCAGAAGATGAGACACCAAATTGGAAAATATCATAAAAAGTGACCACCTTTCAAAACGTCCCTTATACAAAATGGTAACTTTTAGATATAGGTAGCCTCCTTCTCCATATTACAGCAACAACACAATCCAGGTCCAACACAGGTCCAGCTACCTTATATATTTCCAAGACTTCTAGCCTTGTGTGCATACCACAAGTGGATCAAGACGAGACCCCCCCACCCTAAAAAGTCATAATATACATGTAACTGGAAATTAAAATAGATGACGGATATGGATTGTCAATAATTATTATCAACCTTGACACAAAATCCTAGATCCATCCCTGCATACAATAGGGGCTTATGTTTTATTTCAAAAGATTAAAAAATTAAGGTGTACATTACTGCAATTTGAGACGGCCGCAAATTTTTTCTTTTTGGAGAAAGTTACATGCGGCGTTTAGAAACTATTTAGGTAAGAAATATATGTGTGGCTAGCACCATTGTTTTTCAACTTTTGGAACAACGTAGGTGGTTATTAACTAGAAGTCTTGGAACTAGAAGATCCTACCCCCATAAATGTTGGGTTGACTTTTCAAATCAGATTTATTATGGCACGAGCATTAATACATACTGTGTACTTTATGACAAGACAATTTAGCAGACTAGGGTACTTAAATCTAGCATCACAATTGAATAGAATATGCACATTCATTACTTTGTTCACTCATATATTTTGTAGAATCCTCGTCATCATCTGGGGAGGATATGGAACGCAAAGCTATGAATATTATAGAGAAACTCTCTAAGAAATATCTTGTAAGTACTCCTTAATCTACAACGCAAAAAAACGCACTAAAAAAATCTTTACTTCTACGACCAACAGTCTTTGTCAAACATGATTTTCTGAGAAGTAAATTAAATTTGATTAGATTTGGAAAAATCTCTAAGATTGTTGCAGTTGCATAGATTTACATCTTAAATCTCCATGTATACAATAACAGTTGACAAACATCTATAATTGACATCATGAAGACTTTTATTTTCAGAAGTCTAGCTTGAACGAGAGCAAGAAGAATGAAGAAGGCAAGGTTGTTGAGGTTGGTTGAACTTGAACTAATACCAGTGGTCTCCTCAGCATTAAATCAAGTGGGCGCAGTACCCACCTGAGATTTTGAAAACAGCCTTGCACCCACCTGAAAATCCATTGCACCCACTTGAAAATGAGAAAAATCATGAAAAATTGGCATATTTTGACCCATTGTGAAAATGAGAATTTTGCACCCACTTGAGAAAAAATCCTGGGGAGATCACTGAATACTATAATTACTTTTTTCTACAGAATTAGAACACATCATAATGTCATTATATTTTCCAATATGGTTACATAAAAGGGATTTAGTACTGAACTGAACATGTATTTATAAACTTAAAAAGATATATTGCATATACATATAAATGCGTTGATTGGCACTGAAGAATTTTATCACAATTTTATAACATGCAAGTGCCACTTCAGCAAATGGTAGGCCTATTACTTTATTTAATTTGGTGAATTTGGCAAAATAAAAACATTGAGCAGAATTACTGAATGTGTCATACAGATACAAAAATCCTTCCCTGGGATTTTTTCTGAAAAATTGGGGAAAACATGAATTGGCAATTTTTCATCACCAAATTCAAACAGACACCAAATTAAGTAGAGTAACAGTGTATAGTTTATGAATGAAATAGTTTAGCTTAACAAATTATATCTACTTTTAACATTTATTGATTACATGATCTTATAAAGATCGAAGACAATATAAAGAACATCCAAGTCTTTGATTTAGGCTTATGTATATTTTGTTCAGGGAAGAAGAAATATTATAATTTTATATAAAGTTAAATTTTTGTTTGCAGGCAGCCTATGATGGAGATTCTGAACATAGTAGTAGCCCAGCTACCACTGTGACATCATCAGATGTTAACCTACTCAGCCCAGTCTATGACTTTGATGCATCAGACAATGATGAAATGTCTCTGAAATTAGAGCTCTCCCCATGTAAACCACCATCAAAGAAAACCAAGTTCAACAAACATGACAAACTCTCTCCAAACATGTGTTCAGAGTCGGATAGACCGATGAAAAAATCTACTCGGAAAATCTCTCCAAAATCTGACAGTGAGAATGAAGGTGTGAAAAAACGTATGAAAAAATCAAAAGTTGTAGGTGTGAAACCCAAGCTCAGTAAAACTCAAAAGATGTTACAAAGTATAACCACAAACACTTCTCAAGAGGAGAAAACCATGAAGCCCAATAAGAAAACCCAGAACAAGGGGAAAGTGAAGGCAAGTAAGCCCGTGGCAGCTCCAAAACATGTACCAGAAATATGTGCTCCTCCAAAGAGGAAGCTCAATGAGGATTTAAACACTAAGCCCACAAATGAACATCAAAGTATGGAAATCAGTGTTCAAAGCTCAGCTAGTGACAGTGGATTATTTCTCTCACCACCCCCTAGAAAACTCTCAAAACTCACAGCGACACCAGGTTTGAAAGGAGAGAAACTACAATTGGGTACTCTTCAGACCTCAACACCTAGTGTAGCTCCTAGGAAAACTTCAGATGATTCTTGCTTTGGATTTGATAGCATCGAGACCCCTATTGCAATGCCATCCCCTGTCAGGAATTACTCAACTCCACTCTCTGATTATGGCTCTATGGGGTCTTCAAAGGGGTCTCAATTAATGTCATCTGTAGGAGCTTCCCCAAATCTTAAGTCCCGTCCACAGTCCTCTCAGGGTTCAATCGATCCAGCTGGTTACAGTGAGTCATTGGAGAATTGTGGACTAACAGGTAAATACCACCATTCTGTTGAGTGTTACAAATTAATCACTCATTTTGGATTAGCACCTCCCACTTAAAAAGTTATGATTATTTGACAGGGTTTACTTTTTCACCATTCACTTTTGCTCAGTCTTTACCACCACTCATCTTGAAAAAAAGAATCCAGAAAGCAGAAATTTCTCAACATTTCTAAAATCCTATATCAATCTGTCTTGGTTCAATTTTATCGTGATTCTCATTCTTTTGACAGAGTTCATTATGTCGTAAATACTCATGGGATATAAAGGAGGTAAGACAGTCAACGTTCCAGCCTATATATGTATGTAAATTTTTTGATGCCTAACCTTTAAACATGGTTTATTTCAGGAAAAGAATTGATTAAATCTCCAGTGCATCAAGCTAAGCGACTCAGTAAGAAGAAGGTGAAAGAAGCTGTAAGTACACATAAAATCACAGTTACTATGGTACCACATTACTGTATCCATGGCAACATATTAGGGTTATTCTCTTCAATGGCTCTGAATTTAACACATATTGAATCTAAGACTGATTGAGTTTTGGATAATTAAAACAAAAGCAAAAGAGGCATTTATACAAACGTTCAACTTATAAACACAACCATTTGTGGCAGCAGCAGCTATTCATGAGGTGCTTTCTAATATGCGTCAGTATATTTCATATCTGAAATGTGCATGTTTCACAATGTTATGGTGTTCTACAATGCAATTTGAACTGCTATGCATATGTGAAAAGATAAATACCTAATGTCATAGTCCCATTTTGATAGCTCCTATCTGAGTTCATATCATTATGTCGCCACCAAAAATGGTGTTATAGCCATCACCTTTGTGTTAATAATGCCTTGTATTACTTGTATTAATTCTTTGTTCTTAATTAAATTTGATTGACCATATTCCAGCCACATTACCAGTGGGTAAGGCAAAGAAATGTTCAAGCTAGTTTGGGATGTGCTCACATCTCTCATGTTTATTATCCCATCGAACGAAGTTCGGAGGGATATAGGGAACGCCTCCGTCCGTCCGTCCGTCCGTACGTACGTCCGTCCGTCCGGGCAATAACTCAAATACCGTTAGCCCGATTTTGTTCATATTTTGTACACATATACCCTATGGGGGTAGAAGTTCTGCTCGAAAGCCGATTTTCAAAATGGCCACTCATTTCAAAATGGCGGCCATTTTAATGCCGAATTTACAGTAATTTAGGTGCAATATGTAAAACTGTAATAGCAATATGTTTGAGATGTAAAAAATTATATAGGACATTAATAAAGCTAGAAATGTAGATATTAAAGAAGCACATGGCAGCCATCTTGAAAAATGGCGGCCTTTACTCGTTATTTTACGAATTTTGCTGTAACTTGAAAAGTAGTGGAGCGATTTTGTTCATATTTGGTATGTGAATACTATAAACATTGCACACTGCTTGAAGACACTTTTGAAAAATGGCCACCATTTTAACATATTTTACTATAACTCGAAAAGTAGTGGAGCGATTTTGTTCATATTTGGTATGTGAATACTATAAGCAGGGCACACTGTCTAATGGCACTTTTGGTAGAAGGTGGCCATTTTGAAAAATGGCCGCCATTTTAACGTATTTTACTATAACTTGAAAAGTAGTAGAGCGATTTTGTTCATATTTGGTATGTGAATACTATAAGCATGGCACATGGTGTAATGACACTTTTGGTAGAAGGCGGCCATTTTGAAAATTGGCTGCCATTTTTGCTATATACTTTGTTTGTAAAAATGCCATCCATGGCTGTTCGATGGGATTTGCTACGCTTTGGCGTTGCCGTTGTTCTGGTTGCTTTTGATTTTCTTGTTCATTGTTCTAGTCTTGAATCAAGCCTCTGTACGCTCCCCCTGGCCCTATCTAGAGTAGTAGAGCTAGGTAGGGGTAACAAGGGCTTAGTAAGATTTCGTATTCAGTTGATTTTGATGTTTTTACTAATATTTTGAAGAGGGAAAATGTTAACATTATTTGACACTAGTTACTAGTATCCTGAAACAAAAAATAATTGTGCTTTACATGAAATAATCAACACAAAAGAAATGGTGTTTCTTTGTTTTATCAAATTTAGGAATTGATCAGAGTAAACACTGAATGAAATGACATGCTGTATGCATTTGTGAAGCACACATCATGTATTTCAACCCCAATCAAATACTTGACATTGTTGCTCATCTATTTCCAGCGAGAGAAACGTGAAGTTTGGGAAGACAAGATGGCTGCCGAATTTGAGGACATTGAAAACTTTACACTAAGTATCGAGGGAATTTGAGGTGCTAATTGCTGGAACTCTTCAATCTTTTGTACTGTTACCATGGAGTTTTAGGTTTTAGTATGAGTGGTTTGATAACGTATAACAAAGTGACAATTTGAGTTTTTTGTTTATATCAAATACTCAACTGCAGAATTGTAAAGAGGATCGAGGACTAAATAAGTAATAATTACAAATTTGACGAAGGCCATTGGACTTTAATTCTTTGTCTGACATCACGCCATTGGGGAAAACTCAGAAGAAATCCATCATTTAAATCGATGCAGAAAATCCAGAGGTCTCATTTTTCTTTTAAATCATAATTGATTTGTTTTGAAGATCATGAAAACAAGAAATCAGTTTCAACAACATCTGCATTTAATTTTATTTTTAGTTGTTTTTATCAAGAAAGATTGGCTTTGCTCTCATGATGTCCTATGGCTATTACCCTGAGTTTGACATACTAGTATTACTTTACTGTATCTGCTAGCCACACTCTGACTATTAATGATGAAGATGATTTTACAGTTTTGATGTTGTTATTATCTTTATGATCTCATATGTACAGGGTGAGCCCAAAAAGTAACCCAAACAAATGTATGTTAATAACTTAGTCATTCAGCATGGGTTTAAAATCATATTTTGCATAGATGAATCTTGTTCAATGTTTTTTCCTACTACTAAATCATAGGTAGATCTCCAATGGTCACGATTTTATTACCATTTACAAAACATGCTCCGAATGCAGAAATGTGCCACAATCACGTGAAATAAATTCAACCAAATTTTTATCTGTGGGGCTAATGTCCACACTAACAACCCGTGAAACATTGAAACGAGATAAGAATGAAGATGAGAGCCATAACGCAAGATGTCTGTGCTGGTGTGGTGAACAACTACATCCAATACGTTAACGTTAGCTTCCAGACATGATGCTAGTATTTTATAGTATATTTTTTTTAAATGGCCATGAAATCGTGACCATTGGAAATAGACCAAATAAACTCAATAGAATAAAAGAAAATTTAAACAAGGCTTAATTGTGCTCAATATGACACAAAACCCATAATTTGGGTTACCTTTTTGGGTCACCCTATAGCTTTCATGAACTTTCATGGGTGTTAACTATGAAATGAATGCTAGCTATTGAGAGTACTTTCCCATAATCATGAAATAAACTGTATATATGAAATATAGCTCAAGTATACATAACTTATTTTGTTATTTGACGGTCTAGATGTAAATATATTAGTATTTGATACTGGTGATTCTTGCAATGAGACCTGTCTGCTTCAGTACCATGGGATGATATGCAGTTTGCTGAAACAGCATCCAGTTCAATGATCATGGGTGTTTTGAGCAAGGGAACTTTGTCATCCTCAGCGCAATTCATTGATTTGTCATGTTTTTGAAAACAATTTTCAGAAAATACAAATATATGAAAATACAAATATATGAAAAGTATTTGACTTCATACAGGGTGTTCAAAAAAAAACGCAACCCAAGAAATTGCTATATCTTGAAAAATACTGATTCAATTATGTTCATATTTTCAGGAAATAAAGAAGAGACTGTGTATGTATAGCTCCTGTCAATGGTTAGTTGTAAAACATGATGCCTTGGACACCTGCTCAAAAGACAGTTGTACTTGCAAAATGCGAAATATGCAGTCAGAGGTGACTGCAACCGCAAAAAAATTAAATAACTTCCTAACCATAATGTTTTGGCTCTTCAAATTTGGCACAAACCATCTTCATTCACTGTATGATAAATCTGTAGAGTGAAATCAAAATCACCTCAGGGACTTCACTGTCCTGGTTGAAATGCTTTCAAATCACAGTCAAACGCCCTGGTTCAGGGAGAGTTACGAAGGCATTTTGACCATGACTATAAAGTCCCTGGAGTGATTTTGATGAAACTCCACAAATTCACCACATATTGAATGAGGATAATTTGTGCCAAATCTGAAGTGCCAAAACACCATGGTTAGAAAGTTATTTGGTTTTATTGCTGCATTTTCATATTTTCCTAGTACAACTGTCATTTGAGCAGGTGTCCAAGGCATCATGTTTTACAACTTACTGACAACAGGAGCTATACATACACAGTCTGTTCTTTCTTTTCCTGAAAAATAAACATAATTGAATTAGTATTTTCCAAGATGTAGTTATTTTCCATTCGTGTTTTTCGTATTTTGCTAGTACAACTGTCTTTTGAGCAAATGTCCAAGACATCATGTTTTACAACTAACTAACAACAGGGGATACATACATAGTCTCTTTCTTTCCTGAAAATATGAACATAATTGGATCAGTATTTTCCAAGATATCGCGATTTCTTTGGGTTGCGTTTTTTATGAACACCCTGTACTTACACTCTCTAGTTTATTTCAAAATGTTTTAATTGTATAAAATGTGTGTTCTCTTGATAAGATTATAAGCAAGGGAAAAGGTGTTGTTTCATACCTTATTTTTGAATCCTTGGTCTCATTGCAAGGTCTTGTATGTAAATATGAACAAAATATTTGTTAACCTTTAAAAGATGTAGAATATCCTATCATAGATAAATAAACTGAATCAGTGAATTATATTTCATTTTTGTGTTATTATACAACAAGATGGTTTAACTTGCTACCAGAATATGCATAGGCATGCATGAAGTATTGGGATACAGTTTTCAAGTTGATTGACATTTAAAAAAATAATTCATTTAACGATATCATATAAAATGTTGAATGGATTATTTATGCAGAAAAATCCATATAGATTGGCATGATTGGTTAAGCATAATGAAAAAGAGAACGGTACACCAAATTCTGGTTGAAAAATAAGTATATCTATTTGTCATGTTTGTTGGCTCAATCTAGAATGTTAATACTGATCTTTCTTACAACAAATAAGTTCTTGGAAAAAAGTTTTCCATTCAGGTAGATTTTCCAATTTTTATGTCACCACCAAAAAGTGATGACTTATTGTTATGGTCTCTTATTTTGTGATGGCGGTTGGCATCTGCAACACATAGTGGTGACATTTAGCATGTTGATGTCGTCTTTTCTTGATGCTCAATCAGTTTTAATGTCCACTACTACAAGTGGTGACATTGTTATGGTTTCCAACTTTTTTGTGGCAGCGGTTGGTGTTCGACTGTTGGTGTTTGGCATCTGTAACAAATGGCAAGTGGTGGCATTTTGTATGTTAATGTCTTGTTTCATCTTACTAAGTGTGTAAGATGATGATCTGGTACTATTATTTGAGATATGGCTCATAGGAAATAGGAATGTAAAAATATTGCTTCAAATACCATCCTGACAACTGTATTTTTTCCTTTGGTTAACTTTTCTTCGGAAATAATTGCAAAAGTGATTTTAACATCTCCATCAAAAGTGTTTTAAAAAAATATGTGATGTGTTTCGTATATAGTTTCAGTCAATTAAAAAAAACAGAATTTTTCAATACAAAAAATGGAAACATGATAAATACAATAACACATGTAGACAAGTATTCATAATTCTACCACCATAACGTGTTCTCTGAATCCTTAACTATGCTTAATGCACAAATTATTAATCCTCCCAAGGACCTCTGCCAGATTACCTCTTCTTCAGTGGTGTCTAGGCTCAATAAATATACTTATCCTTTGAGCCAACTACCTTATCCCGTGCCAGGACTATAGTCTATAGTCCTGGCACGGGATAACTACTACCAATAGGAGCTGGAACTGGCTCCGGATCTGTGAATCCTTCGCCTCTTTCTGTGCATTGTAAAATGACCGAAATAAGATAAGAAAGACAGGTAATCCAGTAAACTTACACGTCCGCGCCTTTTTTGTGTTTACCGAAATGCACCCTGGGATGCATACAGGAAGTAGCCTACAAAATTGACCTACATCAAAATAACAGAAAAAACATGTAAAATATTAGTTAGGGAATTAAATAGGAAGGTAAACGAATGCAACAAATACATAAGTCATTTCTCTTTTAATCCAATAATCTTTAATAAATTAAACCAATGAAAAGAATTCGATTCATATAAACTAAAAAGCCTCCGCCTTTCCAACTGACGAGGTGGCCGAGTGGTTAAGGCGATGGACTGCTAATCCATTGGGCTCTGCCCGCGTGGGTTCGAATCCCATCCTCGTCGACTATTTTTTCTTTATTATATTCCAACCAGTCAGCGGTGTTTTGTTCAATCTTTTTGTTTTTTCAAGCATAATTTTAAAATACTGAGATTCTGTAGCTTAATTTTAAAATACTGAGAAATTTAAAATACGGAGATTCTGTAGCTTAATTTTAAAATACTGAGATTCTGTAGCTTCAATAATAATACCTTTCCAGCATCAGGTCTATCTTATGTTGCCTACATGATTTAAATTTTGAATTTGAAGGACGTCAAGTGACTTGACTCAAGTCTAAAGTACTATAACTTCATGTTTAATTGCATGATTACCTTATTAATAATATAATTAAACCAACAAGAAATGTGAATTTTTTAATAAATTTATGTTTCAGTTTTCAATAAAAAAATCAATGCAATACTTTGCAATACATAACTTACATAATATATTTTTTAACATTCTCCCACATTATTATTTAATAATATAGTAAAAGCCTCATTTTACTATGTTGCCTGCTTAAATGGGGTTATTACTATTATCAACACAAAAATTAACAACCTATTAAAAACTAATTACAAATTAACCACTATGGTCTGCCACTATTGCTCAAGTCAATACAGTAACATATTGATTTAGGTTTGCAATATTTCGATTTATTCTTTAAATCTTTTTCAAGCAACTGAAAATTGAATTGAATTAATTCTAAGAAAAGGGCATTTGAGTCGTGATTTGACTTTGTTTTTTGTTGATTCTGTGGCCAACCGTGACATAATTCCTAAAATCCTTCCAAATTATGAATATAACTTTATTAATATTTCTTTAAATGTGATACCACATAGTTATATGACCTAAAGATGAATATTTGTTTGATCATAATTATTTTTATGCAAAAGCATACATGTTGGCATGTCTTACTAATGTAAGCTACATTAATTTTATCCGATAATTTTATCAAGTTTGTTATTTGTTCAATTTAAGCATGTAGGTGCTAGGCTAATAGAAAGATGGCAGCATAATCGGTTTTAATGACATTCTCATCTAGAAAGCAATAAATATCCATTTAAACTGCAACATCTTTCAATAAACCCATCATGAATAATATACAAATATTTAATTCTAGTGAGAATACCTGTGCATCTTTCACAAGTGATATTCCACGAAGCCCAAAGGGCTAGTGGAATATCATCTTGTGAAAGTGTCACAGGTATTCACCAAAAATAGGATTAAATATTTGTTTTATTATTCACTCATTCATATCATGACAGTGATATAATAACGCAAAATATTTGATAGACATTAATGTATCACGCAAAATGAAAACATGATTTGTCATTGTACATAATAGTCACACTGATATTCTGTATCCATACAAATTATACAGTATCTAATAAATAATTGATAAAAAACATTTAAACATTTAATAAATATTTCTACAATTGTTGGGATAGGATAAAATCTTCTCAGACAAGCTGACAATTATGGAAACATACATTCATAGTCAGTTTTACATGTAACAGGTAGATTTAGATTGTAATTATGGTACAATTTTTAAACTATGAAATGAAGAAATGTATATTTTTTACAAGTGCCATAAAACAAAAAGTACTTTAGCATTGCTCTTAGTAACTTTTCATGCTTTTTAAATTTTGGTGCTATTTTGCAGCTATTAATTTTGTCACTATATCAAGAAATAACTGAAATGCTATATGATACTAAAGGGAAATACAACTATTTTCAGCTAATTATCAGGCTCTTAAGAAGAGATCTCTTACTGCCAATACTGGATTGGATAATCTCGAATTACTGTGAATATTAAATATCTTGAGTTTAAACAGTGGGAACTCTGCATTTTGGGAATTCTTATTTTGGGAATTTTGACGAAAGCAAGATTTAGAATCACATAATAAAAATAAAAATGAGCTAATTACTGCAGTCCAGCGTTTATGTATGAAATCTTTCAAACTTTAGTTTAATTCTTAGAAAAAAATGTATCCAATGTTTGCATATTTGAACTATCATTATTCAACTTTGATTTCTTTCTGCCTCTTTTAGACTGACTAGTACTCTTTCTCTTCACAGATGGCGCTGTTTGAACAGTAGCACCACTGTGGGGCTGATTTTGTAATTCAAGGGCATAATGGAAGTCCAAATGTTCAGGCAAGTCCCAGGCAGAAACCATCTCATTACATTTCTCACATCGCGAATAATCGCTTGCTTCATTCGCTGAATCACTACAATTAGTATCAATAATTGGTGCAATACTAACTGATTGATCATCAATTATAGCATTTGAATTATTCACAGTGGGTGGTCTATTTTCTTCACGTGTTAAGCCATTCACCCTATTATCTGCAATTAATAAGTAGGGTTCATTATCCACTAAACTGTTGTTACAGCTATCTGATTCAACATTATCATCAATAATAACATGTTGAACACTGCCAGCAGTGCTCTCATTGGTATCTTCACTAAATACAGTCTTGTTAATTACAGTATCACTGTCTTCTCCAGTAATGTCACTAACAACACCAGATCTACTGTTTTTAAAACTGTCCACTTTTTCATTTTCATTTCCCATGTTAATATTGTTCCTTTGCATGTATGTTTTGAAAAATGATTTGGTTGAAGTCGTCGGTACGTCTTTGATGATCTCGTCATCCTTTGTGTTGACGGCATTAAGATGAGTAAATGTATCTGATTGTAACATTGTCGTTGATTTAGCACTGTCTACATTAACAGTCAAATCGGAATTTGTCAATGCTTGTGTTGATTCGCATTCACTGAAAGGAACGTTTCTTTCATTGCTTTCTAGTACTTTTGATTGAACACTAGAATCGTTTGGATTTTCTTGGAATATTGAAGTATTCACTTTGGATGAAAAAAACTTGGCAATTCCCGTTGGTTTAGCTTTTACATTTTGTTTAGGTCGTACAGGTGTCTGCGTTGCTGGCGTAGATGTGAATGCAAATGAAGATGCTGATTGGCTGGCATCAGGTGATTGAGTCGAGGTAAATACAGGGGATGAAGCTGATTGGCTAAAGAAGTTCTTAATTTTCTGGCTTGTCCCTTCATCTTGGAATTTTCCAGCAGATATGGAAAGGTTCACGATTGCTGGTACCCTGTAAAACCAAAGATATAGTTTTGAACTTTTGAATTAATAAACATTGAAAAGAATATGAATACATCATGATTGTTTGATTATAATTGAAAGTTATTCCAGATTTAGAGGACTGCAGTGCTCTGGTTCTTTTGTGTCACACGGTAGCTTCTACAATCTAGTTTTACAAGCCAATAGCTCTGGGCCCACCAATCTGCTTCAAGATATATTGTACTTTATCTAGCACTTTATTCATGACAACAGGCAATACAAGGCATTAACATGACAAAATGTCACCACCTAGTTTCTCACAATACTAGTATTATTAGTTCAAACTTAAGTCAGATTTGGATTTCTGAGAAGTTTTTTGACCCTGAGAAGGTCATTGAAGGTAAAATCTCAAATCTAAAGTCAGATTTGAACTTCTGAGAACTTGAAGACGATTTTGAAAATAATATTGGTCAATCTGAAGCAAGTTGAAAAAAAACCTTTTTGAACTTGAGAAGGTCATTGAAGGTCAACCTTGAAAATGTCATTGAAGGTCAAATTTTTATTCAGATTTTGAGAACTTGTAGATGATTTTGAAAAAAAAATTGGTCAATTTGAAGCAGGTTGAAAAATACATTTTTTAACCTTTTTTGACCTTGAAAAGGTCATTGAAGGTCAAATCTTAATTCTAGAACAGATTTGAACTTCTGAAAACTTGTAGATGATTTTGAAAAAAATTGGTCAATTTCAAGCAAGTTGAAAAAAGACCTTTTTTAACCTTTTTTTACCTTGAAAGGCCAAATCTTAATAAAATGGAGACCATAACAATATGTCACGACATTTTGGTGGTGACAAAATAGTACATTCATAGTTATAGTTATTTACCAAGCTTCCTGGTGACCCCCTGCAGTGTTAAATTTCTGTAAAACAGCAAATGCGTCATCACCAATTTTCTGTGCATCATAACGCACAATAGTACAAGATCTGCTGGAATGTGTTGTGCTAGGTTTAGTTAGCTGCCCTACACCGATAGTCATATTCTTCGCCACTCGTTTGTTCATCAGTTTATCCTTTTCTAAGCGTTCAGTCACTTCTTCTGCTAAAGAATGAATCCAGTGTTTTACCTAAAAATAAAATAAACAGGGTATAGAATATACAGGGTATCCATAAAGTCTCTTTACAATTGCAAAACAGTCTCTCACCTTTACAAAAAGACTTATTTGACACCTTGTACGTTTAATTCAAGATTCATGAATTCTATGACAAATATGCATTTTTTGAAAATGAATTCTTTGAAAAAGTTTTTCATTGGCATGATTTGTCAACACAGGAATTTATTTGTCATTCATGTAATACTAATCAAGCATTCAGAGAGTGATAAAATCATTTAAGCTTTTGTTGCTGTAAAAAGCATTGATATAAATCTGATTAACATAGATTTTTTTTATGCTAACATAATGTTAATTTTACCTTAGTTCTTGTATCCAACATCTCTCTACCTCTAAAGTTCTTCCCACAGCCTACAGACTTTGGCAGTAGCCTGGCTGTAACTGGTTCATGCTCTTCACCTCTACACATGCCATACAGGATAGTACCTGAAATGATTAAAACATGTCTTGTCAAGAATATGGGAAACCTATATCAAACTATGTTTTTTTTTATTTATTTATTTCTTATTTCCTTCATATAACAATAAATCAAAATACAAATTACTTACAGAGGACACCTAAAATAGGTGTATATACTGCTTGATAAACATAAATTGAATATAATAATAGCGCAAATAAATAAATAAGTATAAATAAGAGCACATCAATAGTTGTTGGGTAGGAGCAGGGGGAGTGACATGTAATGTAAAGACAGGTTTCTTAAAAAACATGTTTTCTTTCACATTAAATTTCAAAATTTTATCAATTACATATTGTATCAGGATAAAAATTACATAGAATCTGATTCTGGGGTGTTTTTAATAGTATGAGGAAATTACACTTCATTTAATGAAATCATATTTTTTTTCACATTTGAAGATATTCATTTTGCCAGCACTCTAGTAATTATCTACACAGTGCATCATCACAAGTATATTAATCCACAAAAAGCACTAAAAATACTATTTTTCATAAAATACCTGTCTTGTCTCCAAATATCTGCTGCAGTTGTTGTTCACTATATTTGCAAAGATCAGCCACTTTTTCTACTCCAAGCTGCTCCTGCAATTGCTCCCCTAGCTTACCACCAAGACTACGTCTGCAACACAATGGAGTTTTCATTAAAGATGGACTATATCTTTGTAAGCACAACCCTTGATGTTGTTGCAATGGGAGAAACATATTAACAAGAAATTGGGATGTCTAGAATTAATACACGCTAGATATATAGTAATATATTATAACCTTAAGTTTGGCAACTTTTATCTTGGAACACTTTTAGTCTTTCAGGGGAGGCATCAAAAGTTCGATGTCGGATCTGAAATTAAATAAATCTAGTTTTGACTTTGACCCCCGCTACCCCCAAAACTAAATACCATGAAAGTTGATCACTGACTTCCGGTTTGAGAATTTGAAAATGATCTAGTTTTTGTTAATTCCTATCGTAATTTGCAGCTTTTAACAACTATTGATAGAACAGAATCCATTGGAATGATCTCGACGAAGAAAGCATCAGGTAATATCTTTAATTTTAAACCATTCCAAGCTATTCCGAGTCAAAGCTGCTACAAAATTAAAATTTGTCGGATAGCAAACTGAAATGGCTTTGAACCCCCTCCCCTAACTAGATTTATTTAGTTTTGATGCCTCCCCACAATCACACACAATAACTGAACTAAATGCCTTCAGATTAGTCTCATTGTTTTCTCATAAAGAAACTCACAACTTTGTAATAGACAGTGTCTGGAAGAGCTGGTTCACTGATGAGTGGGGAAGAATGGTCTGTTTCCTGGGCTTATTAAGACCACACGCCAACTTTGCAAGCATCTAGAAAAAAATACAGAACTCAAGATTTTTGTAAGGAGTACCCCAAGAGAAGGATATGTTTAGGGGTCTGGACTTACTGAGCATTGATTAATTGACCGATGCAACATGACACATGCTTAACCGTTTACAATTTTTAATTCTAGATTACTTGTAATGATAACAAAATGTTAATCTTCAATAGAGTGGCTTGAGTAAGTTACGTCATTGACTGATTGAGAGCTGAATATTGGGTTGACACTCTTAGCTCGAATCTCAAGATGTTACCTTATTATGAGCTATGCCTGCTGAACAGTGGAAGCCAGTGTCTCTGAAAACAGCTGCCCTCATCTCTTCAGCAATTACAGCACCAATTGTCAGCATTCTACAGAGCAAAATATGGCTTATAATTATATATACATATATTATATTCTACTTTTTACTATTACTATTCTATTCTATTTGTATGGAGGCAGTCCAAGGTTCCCATCAGAATCCCAGATAAATTACAATATTCAAACTAGAAACCTAGCAAATCCGCCAAGTAGCAAATCCCACCAAATAAATTCAACAGCAATTGTTGCCATTTTGATTTGAGCTGCTATGAAGATATAGTATTACTTTAAAGTGTCTCACATATTCGATCAAAATTTGCCATGCAAACATGTTAGTCTACTTTACTGGCCCCCCTTGCTGTAACAAGGAACCCAAAACACATTAAAACGTAAACATAAACCAATTAGTCACTTCACTATGAAAGTGAGGGGTGTACGCTGTGTGCATGGACTAACACAATATCAGTGGTAATTTACTGTGTCAACTTAGTAACCCTTGCATATCATGCTCACTCAAGTATTGAATACTTTTTTTATGATCTAAATGTTTGTGGTTTATAAAAAAAGTGATATGTTTTAGTTAGAAATACTTTAATTAATATATTCATTCAAACAGCACTAGAATGCGGGAAGAAAGAGCAATGGTGACAAAATGCAGACAGAATTTTCCGTAAGGGTTTCAAACATTTCTAAACACAATCATACATGTACTTCATGTATACTGTTATTTTTAGTGCTATATTTATAGATATAATTTCACGTATTAAAATCATATTTTCCAGCAATGACTTCAAATTCGGAACCACACCCATATTACATTTTCTTCAATAACTCCAAACATGTGTAAACATTGACCATGTGCATATAAATTCAGATTTCACGAGCTCTTTCCTATTCGAGTACCTCATACACCCCTGCATGGATTTGAGTTGGATTCGCCTTTTATACGTGAGCCGACACACTCGCAAACGCTGATTGGATAAAGATTGCGAGAATCTTTAAGCAAACATGTCTAAATATCTAAAGCATCATTACTTTAATATGCTGTAATAGTCCAAAATAGAGGACTAACTATGTAACTCAATGATATCCTAAAATATCATTCAAAATGAGTATAGCAAACACACCTCATCACTGCAAACAATCTGGTGAAACATATTCATTAGTTATTCATCTATTCAGAAAACTGTTTAAAATATTTTAGTGTAATCTCTGCAAATTCTGCATGGGGTGAAATTATAATCTACCAAAAGAATTTTAAAGGAATAGATCTTTATCAATCCTAAGATATCATATTTGTACTTACTGATCTCTTGAATGATCTTCAACATCATCTGTGGAATGGTATATTGACTCAGTCCAGGCATTCAAACCATTTTGTCGCTCTAAAACATTAAAATTGCAACTTAAACTTCCAAGCAGTTCATAATGCCTTCAATGTTGTTTTTTTAAAGAATTTAGATTTGAGTGGAACACCACCTGATTGAAATGACTGTAACACATTAAAAAGAGGTTTCTATTCAGAAACATGAGCTGAAATAATGTACAAATAATGTCTTCTTGGTTTTGTAATACAGGGTGACATAAAAATGCCACCCACTAACTTCGAAATACTTCCTAATTAATGCTATGCAAGCATACCTATCTTTCAGGCACTGAACACTCTGCCTACACATACAAAATCATGAAGATTCTTTTATTTTTGTGAAGGTTTTTCCTAAGTTGGTGGATGGCATTTTTTCTGTCACCCTGTACTTACTTGTTTCTTTATCAGTGGTTTCAGCATCCTCAAATCCAGTGACATGTGTGCAGGGCAACTTGTCTAGAGTCACAGAATCATTACCTACAACATGGTATTTTTCATGCAATTATTCTATACACATAAACTCACTGCATTATATGTTCTCTCTAAAAACGTTAACATCTGACTGCACGGAATGGATTAAAACATACAATCATGATGATTTTATGGAGGTATAATTGCTCATGAACGGTCAATCGTGGCTTGAAATTGGTCACACTTAGAAATAGCTTGCTTGAATGAATGTGTTATTTTATTGCTTCATAACCATTTTGACCCATGCTCCCTTTGGAGCGTTTTACCCCATTGTTTTTAATACTTTTGTCATTGAAATATTCAAGAAAGCAATCAATTATGAGAGTCACTGACTGCATTTGTACATAAAACTTGTTTATTACCCTAATTTCTTTTTAATGAAATTATGATTAGAAAAATGTCAGCTGCCTTATTTTATGTTTTGGTAGAATTCTACACACCTGCTGTATTAAGACGCTTTTGTACTTCCTCAGTTAGGTCAATATATGCCTCATCCACACTTGCACGCTCCACACAATCACTGAATCTACACAAAACTGCAATAACCTCAGCACCTGCATCACGATATCTGCAATAAATATACAACACTGCAATAACCTCAGCACCTGCATCACGATACCTGCAATAAATTCACAATACTGCAATAACCTCAGCACCTGCATCACTACACCTGCAATAAATTCACAATACTGCAATAACCTCAGCACCTGCATCACGATACCTGCAATAAAATCACAACACTGCAATAACCTCAGCACCTGCATCACTATACCTGCAATAAAATCACAACACTGCAATAACCTCAGCACCTGCATCACGATACCTGTAATAAATTCACAACACTGCAATAACCTCAGCACCTGCATCAAGATACCTGCAATAAATTCACAACACTGCAATAACCTCAGCACCTGCATCATGATACCTGCAATAAATTCACAACACTGCAATAACCTCAGCACCTGCATCACACTACCTGCAATAAAATCACAACACTGCAATAACCTCAGCACCTGCATCACGATACCTGCAATAACCTCAGCACCTGCATCACACTACCTGCAATAAAATCACAACACTGCAATAACCTGAGCACCTGCATCGTGATACCTGCAATAAATTCACAACACTGCAATAACCTCAGCACCTGCATCACAATACCTGCAATAAATTCACAACACTGCAATAACCTCAGCACCTGCATCACAATACCTGCAATAAATTCACAACACTGCAATAACCTCAGCACCTGCATCGTGATACCTGCAATAAATTCACAACACTGCAATAACCTCAGCACCTGCATCACGATACCTGCAATAAATTCACAACACTGCAATAACCTCAGCACTTGCATCACTATACCTGCAATAAATTCACAACACTGCAATAACCTCAGCACCTGCATCACTATATCTGCAATAAATTCACAACACTGCAATAACCTCAGCACCTGCATCACACTACCTGCAATAAATTCACAACACTGCAATAACCTCAGCACCTGCATCACGATACCTGCAATAAATACACAACACTGCAATAACCTCAGCACCTGCATCACACTACCTGCAATAAATTCACAACACTGCAATAACCTCAGCACCTGCATCACGATACCTGCAATAAATACACAACACTGCAATAACCTCAGCACCTGCATCACAATATCTGCAATAAATTCACAACACTGCAATAACCTCAGCACTTGCATCACTATACCTGCAATAAATTCACAACACTGCAATAACCTCAGCACCTGCATCACTATACCTGCAATAAATTCATAACACTGCAATAACCTCAGCACCTGCATCACTATACCTGCAATAAATTCACAACACTGCAATAACCTCAGCACCTGCATTACGATACCTGCAATAAATTCACAACACTGCAATAACCTCAGCACCTGCATCAATATACCTGCAATAAATTTACAACACTGCAATAACCTCAGCACCTGCATCACTATATCTGCAATAAATTCACAACACTGCAATAACCTCAGCACCTGCATCACTATACCTGCAATAAATTCACAACACTGCAATAACCTCAGCAGCTGTATCACTATACCTGCAATAAATTCACAACACTGCAATAACCTCAGCACCTGCATCACTATATCTGCAATAAATTCACAACACTGCAATAACCTCCATCAAAATACCTACATTAAACCCTTTAATACCAATATTTTTGAAGATTTCAATTTGCCATCTTGTACAGAATTGTTAACTAAATTCATAATCATTCCTTACCTGGTGAGATCAGCTTTCCCTCTGACCTCAGGTACTCTGACCAGCTCTATAGCTGGGCACTTCTCCTTGGCCTCATCTCCCCTCATCTGTCTTGTCACACCACATGCTCTGGCCTCATACCCCACAGCTATTATCCTATATAAAATAGACATCCTGACATGTAACATATGGGTCTAAGTATTGCACCCCAATGTTTGATTCCCTCACTTTATAATTCCCCAACAAGAACTAGGAGCTTGTGTAGACATGTCATTGTGTGTGAAGGGAAGTAGTTTTTAACTAAACTAATTTTCTATACTTTTGTAAAAATATTTCCAGATTGTGTTGAATGTTTTGATCTTGTCTCTTACCCTCCGCCTTTCCATGTTTTGTACTGCACTACAGCACACGGTTTCCCTTTAAGAGAGGGGTTTCTTCGCTGCTCAACTTGCACATAGAAACAGTCCATGTCAACCAGGGCAATCACTCGCTGTTGAGCCATTGTGGAGCTCATTTGATGTATGCCTGTGTCTAGAATTCAGAATAAAATGATGTATACACATTATCTTATTTTCGCTGTAGTGGGATCAGAAGCTCAATAAATAATTCAGAGGACAAGTCACCTAAAAGAATTTCAAATTTTACAAGAACACAAATGTGTACAAAATGTCCCCACCTATATGGGTCATCCCGTCAAATGGTTATCCTAAAAATGAGTAGACAAGACTCACTGACACAATTTGAGGACGGAAAATTCAAAATGGCCACCTTAGATTTACCCAGAATGCCGAAAAATTAGTCAGTTCTAGATTTTCATACTAAGAACCACCCTACATATGATTCAATGATCGACATATTTGAGTTATTATAGAGTGGTACAATAAACTTTGACCATTTGTACAGAAGGCCAGATTGAGCAGTCAATTAGTTGCTATAGAGTAGGATTGTGCTGAGTTAAGTAGTTTAACAAATCAAAGCCTTCATTGTACCGGAGCGACGATTAGAGTAACTGTTACCAGCAAACATTAGAATATCGCTTATATCATTACAGGGTGTCCCAATATACATTGTCTGATTATTAACATTGAATCAGCAACATTCTGACTGATATATGCACATTTTATGGGTCATTATGTCTTAATAAGATATTATAGCTGGAAACTTAACTCTTAGTAGTATTTATGCATTCATGTGTATTCATAGCATTTTAAGTATGCAACCATTATAGGTTAACTTTAGTTCATGAGTTATTAGAATATAGTTAAGTGTTAAGACTTGCAGAATGAAGAGTTAGTGAGTTAGTTAATTCAGATGGAAACACAGTGTTCCCACATCCAGTAGGTAGTATAGGGTATTCGTTGTGAGCGATTAGGATTACTCAGTTGATTTGGTGGTACCACAAGGTTAAGTTAGGATCTCAGATAATTTGGGTAACCAGTGTCACAGACTAGTAAAAGTAGCGAGTAACCATTACTGGTCTTTATTTGGTTTCATTACTAACCGCTTCGAGAGTTTGTGGTATAACCACCCTTTTATTGTACATGTAATATAGATGTATATGTTACTTTAACATTGTTTCAAAATATATTTCCATATTAAAACTACCTATATTTGTGAGTAATTACATTGGTGGCAGTAAATATGGCAGAACCGCCCAATGACATAGATGGGGAAGGTGGTGCCAATGAGGCACTTGCAGCGGGGGATGAACCAGGCCCCGTAGTTCAGCCCCCAGCAGCACAACAGAACAGTACTACTAGAGAATACAGAAAAGCAGTCACTCCCAGGAATTTTGATTGTAAGACAACAATCTGGGATAGCTGGCTGAAACACTTTTGCAGGGTAGCAACTGCCAATAACTGGACAGAACAGACCAAAATAGTGATGCTAAGTACTACTCTGGATGGCAAGCCTCTCAAAGAGTATGAGAGGATATTAACTGAAGATGAGGATATAGATTTTAAGACACTGACAGCTGCCATTGGTACTGAGGTGCGGCCTACAAGGAAAGCAGCAATGGAGACATATACTAAGATGCAACTAGGGTCTGATACACCCAAGACGTTTTATTCTAAGTTGCTTGAGCAGTCCAAGTTAGTATATCCAGAGGTGTCTCAGGATGCCAGACTTATGATGATAAAGACGCAGTTCATCCAGTCCATTCCGAGTAAGCTGTTGGAAGATATGTCCAAACAGAGTGATGTGCATTCCTTAGACAAAGAGGCTTTGCTGACATTGGCTACCAGGGTTTGGGAGGCAACAAAGCAAAGCAAGTCAGAGGATCAAGGATCACTTATAGGAGCTGTGGGTCCTCCAGTGGTGCAACAACCTGACCAAGTTTCACAACTTCGGGAAGAATTACTTGAATTAAAGAATCTTGTTGTATCATCACTCAAGACCCAACAGTCAACATCTGAGCCCAGGCAGAGTAATATTTCGTGTTTTCATTGTGGTAAGCCAGGGCATATAGCTCGTAATTGTTTTACTAAACAAGGAACCTCGTCAGGTGTACGATGCTATAATTGTCAAGGTATAGGCCACATGGCTAAGGCTTGTCCATCCCCTAGTAACAGACAGAGATCGAACCAGTCAGGAACTACAGATGGGAAAGATTCATCCTCCAACAGACCAGTTAGTGGCTCCTCAAATAATGAGGTTGCTGAGGTAAAAGGATCTTCTGGTCTCATGGTAACGGTAGGAGTTGGTAACCGAGAAGGGGAAGAGCAGCGTCCAATGCAATGGCTAATTGACACAGGTGCCAAGATCTCAGTTATCGACATAAATACCTACAAACAACATCTTGAAGACATTGAGTTGAGGTCACAACCTGAGTCTTTTACATGTGTTTCAGCAGATGGCACAGGTATCAAAGTAGCAGGACAAGTTCAGCTAACAATTACTATTGGTTCCAGGGTTCTACCCTTGCTCACAACAGTTATCCAGGGCTCAACCAAGACAGCTTTGCTTGGACGTGATGTCTTGGATCAATTTGATACATGGTCAGTGTCCAAAAGGAATAGCGTTATCAGGCTTGATGATGAGTCATTGAAACTCAACCCAATATCTGAGGATAGGAATGCAGTGTGTAAAATCACCCTGGCTCGAGATGTCATCCTACCTGGGCAAAGTGAAGCATGGATGGAAGCTAGGTTACCAATGCGTTTGAACTCCCTATCTGGGTTGTTTACCCCAAGCACTAAATTACTGTCTCGGAAACATGTAGTAGCAGCTAATGGGCTTTGTCGAGCAGATTTGTTGGGGAAATCAGTTCAAGTTAGAGTGCTTAACCCAGAGACATCTCCAAGACGACTTTATAAAGGCACCCACATGGGGGTGTTTGATACTACTACTATCGGTGAATATGATGCGGTACCTGATCCCTTTGGAAAGGACGGTAATGATGTCCAAATCAATGAGATGGGTGCAACCCCACTGACATCAGAGATATTACCGAAAGATCCTTCTATGTTTTTGGAGGCATTGGCAAGATGGAGAGCTGATGTACACCATTTAGACTCGGCACAATCGGACAGACTGCTTCACCTTCTTCAAGATTATAGGTGTGTGTTTTCTGAGGATCTTAATGACTTGGGCAAAACGGATATTATGAAACATCATATTAAATTGAAGGAAGAGAAAGTTATCTTTCGCAGGCAGTATCGCCACAGCCCAAAAGAACTTGAGGTTATTGACCAAGAAGTTGACAGGATGTTGGCATGTGGAATAATTCAGCCGTCAATGTCGCCTCACTCATCTCCAGTATTACTAGTTCCAAAGAGCAGTGGTAAGTGGAGGTTTTGTCATGACAGTAGATTTCTAAACAATGCAACAGAAGATCAGCACTACCCATTAATATGTATCGGTGATGCCATAGATCACTTGTCAAAGGCTAGAATCTTCTCCACTTTAGATGCTACGAGCGGTTACCATCAGGTCAAGTTGGATGAAACAAGCAAACCCCTTACCGCATTTTCAACAAGAAAAGGCCACTGGGAATTTAACCGCATGCCCTTTGGATTGAAGGGTGCTCCACATACCTTCCAGCGACTGATGAGTCTGATCATGCAAGGCTTAAATTACCAAGAGGTATTAGTCTACCTCGACGACATCATTGTGTATTCATCGTTCTTTGATGAACATCTGGAATCGCTTCAGCGGGTGTTCAATCGATTGAGGCAGCATGGACTCAAACTACAACCACTGAAATGCTATTTCGCCCAAAAAGCTGTTAAATATTTGGGATATGTGGTAGATGCTGATGGAGTCCGACCAAATGAAGATGCTGTAAAGGCCATAGTTGAGATGCCAACTCCGAAGACGATAGAACAGATGTTGCGGTTTTTAGGTAAATTGAATTACTACAGGAGGTTCATAAAAGGAATGGCAGACACTGCTAAACCTTTATATGACAGCATTAAAAACAGCAGACTCCATAAAACTAAGTTACTGACACTTAATGCAGATCAACTCCAGGCAGTGGAGACCCTGAAGAAAACACTTGCATCTTATCAGGTGATGGCATACCCCTGTTTTGATAGGGATTTTCTGGTAGACACTGATGCCTCAGCCAACTCTGTGGGGGCTTGTTTATCACAGCAAGATGGCAAAGGTCATGAAAGGCCAGTTGCCTTTGCAAGCTCAACTCTGACCAAGGAGCAAAGGAACTATTCGACTACAGAACGAGAATGTCTGGCCACCATTTATGCTGTGAACCAGTTTCGTCAATTCTTATATGGCAAACCATTTATTCTGAGGACTGACCACAATCCTCTGGTTTGGCTTAGGAATATCAAGGAACCTAAGGGCCGTTGGGCACGTTGGCTCATGTTGCTTGAGGAATTTCCATATACCATTGTCTATCGTAAAGGAAGTGAGCATGCAAATGCAGATCTCCTCTCAAGATTAGAGGATGAATCAGAATCCAAGACAATGAGTAAATCAGTTGGAATACAAGTTGGGGAACCAGCACAGATAAATAAATGCACCACAATTGATGTTGCTAAGCAGGGACAGAGGGAACTAAATGATCTAGCACCACAGCAGTTGAAGTTGTGCCCTACTTAGCCCATACCTGATCACCAAAATGTGAATACATGGCAGAGGGCTACATCACTCAAGGAACAACTTCTGGAAGATAACCCAATGTTAACTCCAGATGTAACAGATAAGTCGATCAGTGAGAGACAACATACTTCATTAAAGGATGCACTCCCTGAACTAGCTGAGGACCAGAACAATGAAAACCATGAAGTTGGTCAAAATGAGGGTTTTGCAGATGGTCACAAGGCCCCCTTCCTTAATATGGATACTCTTAAGGAGGACCAGGAGGAGGATCCTGATATCGGGCAGGTGTTAAAGTGGTTAAGAAGGGGAGAGCCAAGTGAGGAACAACTGAGTCAGGCATCAAGAACTTCAAGGTGGATTTATAAGCAGAAGAAGAATCTTAAGTTATACAGAGGGGTCTTATATAGAGAAGTTGAGAGAGAAAATGGATTACCAAGTATAATGCAAATAGTCCTTCCTAAATCTTGGAG